GCGAAGCGCGCAGTGCTAAACTGGGTCTGCGGCTGGGCGAGTGCCGAGAGGCTGCGCTTGGCTCGGACCTTCGCGAAATCGAAGCGGAGCTTGCGTTCAACGTGAACATCCACTTCACTGAAGCTGGCTCGGAGAGCATCCATGGAGCTGAGCTTCAGGCTGTGCTCGGCCCAAGACTCGAACTGAGCTTCGTACTCAATTGAGTCTTCCCCCGGGCTAAGTACCACCGGGTACGTCCGCATGGCGGGCACGGACTTCTGCTGGGCTTGCAGCCGCAGCCTCTCGCGATACTCCGCGACAGTCGTAGACTGTGGAGTGAGGAGTCGCTCTCGCAGAGACGTACGCAGTGCGAGCTCCTCCGGGGTACGGGCCGCGTGCCCAATGGCGTGCAGCGCGAGAGACTGCTGGAACGCCTGGCGACAAGCCTCCGCGGGGTCGCGAGGTCGGAAGCCGTAGTCGGCAGTGCTGGGGTTCAGCAGAGGTCGCAGCTCGGGGCGCTGGGAGCGCATGAGAGCCATCTGCGCCGCAACCGGCTCGGACTGAGCTTCGTCCAAAGGGTTGGAGATGACGGGGCCCAGGGGCACGTCCTCACCACGAGGTGGCGAGTACCGTGGCTCAGTGAGCGCACGCAGCTCGTAGAGACCGGGGGAGCGTTCAGGGAACGGGTTTGGAGTTCGCAGCGGTGGTCGTGGCTCTTCCCTCGACGGCGCGGCGCGCTCTGCAGGTGGACGGCTCGGCGATCGCACCGGAGACGTGCGCGCGGGGCGCTCTTGGTCGTGATGGCTCGGAAAGCCAACTGGGGCCGGCGAGCCTTCTTCACGGCATGTCGACGGCGTGTCGACGGCGTGGGCGAAGCGTCGCGGCGGCTCGGGGAGTGTCGCGTGGCTGGGGACGCATCTCCTCGGTTCGGAGGACCCAGCATGGACTCGTCCACCTCGCCCTCTTCACCAAAGAGTTCCTTAGGATCCATGATCGGGCGGGTTGATGCTCGAGGGGAGCTGGGGCTTGCGCGCTGCGAGCTGTGCTTCTGGCGGTGCACCGCGAAGTACTCGGACACCGAGAGCCTGGAAGGGGTCGAGGGTGTGCGCGTGGGCGCCGACGTTCGCGAAGGTGCGGAGGCACGCAGTGCAGCAGCACGAGAGGAGCGAGGCTCCGAGGCGGATCTCGCGAGAGGCTGTCTGCGGTCGAAAGACCAAAAGGCTTTATGACTTGAAGTCATGTGAGGGCGCGTTGCGCCGAGAAGTTCTCAGAGACGTCCACACGATATGGATTGACTCCTTCGAGAAGGAGGCTTGACGGAACAAGACCCGGCGGTTGACCGTTAAGCGTGAACACCCGTGCCCACGGTTTGGTGGGGGAGGGTGTAACGGGGTTACACGAGTTACCCGCAGGGTTACGAAGTGGGTACACACTGTCTAACCTAAATCAGTAGGAGAATCAGTACATGGCGTCAGAGCCACGGATTATGCATATGACTAGGGTTCACTATGCTTGATAGTGAACCGGATACATTTACACCGTAGGCGGCTTTGCCGCAATAAAGGGAAATACATTCAGTTTGGGATTTACACACTTAAGAGTTAAGGGTAGACTCTTGGAGTCCGTAAGGTGTACGGACTCGTACGTTCTGGTATTAGAACGGGCTATTTTAAGCTGAGACTCTGTGAGTCTGTTACGTCATCCTCTGACGCTAAAGCTACGGCAGCCCCGCTGCAGGTCAAGTCCAGCAGGGCCTCGCGCAGCTCTTCATCGTGCACGTCGTCCACATAGCTTCCGACCTTGGCTGGGACGTCTTTCAGCATCTCGGCGGCGGATTCCCACGAGTCTTCGCTGTTCGTGAGGCCGACCCAGCACACGAGCAGCTCCCATCGGCGGAGTGCGTCATTGAAGCGGTGGGATTTGAACTTCTCAACCCCCAGCAGCATGCCCTGATTAGAGACGATCTCCTCCGTGATGTTGAAGCTCAAGTCGGAGTAGAATTTTAGCCTCGAACCGTGGACTTCGTACTCGATGCCGGTGAGCAAGTGCTTGATCATGAAGGAGTTGGGTCGTAACTCCCCCACCTTGAACGGGCCCACCCATCTCGCGAGCAGCTTGTTGGTGCTGATGCGCTTGTCTACGCGCGACCAAAGCACATAGTCGCCCAGATCAAAGTTGCATGGAGATCCTTTCGACCTTGCCATCGCCTGCAAACGCTTGCGCTCCTTCCTGTCGATCACCTCCTTGTGCATTCCGCCCAGAGCCGCTCGCAGGGTATCGAGGTACATCGCCGCATCATCGCCGACCTTGCCCGACATTATTGCGGCCTTATCGCCAGCCTTGCCCGCCACGTGTCCAGCGCCGACGGAGCTGGTAATCCGAGGAAAAGCTCGATGGGCGAGAGGTTGCCCAGCGACTCAACTGGCGTGTGGTTGAGATTAGCTTGGACTATCGGCAAGAGATACGTCCACTCCTAGGCTCCAGCTTGTATTCGATCAGAAGCGCACGTAACACCTGTAGGATGTCCTTGTTCACCCGCTCGATAGTTCCATTAACCCAAGGTGAATATACAGGGGTGAAGGACTGCTCCACCTTCAGCTTGGAGCACAGCATCTTCACCATCTCATTGTGGAAGTGCGATCCTTGGTCGGACATCAACACCTCCGGCTATCCGTAGCGCATGTACCAGGAGACCATTCCGTCTGCTGCATTCCAGGCGGAGGGTGAGGCGCTCGGAAACAGCTCACAGTAGTGCGTGAGCGCATCCTTGATGACAAGAACGTACGTGCTCTCGCCAAAACTCTCTCCGAGAGTGAGGTAGTCCCAGTGCACGCCTTCATTGCGCCGCTCCGCCTTGAATGTTGGACCCCAGTGGCGCTGAACGAGGTGACCACCCTCGATGTGCTTACACAGCAGGCATCCTTGCAGGAACTTCTGCACCTTCGACAGCAGTCAGTGAATAGCGAATCGCTCGCTCAGGAGCGTTGTCATTAGAGCCTCACCTCGATGCCCATGACTTCCACGGTGTGCAATGACCATCAAGCAAACGATTAATTCATGGGCATTATCCGGTACCCACACTCGTCCTTCCACCATGATCACACCATCCACCACCTCGTGTACCATATCCCGCAGCACCTTCACGTGCTTCCGTTGGCATTTCACTATTTCATCACGTTGGGGCCATTTGAACCCAGGGTCTGACAGCGGCCGGATAGCGGAGACAGCGGAGCCTCTGCGTGTTCGCACTGCGAGGCATCGTGCTTCACCGCTCTCTGCGCCTGGTTGTCCCCATCGGCTGATCATGTCCGCCGACACGTTGCTGCTTCCGTCGATGTGTTTGATAGTGTAGCGCAGGCCCCAGAGGCGCATTGCCCACGGCTGCAACTTGTCACGGACGTGACGGTTGATCTCCATCGCCGGGTTGAAGATGTACATGAGGTTTGCGTGGTCTGTGTACATCCTGAAGCCCTTCTCTCGTTGAAGCAGGTACTCCAGGTCAGTACATGCCTTCACCAGTGAGTAGGCCTCCTTCTCAACAATGGACCAGTTGAGGGAGAAGCCTTTGAAGAGTCCACCTTTGCAGATAAGTAGCTCATGATCCTGTTCGTGCACGGGCACCTCATTCTTCCAGTTGCGAACTTGTGAAACAATAAGCCCCCAGCCCCCGTGTGAGGCGTCCGAGAGAACACAAATCTCCGCGTCAGTGGCAGAAAAGTGCTGCGGTGCCGAAGCTGCAATCAGACCACGCACCGCATCAAAAGCCTCCAGCTCCGGGTTGGTCCCTGTGATCCCCGCCTATAGCGCTTTCTTGTTGCGTCTGCCCACCGCCTTCACGTGCATGTCCAGCTTGGCCGTAAGAGGAGCGGCCATCCTAGCGTAGTCAGGCAGCGACGCTCGAAGCCAATTGGCTGCGCAGACGAATTGCTCTAGTGCCGCAATGGTTGGAGGCGGTGGCAGCGTCGACAATGCTGCAAGCCGGCTGGGATCGTGGCGCACGGTTGTACCCGATACGAGCCGTCCACACCACATGACCTCTTTGCAGTAAATGATGCTCTTCTTCACGTTCAATCTGAGGCGGTGGTCACGCACGAGTTCGAAGAATCTGCGAAGCGCAACCACAAAAACTGCCGCCGACTCGGCATAGACGATAATGTCATCGATCCAAATGAGACAATGGCGATCCAGCAGCTCGCGAAACACATCCTGAAGCTGAGTCTGGAAATGCACAGATGAATCCATCGCCCCTTGTGGTACCTTCACTGGCGTGAACACAAAGTCTTCGGTCATGAACGATAGCACTTCTTGCGAGTCAGGATGAAGAGGCATCTGCCAAAACCCCTTCATCAGGTCAAACTTCGCGAAGCAGGAGCCTGATACCTGCTCCAGCTCTGCGTCCAGGTTAGGCATTACACCGGCAATTGGGATCGTGAGCTTATTGACGGGCCAGTAGTCGTTCGTGATCCTGAAGCTGTCGACTGTGCCAGCTTTGCGGACAGGCACAGCAGCGCATGCCCATCTCGCAGCATCATTGCGCCGCACGAAGCCAAACTGGACCAACTCCTTCGTATAGTCCTTCAGAAATCGGCGTTGAACTGGAGAGTATTCACGAGCATGACATCGATATGGCACCGCATCCGCACGCAACGTGATCTTCAGCGGCGTAATCTTAGCTGGCGGGTCCGGGCCCAGCTTGTCGCGCCATGAGTCTCGGAATTCAGTCAGCAGATCCTACATCTCGGTGGTATCGAAGCCCTCCTTCACAGCGCCAATGATCATCTCCTCCAGAGCACTATCAATCGCGGTGTGGTCCACATCTCCATACTCCACCGCAGGAAATTCTTCGACTTCTTCGGCCATGTGCCAGGCGTGCCAGTTGCTCGTTGACATTAATGCCAAGAGATTGCAGGGTGGTGTCGCCAAGCAGCACCTCCTCCCTACTTGTAGGCATCACTAGACACTCCACGCCAGACACGTTTACAACGCCCGCTCTCGTCACCAGCTGTAAGTTTAGCCCAACGCTAGTCACACATTCCACCTTGGTGCCATCCGCCAGACAGATCCTTCGCGTGTAAGTCCAGTTGCAGTGCCTGGAGTTCCTCCAGCACGGCCGACGGTACGATCGTCCAGTCCGAGCCACTGTCGGCCATGAGTGGCACCGTGATTAGGCCATTTAGCTGCACCTGCGTTTCCCCCTCATTATCTGCTCCGAGGCCGACATGTAGCGCACGGGTGCCACCACCATCAGCTTGCTTGCTCCTCTTCTCTTGCAAGCGGTCCAGCACATTCTTGCGCTGCGCCTCCGTCAGATTCGGGCAATCCTTGACCCAATGCGGTCCTTTACAGCTCAAACACCCATTGCGTGGTGCAGACGGCGCCGCCTTCCGGGGATGATCAGCCGTGCGTCCTGGCGACTTCTTCGGTGTTTCCTTCTTCTCCTTCACCGTCGGGGTCGCGCGCTTGGAGCCGTCGCGCTGCACCTTCATCTCATGTGTCTGTTTGTGGAACTTGTGCTGGTTGGCTGCTCCACGATCAGCTTGTAGAGAGCACGGTCATCACTCCGGCACGCTCGAGCCTCAAATTCCACCAGACGCTGGATTTGCGTCCGCAGCATCACTGGCTGCACATTTTCGACCAGTAGGGTGCACCGAGTGTTCATGCGGGTCTTGAACGATGATGCATCGGTGGAGTCGCCGCGTCCGATCCAGCTTTGCAGTCGATTCTCCTGCACCAGCTTGTTGAAGTCCTGGAAGTATGTCAGAACACGAGCCTCTGCATCGTCGATCTTCATATCCATCACCAGGGTCTCTCGAAATAGGGCGCGCAGGTCAGGGATGTTCCCTCCGTCCATCGTCTCACATCGCGCCTGGATTAGACCACGCAGGTCCTCATCCGTCACTTCCCCGGAAGGCTTGCCCAGGATGTACGTGGCCATAGTCTCCAGCATCTCCGGGAGCATTGAGCCACGCACCGTTACACACACACATTCTCGTACGTCTCAGCCGTGACCGCGCAACGCGCGCGCATCTGCGACTCGTAGTGGGATCTGTCGCGGCTCCACTTCACCAGGGCCGGTGGATCGCAGCTCTTCAGCCTGGGGGCCGCGATGAACTCGTAGATTGGCTGCGCACCGTCATGTCGACGTCACCCTCGGCGTCCAACGCGTAGCGCCCGTTCATCGTCTTCGTTTCCACTGCGTGGCAAACTTCGGTAGCTTGTTTCTTGATCAATAAACGCCTCTTGCCCCAGCACCAATGACGCGACGTGTCCAGTGGAGCAGGGAACCTTGACAAAAGAAGCGTAAAGCTAGCTTTATCGCGCAGATCCAGATAGTTGTTGTCTTCTAGAGCGAAAGTTTATTAAAGAGAGAAACTTAAGACCTCGGGAGCAAGTCTGCTCTAGCTACATGCATGTATACAACACCAGCTCTCTCTTAGTGCACGAACCCACAGCCATTCACCTCAGTTTGCCCCGTAATCTTGTTGCCTGCATCATCAGCCCCGTAAACCAACATCTTCATAATCGTGCCCCGTAAGCAAAGTGACTCCACAATTCGAGCCGGTCGAGCTGATAACACTTGCAGCTGCAACAACCTGCAAGGAACAACATGGAGATTTGACAAAACGATTTGGTTGAGTAGTTGAGCCTGTGGTGATCAACTGCAGCTTCCTGAGGTGATAGAGTAAAAGAAAAGTTGGGCCTTCATCGAGGAAATATTGTTTTTTATGGTATATGTAAGTATTCAGTCACGGAGGACACAACGTTTCGCCATTAAATAGTTTCGCAGTTAAGCTTATAAAAAATTATTGGCGTAACGTTCCGTTACCTATAGTGCATGTATTACGCAAGTATCGCGCCATCCGTGCTTACCCGTTGCAGGAAAATGTGACCCCCTTCAATGAAGGGGGAAAGGAAGGCTTAATGCATTCTATTACAGCATTACATGTACTACAGTCTTGTCTGACCCAACAGTTCGCTGGATAACTTACAGTTCACCAGCCTGTGGCGGGGAAACCCCAGAAAAGGGTGTAGTCAATCCTCTTTACTCCGACATTCCGATAATTCATTTAAAACATATTCTAATATCATGTGATGTCTGAGTACTACACAGGCATCACACAGTGTGTAGTACAATACAATCGTCTAGAGGTAAAACCTAAAAAATCGATTTATATATTTATGCGTAATAAATACAATAGGAAACGAGCACTGTTCTCATCCCATATGAGATGCACTGTGTTACAGACATCGACGGTGAAATCCGCCATCCGCCATACCTTTGAAATCCGCCCTCATGCGATCAACCAATCACATCAGCGGTCTGTATATTTTGTGTAAAACGCGAACTTTCCACGTAATATATGCACTTGATCGTATACATTTTACAGTTTTATGCATACTCAAGACCCTGATCGGCCAATGGAAATACACTCGAAATCCTTAAAGATTAGTGTTATACTGGAGGATGGTTTTCAAATAGCGGGCGGATTTCATCGTCGTTGTCTGTATTTCTGTAGATCTAGGACACGCTAAATGAAGCTGGAGTAGTCAACCTTGTAGTATTCTTCACATTTTGCTTCGAAATTGTCTAAAAGGCAATATCAGTTCAAGTCTGTAGCTCTGTTGCGGTGTTTGCACCACGATCTAGCAGAGAAAACCGTGAACAGAATAGAGCAGAATAGAACAGAATTTTTTTTACATATTTCAAACAAGTCATGTAAGGCTGATAGCGTTAGATCTGTAGTGCCGGCTGCATCTACAGTTTCATCTTGCGCCGTGACGACATCCTGTCTAGTTTATTTAAGAGAATTTCCGGGCAGATACTGCGGCTGCGAAGCATGCGCAGGAGATGACCGGGGATGTTAGTCGAAAAATAACTAATAAAGGGGAATGTGCCAAAATCCTCCTATCCCAACCCTTCGAAGCCCCTAAAGGATGGGAACGGTACCCAACTATGACGAAAGGAAGCAAAGTATGGTCAGAGGCAGCGTCCTACACTATGGGGCAGGCAAAGGTGAGTCGATTTGCTTGGGTACCTGGGTTACCCTCCGAGAGTACTGAGAGTACAGCTGCACCATCGACGCTAATGAACGATCCCGAAGACATTGCCAAACGCTTTTGAGGGATGTGAACCTGGGAATCAAAACGAGACGTCAGCAATGGACTCAACGAACTCAAAGTCAACTGTCCCGCCGCCTCCGAGAGCGAAGAGACCAGATTTATGAGCGTGGCGAACGCTGGCATGCGCAACGAAATCAACAGCTTGGTATGTACCGACGGCATGACCTAGCGTGTTTGGTATCAAGCTCTTTGCTGCAATGCATATGACCTGGACAGCACTGGTGACGCAGTCTCTGCGACTGTGTAATCAGTGCTGTCATGTATGGGCGACTACCGCGGGCGCGTGTTGTTCCAGCATGCGATCCGTAGGCGAGGCTGCAGCAGCGCGCAGTATCGGGACTGCGTTCCGAACCCCTAAAAAGGTAGTCACTATGCGAAATTGAGCAACTACTTTTCGGCGACACGCCCTGGGTTATGTTGCTAATGCATAAGACGAACCGCTGCGAGACCACTTTAAAACATGGGCAAAGCGAAGTTGTGGATGCTAACGGGTATGTGTTGAGGCAAGCAATGAATCTACCTAGATGGGGTATTTTTGATGGGGACGTTCGAAGTAGATTATTTTACCGAGTCAGCGGTGAACATCCCGTTGCTGAATGATGTAAATTAAAACGCAAGTTTGAATTTCCATTTACGTGGAAGCGAAATGAATCAAGAAGCAAAATAGAATATCCAACAACTACGGCAAAAACTAAAATGAAGTCGACATCTCGTGGTATGCACTTTTTCGCTGGCGGAAATGGAATCCGATCGAACTGGAGCAGGCAACAGCTTGTGCTCCAATGTCCTCTTTCAATGTGAGCACCGAAAGATCGACAAGTGCGTTGCAGGGGACTTGTTCAATTACGCCAACGTAAACGCTATCCGCTTACTCTCAACTACGGCTTGTAGCTGGCATACCACTTCCGCAGGGGCAACGGTACCACAACTTTCGTCTTGGTTGGGTTTGGTGCAAGTTGTGGACATCCGTTGGTGGCGTTGAACAGCTCGGTGAAGTCGTCCTCCGGGGGGAGCTCCTGCCACAGCTCTGGGATGCACACACGCAGTCCGAAGTCGTCCTCCTCGCTCTCAACAGACCAGCAGGGAGGGGCGTCCTCAGTTTCACTCGAGTCATAGCCGTAGTTGTAGCCACCGTCTTCCTCCGATATGGTGTAGTTCCTCCCGCCAAACACGACGGTCACTTCACTCTCGTCATTGGGGTCAGCGGAGGTCCAATTGGCAGTGCGCAAGACCTCATCAACCTCAATGAGAGACGCAGTGCGGTTCGACGTCAAACAGCCGTCTGTGACGATGCTATCCCCGTATCCCAGTGAAGTCACGGCCCACTTGTAGCCCCTCCCATCGTGCACGACGATGGACTGCCGGGTTGGCAGCGCCACGCCCGACTCAATCGTCACCACGGCGTCGAACGGCAGCCACGTTCCGCTGTCATTTCGCGGGAACAGCAGGCCGCTCACGCTCGCGTTGCTGCTGCCGCCGTCCACGACGAGCTCGCTGGCGTTCTGCATTTGCTTCAACCACGCGACCAGTTTGTGTTGCGGACCGGTGAGGCTTCGCCCAGTCATCATTGCTGAGTGTCTCGAGACGAACGGGTCTCCTTCGGCAACCACGATGCCTTGGTGACTCGGGTCGTCTCGGTCCAGCGCGAGCACGAGCGCAACGGCGACCAGAATCAAGCCCGCCAGCACGACCAACGGCGTCCACGAGTGCCGCTTGTGCTGCGGGCTCTTCTCCGCAGCTTCATTATCGTGGTCGTACGTCGAGTCGAGCGACACGGTGCTCGTCGGCGCCACGCGCTTCTGCGGCTCCTGCAGCTCGCTCTCGCCCTCCATCTCGGTCGCAAAGTGGAAGTGAGAGGCTGTTGGTGGCTGAGCTCGAAGTCTTACGGAGAAGAAGGAGAAGAGTACGACAGCATCGCCGCCTCCCAGGCGAGGCCCAACTGTAGGAAGGCAGGGGTATGTACACATGAATGGGGCCTCCTGCCAAGAAGCATTTCGTGCTGAAGTGCAGGTTTCAGGCACATGAAGCTCCATTTGGTGCCGTCGCTGTTGAAGCAGAGAAGCTCATCTCAAAACTGCATTATGCACGCACGATCTGCTTCAAGTGCACCTACATTAATCGACCAGGTCCCAAACGCCGCTCCCAATGAGGAGAGCCAATCATAAGTGAGATTCCAAATGACTTCAACAAAGTATGGGCTGGTTTATCGGCTCCAAAGCCAGGAAAAAACCTTAAGGTTTTATTTTTGGCCGGCTGCGCAGCCTTCTCCGCCTTCACACTTTCCGCCCCCGCATCTCCAACACGACAACGCGCTCCGAAACAAATTTAATTTAAAAATTATCCCATCAAAATTTGCTTTCGTCAAATCTTTCTTAGGGGCCGTTTCACTCTATGCAATACATTTTAACATAGAAACCCTTGGATTTACGGTGATAACGATTCATATTCGTTATTTTTTGTTACTAATGCCAGCATTTTCTTTTCTGATATCTTCAACATATTTCACAATATATCTTTAATAACATACAGAATGTTCACGCTTCCCCGCCGACCACCCCAGATCTGAGTGCCCCCAGGCGCGCCCCACGCAAGGACCCGTCGAAAGCAGCTACAAAACCCGGCAGGGCGGGTGTTATGCTGCCGGTTTTGGTAGCTGTCGGCCAAGCACGCGCTCGCTGACGGTATGTGAGCGTTTTTCTATTGTGTATGACTTTGTATCGGGACTGACGGGAATCCATGCGCTGTGCTTAAGTTGTGGGATGGCGATGACGGGTGCATTTGCGCCTTGAATTCGATTATCCATGTTGTATGAATAGGAATGTATTAAGCGTTAATACAAGCTGCGTGATCCTACGACTCCAAGTCTTTTTGCTTCCATTAGTGACTAGCTGGTGTGCAGCGGTCGACGATGCCACCGTTCGCTTTGCGGGTGATAAATGCTGAGCAGAGCGCGTCGTACGCAGAGCGGTGGTCAACGCGCAGCTTTCTCCAGCGCTTCCGTAGCGACCCCGCGGTTTTGGATCGGCCTTTACCGTCGATACTCCCAAGCGCAGTGTTGACCTTCTTGTCCAAGTCTTCCGCTAGTGTCCAGACACGCTGCTTCCACAGCCGATACGCGACGCCGTCCCGGTCCAGTGGCGCCGTTGGTACGTCTACCTCTCGCTCTGCTGCTATGATCATGATGTTGACGCCTGCCTTGAGGTCAGCGCGAACAAACTGTTGTTTCTTTTGGGTTGCAGTGTGCCACAGCTCGAGTGTGTACCAGTTGTAGAAGCAGCCAGCAAGAGAGTGCGCTTCAACGACGGTGTCAGTGCTCGCCTGCGGGGCCTGGCCAGCACAGCGACAAGGAGCAGGACCGTCAGCGCTGGTGGACTTGCTCTCGTGGACCGCGACGAGCTTCTGAAGTGTGCGCTGCATTGCTGCGATGGACGATAGCATCTGGGTGACGGCTGCGGCAAGTATGGTCGTGTTTCCATTGATGCGTTCACCCAGCTGTCCGAAGTTCTCCGTTTGCCAAGCCGTGCGAAGCTGCCGACCCCAACCAATGCACGTGTCCAGCGAGAGCCGAGCTCCCAGCGCTACGTTGGTTGTGTCCAGAGCTTCGTGGAAGCGGTACAGGTAATGCGATGTGAAGCCTGTGACAGCCTGCTCCTGCTGGACTGCCGTCGCGACGTCGTCAAGATGGATGAGCAGGGACGCGAGCGCCGCATCCAGGACTAAGGCGTCAACGTTGAGCGTGGTGTCCGTGAAGCCGCTCGCGTTCTTGAAGAGCTGGCCGCGCAGGGTTAGCAGCTGGGCGTACTCGAGCGCAGGAAGAAGCTCGCTCAAGGTGGCTATCGTGGGTGTGACGCATGGCAGGTGCGGGTCTCGGTATCCAGCGAGGACTTTGCCGACACTCTGGTCCTCGCGTGTCGTGGTACCCACGTACGCGAATGCCTTCGTGAGCGAGTCCAGCAGCCAAACTCCCCGGGTCGAGATCCACTGGATCGCAAGCTACGGTGAGGCGTTTGCATACGCTGCGGAGCCGCGGCGCAAGGAGTGGCTGCTCAGCCCTGCGGTGAGCGTCGGGGGCAGCGGGGCAGAGGCCTGGGCTTGGTGCTCGCAGACCATGGTGATGACGTCCTTAATATACTTGGACACGTTGGGCCTTCCTCTCACGCGCTTTGTTGGTGGCTCGTTCCTTGGTTCAGCTTTCTCTTCAAGGTTCTCCCAGTAGAGTATAGCTTCGTCTTGGCTGTAGGTCTTCTCCCCTGGCAAATCCGATGCCGCCGCGTGCGGCACTAGCGGGAACACATAGCTGAAAGGCTACGACGCTCCGACGAGCAGCATTCCGAGGCCGTGCAGCATACACTGCTCCCAGTGAGTCGCGGCCTTGTAAATTGAGATGCCTTGAACCACCGAAGTCTTGATTCGAGCTAGATGCAGAAAGAGCTCCCCCGATGCCGCCATAGATAGATGGCTCTTCCTAGCAAAACAGGTATCGATCGCTCGACCAAACGTGTGCCACATTAACGTTGGTACAGCAGCGTCATGCAAACTCTTATAACCTGATCCAACCCCCTTAATCGCAGTTTCCTGCACCAGAACACGCAAGTCGCTGAGCGTGCAGCCTGGGACTTCATCAGTCTGCACGCCAGCTAGCAAATTTCGCTCCTCAATAGTTGAACCCATTTTGTCGCGTATTTTCGCAATTCGCTTGCTGTCTGACAAGTACAGAGGGTACCGCTCTCGGAGCAGGTTCATAACTTGGAACATTTAGCCCACAGCAGTAGCCTTAGCATGACGGCCTCCTCGAGCACTTGGCTTAGTTTGCAAGAAAATGGAGAAGGCGGTTAGCAAAGAGTAAAAGTTTTGACTTGGTAGAGCATCAGGAATAGACAATACTAGCAATTGACTCCTCATTCATGTTAGCAAGAGCTAAGAATTCGCTGAAGCACTTCATCGCCACTGCCTCCTGCCCTGCTGTCCCTTGCGGGATGTCAAGCCCTCTCGGTGCCCGCTGCATCTTTTCAAATGGGAGAGGAGAGAAAGCAGACGAGTCACATGAATAATGCAACAATTACACTAAACTTTTGTATTGGACATTATTCTAGCAAGACTGTAAATTCCCAAAATAATTGGGAAAATGTTGGGATACACACGAATCGATCGTGATTGGCTAAATTCATTGAAGAACTTGTCCTGATTGGATAGATGCAATGACAGAGAAGCGCAAGGAATGCCAAGTTGGGAGAAAGCTTCCTTATCCTAAATACTACGTCACTTGCCCTTGTCCGGCGTGTCATCTCTCATCTCTCTCTCATCTCTCATGACTCCTCTCGCTTCATGCGCTTCTTGCAAGCATCGATGTGTGGACCGGGGCATCGCATCGGCTGCACCGCGCACAGCTCACCTGAGGTCATGGGCGCTTCAAGATACTCGCAGTGAGCCAGCCCTTCAAACGGTGGATCCGCCTCCGTAGTGGTGCTGGACAGCACGTTGAGCTGCAGCGCAGCCTGCTTGCCACGAACCACAAGCCACTGGCTGTCACCACTGCCGCTGCCGTTGTCGCTTGCTGCGCTGCTTGATACTAGGATGTCGTTCTGCGCGCGCAGCCTCGCTCGAAGCCAGTCCTCGGCGCACGCCACGAAGGGCAGGCCGTCGAACTCGAACTGCAGCGGCTTGCAGCTGACCTTGAACGCCGTGTAGACCTGCGGCCGGAACGCGCTGTGCACTGCGTCCGCCAGCGTGTGCAGCGGCGGAAGGTCCTGCGTCGTCAGGCACGTTGCATTCGCGCCGCTGTTGCCAAGCGGCCGGCGGTACCCTCGATGGTTCGTCAGCACATACTCCTCGGTCTGGTTCGAGGACGCCACCACCATGCGTCCGTCGAAATGGAGCCTGCGCGAGCACTCCGAGAGACGAGGCCGCAGTCGGCCCGTCACGTTGAGTGCATGCAGTGGGCCAGCAGAGCTCATGTTCGTCTGCAGCAGCGACAGGTTGAACTCGATTGTCGACGCGTTCCTCACTGCGAAGAAGACGGCGTCGGCTTGACGCCGCGCGGTTGACATGGAAGTCGCAGCCACCCACAGACACATGAGCACGTTGAGCAGCACGAACACCGCGAGCCCGAGACAGACCGAGTCGCGCGCCGTCCAGCGAGGCTTCTGCAGGGTAGACAGCACCTCCATTGCAGCCAACTGGCAGATCGATCGAACACGGCGCTTTTCCCAATGTACAACACGCCTCCTAATTAATACCAAACGCCTTCCTCCTCCGTCTCACACACAGCTAGCTACAGACTCATAAAATACCGGGTGGCAACGGGCTCCAAAAGCAACGGCATCCGTTCAGGCTTGGGACCAGTCGGTCGGCAGATCACGCTCCACCGTACAGTTGGCGCGAGTCTGCGACGAAGAGTCCTCGTTGCCCTCACGTCACCCTCATCTGCACCCACCCGTCCCACCCACTCCTACCGCTGGCTTTTACAGAGTGATCAGCGGCCCGACAACCAGGTTCTCCCACCTCAGCGCTAGTACCAGCACCTCGCGCATCCAGAAGGCGGCGTCCGATGAATTGGCCGAGCCCAGGGAGCCGCCGTACTCGACCTCGAAGCCGCGGATCGGCTGGCCCTCCACCTCCGGCAGCGTCGTGAACTTCCACCAGATGAAGGCCTTGGACCAGATCACGCACTGCGACGGCGCCGTGGTCGCGCCGCCCATCATGAGGTGCAGGTCGTCCGCGTCCTCGGGGTTCATATCCCGGATGCACACGAGGTGTCCGTCTGGCGTCTTGGTCCGGAACAGCAGGTAGATGGTGTGGTGCACCCACCCGTCGATCGTGTGCTTGATCTTGCGGCGCACCACCACCACGTCGTTCTCGAAGCGCTGCAGCACCTCGACCTTGACCTCGAGGCTGTGGCCGAAGTAGCGCGTCACCTGGTCCTGCACCGCGCGCATCTCCCAGCTGCGCGCCGCCAGGTCCTCGCTGCAGTCCTTGGCGAACGTCTTGTGGAACATGAAGTTGACGTTGTTGCCCACGAGCTTGCGCTTCTCGCGCCAGCCGCAGATCTCCAGGCCGCTCGAGACGAAGTCCTCGCTGTTGGAGAAGGCCTCGATCTCGAGGAACGAGTCGCGCATGATGCGCAGGCACATGGCCTCCTCCATGGGGCGCCACGAGCGCGGCGTCTGCAGGTCGAACAGCTCCTCCGCGACCGAGTCGGACGTCGTCTCCCTCTGTTTAGATAGAGAACAATCAATACACGAGTCAGGAGTTGCTTCTCCGGATTTGCAGGAAAGGAAGAGGCTGAAAGAATAGGAGCCCGTCCTCCTTCCTCGGCGAGAGAAGGAGGCGGGGGAGGACATGAAACGTACGTGGTCGTACTCGAGCTGCAGCATCGAGTGGAAGAAGCGGTGGTCGTCCAGCGCCTTGCGCAAGTTGTAGTTGTGGTTGGTCAGATGCTGCGCCTCCATGGTGAGCTCCGAGATCTTCTGGCGCATAGGGCTCTCGCTCTTGGCGCCCTCGCACAGCTCGCGGATGCGGACCTCCATTGCTGCCACGGTCTCCTTCATGGTCATCATCGTGTGCTACGCAATGTCAAACAGGCCAAGAGACAGCCACAGCAGGCACAGACACACACACCACCGCAAAAAAGAACACGTCAGTCCTCAACGAACGAGTTAAACCATGCTGACTCAGCCGCCGACATGACACCGGCACATCGGCACCGACACCGGCCGTTACGGCTCCGAAATGGCCACTCACCTCTCTCTTGTGGCGGCTGCGGCGCTCGTAGCTGCGTAGCCTGGCCTTGGCCTCGGACGGCGGCGGGCGCTTGGGCTTCTTCTCCTTGGCCTTGGGGGACGGCTTGCGGCCGCGCCTCTTCTTCTCCGGACCGGGGGGCGGTACCAGCGCGCCGCGCAGACCGAGCGGCGGCAGCGGGGCCACGGCCGAGGACGGGAACAGCGCGTCGGCGTGCGCGGCGGCCTCAGGCGCGTGCTCCATCATCATGGTCATGACCTCGTCGGGCCCGCTCTCGGACAGCTCGCCGCTCACGAGGTCGTCGTCCTGGTCCTGCTCGTGCGGGCTCTGGGCCGCGGACTCGCCCAGCGCGGCGCTCCAGAGCGAGTCCAGCTCCTCCTGCTGCTGGTTGGCCTCCTGCTCCTCCTCCGACAGCGTGCCCGGCAGCATGATGGCCATGACGGCGTTGCCGGCGTCCTGCTCCAGCTGCTCCAGGCGTAGCTCGCCCAGCTCCTCGTCGCTCAGCATAAGGCCGCTCAGCTCGGCGTCCGCGGCGGTCGGCGCCTGGTGCAGCGCGTGCATCAAGTCCAGCATCCTGCTTAGGTATTCGTTCTTTCCTTCTTTACGGCCGGCAAATCAGACGGCGCTGGCTGGGGCTTTTTAGCTCCTGGCCGAGGACAGCTCGACGGGCAGCGAGCGAAAACGATACTGAGGGCGGGGCGGGGTTGGGCATGCGGGGGGTCAGTGGGGCCATACTGGGGCCAAGTCACTTTATTTTACCGGCTGGGCGAGAGGGGCTCACTTGCTTCCAGTATGCTTCCCGTTCTTCTTTTCCTGCGACTGGTTACTTCGCGCAAGTTCAACCTCCACATTAGGGGCTCTGCTGGACGCTCGCAAAACGGGGAAGGAAGCACGTGCGGGGAGGCAGCCGGCGGCTCTGAGCCCATACTGGAGCCCTGTATCAGCACGATTGCCACCTGGCGGCACTCGGCTGCTTTGGGCAGGGTGTGCCGGTACGGCAGCGCCGGCCCCGTTTCGACGGTGAGGCTTTTGGTACAGCGTACCGCTTTGGGCATGTCGCTTGCAGTCTGCTTGGCGTCCAGCGATTGGGTAGAAAAGGGTCGGTCGTGACGCGCCAACGTCTAAATACAGCTATCATATCGGTACAAGGCATCCAAAAACCAAGAGCGCGCGAGGTGTCAATTGAAATTCAACCAAAGGTCGCGCGTATCTTTACGACGCCAATTCGATTTCAGCAGCCGCGGCACAACCAGCCACGAAGGCCACCACGTGGCTGGCCACTGTTCACGCCACCACCAGCGCCTCCGCGAAAGAGCAGCAGGGCTTGCTCTGCTCGGCCTAGGGAACGCCGCAACGGCAGCCGCCGCGGCAACAGCAGATTCCTGCCGCCCGCCTGCGTTGGCTCACGAGCGACTTCAACATGAAGGGTTGTTAAAATACCTTGCGTTTCGCGCCGCGCCGCGCGACTCCTGTCAGCAGACGATTAACGCATGATTTCTTTGAGCGCTCTACTCAACCTGCATCACTCGTTTTGCCTGCGAACGGCGTTCGCACGCGCGGACATGCACCGCTCGAATCGTAGATGGCATGGCCGCTGCGCTCTGTTAAACAAACTAGCAAAGCAAGAGGGTAGAGCTGCGTGGTGCCGCTTCCTCCGTCGCCATAGCAGATAGAGAGCATTCTGGTGTTGCAGCCAGCCACGGGCTCTGATATTCTATCTAATGCGTGTGCGGGCTGCTAGCTGCGGTGAGGCGATCACATTGGTCTTGCTAATGGCGACACTGCTACCTGGCCTTCCCTGCCTCACTATCTGGCCCGTGCCGCCGCCACCTCGTCGTTAGCAACGCTCGGGCGCTGGTCATCCGCGTTTGCCGCACGGCGCAAACTCGGCGCGGGATTGCTGGCGCTCGTTGAAGTGTCCACCACGGAGTGACGACGCTCGTACGTTTTCGCGTACTAATCCGAGCTTCTTCGCGTGCTTTGACTTCAATGACGTCGGGTTTTCAAATTTGGTCTAGTGATTACAGCGCACTTAACAATCGCACTTAGTCGCACTTAGCACATCAATATGACGCTCGTCTTGCAGTCTCAGCATCCATTCCATACGCCTCTCGTCGTTAGCAAGCTGCAAGTAGCCTGCGTGTGCATGTATTGCTACAGTACATGGAGCTTGAAAGCTACAGCTCGCGTTCCGGCGGTCTCGTAACACCACATTGCACGAATGGCTGACGTTTAACAGTCCAGCCGGTCTCGCGTCGCTGCAACATGGAGCCCCATTAATCGGTCTCAGACCGCGTTCGTCCATTACGACCGTAGTCGTTGCACTGGGCATGGCGCTAGAACTGTAGAACTGACTGGTGCTGCCGTTGCAGCACGTCACGCCAACGCAGGATGAGTGCGAGGCCGCTTGGCTTCAGGGCTGAAGCGAGGGATGCGCCGTGAGCTTCAAGCCCGAGTCGGCCGCGCCGACGTCGCCTCTGTCACCCGCTCCAGTTCGACACCGACCGATGCGCTGACTCAGCTCAGCGCCGCTGAGTGGAACGGCGGACCAGAAAGCGACAAATCCTCTTATGTCTTATCCTTAGTCGTCGCTATACCTAGTGTTGCCGCAGGTAGGCAGCGAGTCTTCGCAATAAATCCATCGCCCGTCCGCTGCTCAGCTGATCTGCATGTCCTCCGCCACCTCGCCGTCCTCAACTGCATCAGCAGGAGCACCACAGGGCGCCGCCGCTTGGACGGGTGCGACCGGCGCGCTGGCCTCCTCGCTGCTCGCCGCCGCGGCGTCATCTCCCTCGGGCGCGAGTGACAAGTCGTCGAAGCCCAGCTTGGCCAGCGTGTTCTCCATGCGCTGGCGCTGGCGGTTGCGCGCCTTCTTCTTGGCGTCCTTCTTCTTGCGGTCCTCCACCTCGTAGATGGTGCGGTAGACTTCCTTCGACACCTTCTCCTTGAGCAGCGTGAAGAAGACGCCGCCGGACGTGCGGCGTCTCGGCTTGTACTCGTGCGAGACCTCGTCCACCACGAAGAAGAGCTCGGGCTTGCCGCTGGCCAGCGCGTTCACCTGCTGGCCGCCGTCCTTCTCGAGCCGCAGCGTCTCGCGCAGCAGCTGCCACGACACCTTGGGCCCCACGTGCTTCACCACGCGGTGCAGCAGCGCCACCTTGGGCTCCTTCAGCATCTCCGACAGCACGCGCGGCATGTCCTTGGTCAGCGGCTGCTTGAGGTTGTTGCGGCGCCGCTTGGGCTTGTGCGTCCCCTGCTGCTGCTGCGCGCCATTGCCGTCCTTCCTGTGCTTGCTCCTGTGCTTCTTTTGCTTGTGCGGCGAGCGCGCGGATGTGGACGCGGGCGCGGGCGCGGCCTCCGTCGTGACGGCCACAGGCGCCGGTGGCGGTGCTACTGCCGTTGCTGCGGTGGCGACCTCCATAGTTTGTCTATAGTCAAGTGAAGTGATGGATCCCGACAACCAGCAAAAACAAAACGGCGCTAAAAGTAGCGCGCCAAAAATAATTGTCGAATTTTAGATTAAACCTATTGGACAGAATACAATATGATAGTTCGTGGGGTGTTGAAGGCAGCTTCAACTTGACGCGTTACCGCCGCTGCATCGAGCCTGTCCACAATGAGCAGGCAAAGCAATGGTTTGTTGGTGTGGGTTGAATGCTACTGCAACACGGTCTTCACGCACGTACCAGCGCTCGCATGAGCTCGAGTTCTCGTTGCTGCAGACGCTGTACCTGTTCCTGCAGCAACAAAACCATCCGCGCGTCGCTGGCCCTGTCCTCGAGCTACTGCTTCAACGCTGCGATCTCCTCCGAGAGCTTCGCGTTGCTTGCCCGTAGTGTGAGCAACTCCTTGTCGTGTGCTTCGTCTCTCAAAGTTTGTTGAACTGCGTCCACTAGACACGGACGTTCAGCGCTCAAGCTCAAGCTTGACACCGGATCAACACTGGCTGGTTCTTGGGGCTGCTGCTTGACTGCGGCAGTCTCCATCAAGGCATCGGCCTCTGTGGTGCGTTCTGCGGCCGTCGTTGCTGCAACTTTTTCGATGATGTGGGCCTTTGGTGAAACAGAACTAGGCACAGTTTTCGCGTGAACGTCGACGATGTCGGCGACCTGCTGAAGCTCGTGCAGGCAGCGCGCACGCTTTGTTTTCCTCTCACCCAAACCCTACTGCTTTTCATCACGTTGCCGCTTATGAGCCGACACATTCTTTTTCGTCTGCTTTCGCTGGAGCTTGTCCAGTTGCTGCAAACACAACACCTTCCTCCAGTCCATCGGAGTCGCAGCTTTGGCCAATGGAGTGGAGGCGTCAAGTTCTCCGTCGGGTTCCTGGTTGCTAGCAAGCACTCGCGACCGACGGCCCAATAATCCCATTTCCCGTCGCAGCAGCGCTTCAAGCTCATCATCTTCTTCATCGTCTTCTCCATCGTCTTCACCGTCAGTCATGGACGGCGACCCTGGCGTACTAGCCACTTTCGCTGAAGCCTCCACGGCACCAGTTACTGCACTATATGGCACGCTCAATCTGCGGCGCTCCACGAAGAGCAGCATCGCTCGCCTCAGCAGCCGGTCAAGCTCGTCGTCGTCATCGTCCTGCTCTGATGTCGCCTCAGCTTTAGTCACCTTTGATCCCTGCTCGTCTCGTTGCCGCAGTAGCATCAGAGCTCGTTGCAGCAACTGGTCCAGCTCGTAGTCTCCCTCGTCCTCCTCAGGCTCCGCTGCCTGAACACCGCGGGCGCAGCCTGTCGGATCCGCCTTTGCACGTAGCAAAAGCACGAGTTCGCTGTCGTCCTCGTCCACTGCCGAGTGCGCGGCCTCATGTTGGTTGCCAGCAACGCACTCCTTCGTTGACTCGCGGTCGTCCCCCAGCTCACTCATAATGCGCTTCAGCCATTGAATCTCACGCATCGCGGCGTCCGACGGGTAGGAAGCTACTTCCTGCAACTCAGGCAAATTCGAAATGCGGTGCGCCTCTAGCCGCCAATCAACTTTTTTGCCGCCAAATTGTTTTTCGCGGGAAAGCAGATTCCATCTGGTAACCGACCAATGACAGGCCTTGAATCATTTATTTTTACTTATTCACTGCAGAAGTTCTGCAGCAGCACTAGATGTGTACTCCATCGATCTCCTGACTGGCCTGTACCGGGCCCAAGGAGGCACGATAGCGCGAGAGTCCCGGGGTAGCTGCTTGTAGTGCATCTGGCAGAAGTTGTGCGTGCGCTCGAACGCAGGTTTGATGCAGTCGGAGACCAGGCAGCGCTTGCCGCCGCCGTGCGCCCAACAGAAGCCTTTGCAGATGGTGACTTTGGTGCACCCCGGGTGCTGACACTGGGTGCCGCCGCCGTGAGACCAGCACAGGCCGCGCGCCTTCGCCTTCTTGTTGCAGCCATCGACCGTGCACTCCGTACAGCTGCCGTGTTTCCAGCACAAGCCGCGGTGCTTGGCGCCCGTGAAGCACCCGTCCACCAAGCACTTCTTGCCGCCCTGGATCGCAGACACAAGAACCGACGCAAGTGAATACGCAGCTCAGCTATAATGAGATATGTATGGAGGGTGTGTAGCCGTACCCCGTGACGACAGCACCGACCCATCTGGACGATGTACTTGGTGCAGCCCGCCACCTTGCACATGCGGCGCCACTTCTTCTCGTCCTGGACCGGACTCTTTTGTGTCGGCTCTGAAGAAAGCGCAGCTGTGTTGAGGATAAAGGGAAGCCCCCACTTATTCGGGCTGCTAGGGGGTTTCGTCGTCACTCGCATTGTGTCTTCAGTGTCGGTGAGTGTCGAGCCCAAGTCGAGTTCCCCGGCGAGGTGCTGGTGGATGTTCATGGTCGGCCTTCGCGCGCTGCGTCTCGTTGGGGAATGAACTGCCTGCTGGTTGTGCGTCCGCTGGGTGGACAGCTGAGCGACAGCATCGTTGAGACTCAGCGGTTCAGAAGCGGCGTGGATCGGGTGGTGAAAAATCTTCTGCCGTTGGAGGCCCGCCCGACGGGCGTGTAAACGCACGCGCTGCGTCCCCTTCAGGCGCTCAAAATCTGCAGGGCCTGCGCTGCGTTCGGCTGAGCGTGCGGCTGGATCAAACCTCGCGCTCACAAACTCTACGTGCCGCTCAGAGTAAACACCAGGTCATTAGCTCACCTACGTCCACGCAGCATGGCCACTGGTATGCAGCATCGCCAGGCTCTCGCTCGAATGCGGCTGTTTCTTTCTACGCCAACGCAAGGACACACACGATGCTGCGGCCGTTGCCACGGTCGCCGTGCTCGGAACTGCTTCTCGGCACGTTACGTGGGGCTCTGTGTGCGTGGGCTATGCCTCAGCTCAGGTCAGCGACCTTCCCCGCCGGAGGCGAACCCGCCGAACGAGACCAGAGCCGTACTGTTACCTTATTGGCGCAGTTTTACGTCTCCAGCAGGCCGCCGTGTAGTAGGCTACTACTAGCAGTAGCAGCTTTCAGCACGCAAGTAGCTCCGAGCGAGTTGCTCGGGCGGCGATGTCGTGCGCTGGAAGGCATGCACCTGGGGTTTCTGGGCTGCTTGGATACCATTTGTCTGCCCTGCCACGATGTCTATGTGCTGAAGTACAGTGCTGTAGTAACTGTTGGGTGCGAGCTGGTGAGTCGGCTCAGCACGAGAATCTCGCCAGCTGAGATGTAGCCCGCGGTCTGCGTAAACTCTTTGAGCCAACGACCTGCTCGTTGACGGTGCTGAGCGAACAAACACGTGGCTGGCAAGGCAAGCACTGGATCGATACGAGCTGCTGCTTGGGCCGAGTGCCTCCCGGCGGTTTCACTGCTTCACTTTGTCGCGGACTCTAGTACAATTTACATTGCTAATCTTCTAGCGCAGTGACTGCGACAGAATATAAATTGGTGCCGAGCTCTGATAGGGCGATCGCCTTCAACTTCAATCGTTGCAAATCTCAAGCGAAATGCCCAGGTGCAATTTTGTGTTGGTTTTCCGGCGTCGGCGCGATAGTTGCCACGCCTGAAGCTCAGCTTTGTCAACTTAGGAAATACGTGTTTGTTTTGTTAAAACATGGAGTTTACGATGACTTCAACTTGGTTACAGCTCTCGATTTAAGGCTGGGTAGGTGTGTGTACGCACTGACTTGTAGTGCCGCAACCGAGAAACGGCTCGGAGCGCCCCGAAGGGTACTCATTCTTACCGTTCTCAACCACGGTGGAAACACGCTCTCGACCACAGGTGAGTTGGTGGAAACACGCTTTTGTGCCCAAGCCGACTACAGCAGCAACGTCACGGGCTTTCCTTCAGAACGAGCTGCAGTCAATCGCAACAGAACAGGCCGGTCTCGAGTCTGGTACATGTAACTCGACGATGACCGGTTCCCAATGCCTGCACAGGACGCGCACGGATAGTGCTGAATGCTACGCAATGGTTAGTTTGTCGGAGTCTCGGACGCTGGCTGAGCAAAGAGAGCACCTTAGACAGAAGCCAACACCTCTGAGAGGAGCAAGGCTCGATCGACTCGGTTAACCCGGCGTCAGCCGGATCCAGGCTGCGACTGGCCGCAAACAGCATTTAACCAAGGGTGGTGGTCCTGAGCCAGGACTCCCGATCGTGTTTTTGCAGCCGCAGAAGAAACAGGGTTTGAAGGCATCGCTACAGTGCCCTAGCCAGTGTAGCTTGCTAAGTTGGGAAGCTACCGAAACAGAGGTCCAAAAACACACAAGACTCTTGCCCTTCAGTTCCGCGAAGAACAGCGGCAAGGTGCTGTCCGATAGTATCTCGAGACCAAGCGCTCCGTGTGGAGGAGTGCTGTCTAAGGGCGCCTCGCATGGACGCAGGAAAGTTTGTAAAACGGTTTCGTGAAGGTTTCAGGTGGAAGATTTTTTCACGCCGCCTACAAGAGCTGCCCGGGCGTCTACTACTCGACTGTCTTGCTCGTTCACAACCAAATCCTCCGCTTCGAGCCACCACCACCGCCGCCCGATATCATCTCAACTCCAACGAGCAACATGTCCACCTCGCAACTCCGCTTCCGACGGAAAATAGGCAACGCGCTCTACGGCGAAGTCATGGAGTGCGAGCTCCGGCAGTCCAACCAGCACCAAGCGCACGTCCCACTTCTCCCTCCTGGCCGGCGATGCATCGTCGCCGTCAAATGCATGTCACTGCCATGCGCGCGCGACGCCCAGCATAGGTTTGGCGTTCATCGCACTATTGACGATCCGCACCAAGAACGCCGAGTCGCTGAACTGCTGGCGAAGAGCGGAGGTCACCCCAACGTCGTCGCGTCCTACTTCCACTTCCAAGAGCACGAGTGTGTCTACATGGTAAGCGAGTACTGCGCCGACGGAGATCTGTACACCTACACCACCTCTCCAGCTCAAGGCGGCTCCGTAGACGAGCACACGTCCATCCGCATCATGAAGCAGATCTTCGCTGGCGTGGACTTCCTGAATCACCAGCTCGGTATCGCACACCGCGATCTGTCGCTCGAGAACGTGCCGATGCACAATGGAGTGTGCAAAATCTCCGACATCGGGCTATCTGTGAGTGTTAACGCTCGCTGTAGAGGTCGTGTGGGGAAGGACTACTACATGGCCCCGGAGGTGGTCGAAGGGGAGCAGTACGACCCAGTGGTAGCCGATATCTGGTCACTCGGTATCATGTGGTTCATCATGCTGACGGGGTCGCCTCTGGTCTCGATCGCGTCGCGGGAAAACAAGGCGTTCGTAGCGCTCGAGCAGTGCGGGGTTGAGGACGTCTTCACGTCGTGGTAGATCGACTGCAAACTATCGGGAGGTGTGATCGACCTCATCTCTCGAATGCTCCAAGTTGATCCAGCGAAGCGAATTTCCCTTAGTGAGATCATAAAACACCAGACTGTACAGACAGAGGTGACGCGATAGTTCGTCAACAAGCACCATTAAATTAGCTATAACGGAAGGAGGAATGCGCAACGATTTTTAGGCTGCATACGGACAAACATTTACTATACATCAGCAGCCATGGCTAGCTAGGCAACACAACCCGCGCTTTACGCGCAGCTATCTAGTTACGAAGCCTGCGACGCTTGCAGCCCTTGCCACCACTCGGTCCAGAGGCAGAGACACCGACCACCTTGCTGCCGGCGTCCTGCACAGGGCTGTCGGACTGCTCGGGGCTGTCGTTCTGGTCGGGACTGTCGGACTGGTTCGGGCTATCCAAGGTGCTGCCAGAGTCGCTTGACCCGTAGTCACCGCCCTTGCCCTTCTTGGCACCGTCCAGGTCGAGTCCCGTCGGGTGGCTTCCAGACCCGCTGGGAAGCTGCTTTGGGCTGTCTTTCGACACGGTCGGCATCGGTGTCGGTACTTCTTCCGAATCACTGCCGCTTGTCGTAGTCGGCGCCGGAGTCGGGGACGAGTCGGTGCTGGCGTCGTCACTGGTCGACGTTGTCGGTGCCGGTGTCGGAGACTCGTCAGTAGCGGAGGACCCTGCGACGGAGGACCCTGTGCTCTCGTCCGAGTAATCGTCACCGCTTGACGTGGTCGGTGCCGGCGTCGCAGCCGAACCGGTCTGGTCAATAGCCGAGGAACCGGTGGCCGAAGATCCTGTGCTGTCGTCCGAGTAATCGCCGCCGGTCGACGTTGTCGGCGCGGGCGTCGGAGACTTGCCACTTGAGACTGTCGTCGGAGTGTGGTTGGTAGGGTTGCCCTGCTCGAGGCCCGTCACCCCGTTCATGGCCACGGCCACGGCGACAACCAGCGAGAGGGCTTTCCACGAGAACATTGCGGTCGAAATAGATGCGATGAGGTGGTGAGTCGAGTGTGCTCTTGCCGAGGCAAATTGAGTAATGAACTTCCAGTAAATTTGGTGGTTGTTGACCGCACCTACACTAAAGAGGATACGGTGCGCATGCTGGTGGTGGAAGGCGAAACATGGTAAAGGGTGAGCGACACGATGGCAAGCCAAAGGGTGAACGTACCGAACTCGTGAACTGCAAGCTACTTGGCGCAGCGCTGTTCGAGCCAAATGGCGTCAACCGGATGTCGACTAAAGAACAGGGGGCGGGTCTTGTGTGGTGACGGACCTACACGCCTTGTCGTATGCTGCCACACTTCTGGTAAACAGATCCCCGGTCGATGCAACGTACAGAACAAATTGCCACAGCGCCAAAGCCAACGCCAACGAATCTTTGGTGCTTGTAGAGTTCCTGGTATGCAATGCCAGTGTGCCAACTGTCGTGACAGACGAAATGCTAGGAAAGCAGTTAGCTGCTAGGGTAATGGGCCGGTTTTCGGCCACCTAATTTTAATATAAGTTTTTTTTTGGACAGCCTACGCGCCCAGATTTCCCAGGTTAGAAAAATACTCAGATTTCTGATTCTGCAGGTATTGCCAGGTTATATCCAGGTATATGAATTATGAGCGTTATCAGATGAAAGTAATTTAAACAAGGATGGTTAAATTACCAGAACAGTTAATGTCCAGGTTAAAAACCTGGAAAACTCATGTGTGTAGTACTTGAGGAAAAGTGAAAATGACGGCCTACAGGCTGCGTCGGATGCATTCTAGCCATTCATTTCTTGTTTCAGTGTCCAGGTAGTTTGCAGGTATGAAAACCTGGAAAACTCATGTGTGCACTACTCGGAAAAAAGTCGAAGTGGCGTCGATTGGTATCGATCGGAACCACACGACATGATAATGGCTTCAAAACAATCATTGTGTACCCATCTACTCGTACAGGTTTCTAACAGGTTGTAAACAAAAGTTGTCCATGTATTATCCATAAGATGCACTTCTCGCTGCTGCTCACTGTCTAGCTACGCTTCATCGTGGTGATCTTGTGCAGCATTGCCCAACGCAGCTTGGTGACGCCACTGGGAGACACATCACTTGGCACTTCGCTGTCAACGCACGTCCACAATAGACGGCACGCAAACACCCCGCAGCTATCGCTATCTGTCTGCTTCGGCTCCGTCACTTCGACGTCGCTGTACGCTTCATCCTCAAGGGGGCCTGCAAGGAGCTCGCTTGCCATCTTCTTAAGCCGTTTCTTGTTTCTCTTCCCACCCATGCTGTCATACGTCTTCACTAGCCGCGCTTCACGGTCCACTACGATGCATCCCCAATGAACTCCACCGAAATTGACCGGCATAAATACAAAAGCATGCGCCTCAATACCACAAGCAACCTCGTCCAGCGACGTTGGTGCGAGTATGTGATTCCCCATCTTACCCTTCTTAAGAGGGGGAACCATCACCGTCACATTGTTCTTGTAAGTAGACAGAAACACGGTAAACGCCCGCAAGGCGTTGTCGTTCAGCCAAGCGGAGTGTCTGAAGCAGAAAAGGTCTGCGTAGGTCAGGTCGAAGCCAAAGCCATGTAGCGGTGTGTATGGCCAGCACTCGAGTACTTTGCCAAGAAACAGCCCAGGGGGGGCGGGGTCCGCTACGATACCTTTCACGTCTTGGCTTAGCCATGTGCGACACAGTACCGCATTCCGGCATGTAGCCTGCCAATTCCACAGCGACTGCATCGCTTCTAACTGCACCCGGGTAAATCTGCCAACTCTCTCAATGGCGGCCACGTAACCTTCCGTTTCGCGTGTCACCCCTCCATCACTGTCCAGCTCACTCTCCTCCCCTTTTGCCAAACCACCTCTCAGTTTAGCTAGAGCGTCTTCAACGACGGACTCCGGTAGTCGGAAGCGCACAACCTCCCAAATATATTCCGTGTCCGACATCCACTGGATTGATTTTCCGTCACCTTTCTTCTTTGTTTCATGCGTAGTCAAATACGAGCTGAGCTCGCGGACACCTGGCTTAATCAATTCCAGCGTTGCTGCCACTTCCGTCACGTCCTTATCTCGTAGTAGAGCTCTGAGTTTCATTCCATTGTTGTATTCTTTCAGCGCCAATGCTGCCTTCTCTCTCATCTGAGCACGATTCAACCGTGGTCGACCGACACGCCTCTTGTTTGCAGTCGAACCTTTGAGCCTTTGCCTGGCTGCACCGATTCCTGGGCGGAGGCTGTCACTTGTGTCGGGGGTTCGTCTTCGTCATCATCTGGTCCTTTTCCGTGAGCTGCATCCTCTCTACCAGAAGCACTAGGACGAGCATTCGTACCCCCGTTCCTGGGCTACCTCCACCGCCTCCGTGACTATCACTGCTAATACTGTTGCCCCCGCCACCACTAGCGCCAACCCGATCGGGGCCCGAATCGTCGACGAAGTCTGCATCAGCTTGCACCAGCGGAAACTTCCCTTGACGAAAGTCGTATCACCACTTATCAATCTGCTTCATCGCAGACTCGAACACAGTGTCATCGCATCGGACAAGCTCGCTGCTGATTCGACCAAACGCCTGCTGCGAACGCCGATACTTCTCGGCTTCACTCAAACTACCAGCGCTCGCAGCTGGATGCCCTTTGTAGAGCTTAGCAACGAACGGATTTTCCACCTCCATCAAGTCCTGTTGCGAGATGCGATTCTGTTCAAACCACCTATTCATGCACATCGATAACAAAACATGGTTAAAACTTGGTCAATACATGGGTAAAACGAGATACCTGGATAACACCTGGTCAATACTCATAGAAAAACTAGACATACCTGGGCGAAATGGAAGAGAATGGGATGATGAAGGGGCTTCCACACACTTTTCTGTAGACCATTGCATGTATGCACGGAAGCTTCATAGTCTGCGAAAACTCGCAGTCGCACACCCAGCCTTCCTTCTCGAGGAGATACTCGTTCTCCTCGCTTTGTACGGTGATCGTAGCGCCATTGTCCTTGAAAGCGTAGGTATCGACAACCCCGGGGTTCGTAGCAATGTCAAATTGTGTCTTCAGAGCAGCTGCTACCCACCTCGTGGTCATGCCCAGAGCGACGTTCAACTCCTCAGGGTACGAGGCGTCTCTCAGGGTACCCGGCATCCCGACCTTGGACCGATAGGCTTCTTCTTTGCGGCACTGATATTCCAGAAGCACCTCCAGACTAGCGCGCATAGTTAGATGGTCTTTCAGCTTTCGCTTCAGCTTACCGAATAGGCTCTCGACACGATTATTCGTGTGATTGCCGAAGTGTGGCAAATCGACACGGTAAGCCATCACCCACATCTCTCGGCACGCATTCCAGTTCTTGTCGAAATACTCCCATAGCTCCACACGACCATTCCGCGAGGCCAGACTCTTGAACTCATCCCGATGCCGCACATAGGCTTCCTCAGTTCTGGAGTATGTCATGTTCGTGATGGTGTGCTTCATCTGCGTCAAAACTTCTGCTTCGTAGGCTCCATAGGTCTGCGATTTCTTGATGGTTTCATGAAGCCACTTGATGACATGAAAGTGGCAGAGAAGAATCCGTGCCTCCGGAAATTTCTTGCGAATCACATCGATCTCGCGCATGTCCTTGTCGACGATGACTATCCGCACGAACCGCCAGTGCTCATTTGCACGCTTGAAGTGGTCGAGGCACTTTGACATGTGCCAATCGCCATTCGTTTCAATGAGGGAGTACTGCACCGGTTACCCTTGGCCATATTGATCCATAGCTACAATCGTGAAAAGCTGGTAGTTGTATCTATCCACAATTGATATGAAAACATGGTTAATACCTGGTGTAAACCTGGATGATATGCATAACAAAGTTGGGGGACTCACTGATTTGTCTGATGCGTGCAGTCCATCTGCAGAACCTCGGGAAAGTTGTCTACCATCGCGCGCATGTGTCCACTGGTAAACGAGATAACACCAGTATCTCCTCGTTGGCTTTCGTGAACGGAAGCTACATTAGCGGGCGAGTCTCCATTGAAGTTCAGGATCATCTCCGCAACCGCGTCGTCATCGGACAGTTCCACGCCTGCAGTCATAAGTAGTATAAGCATCAGCACACATATAATATAGAACAGCAGCATAACTGCCTTGCGTCTTCATTCGCCTGATCATGCTTCGCACGTCGTCCATCGAGACGCGGTGGTTCGAGATCTCCCTGATGTACTTGTACACGCTGGAAGTGCTGGCTTGGGCGTCGACCAGGAGCTCGATTCCGGGCATGAGCGGAGACTCGGCAGGAACCTGGCGAATACCTGGCGAATACCTGGGTAAGACCTGTAGATGTCGTTGGAAATGGGGTGGTTGTGGCTGTAGACTTCTCGCTTCATGACGATGCCCAACTTTCCATCTCGGCGAAGGACGACTTGTGCAAGCATCTGGAACGGACACTCAGTGCGGCGGAGCTTGTGCGACGTCCTCTTCCCCGTCGATTTCTCACGCTCCTTCCAGCCGTGTGTGCAGATGTACTTCCGCTGATAGGGCTCCCACTCGTCGGGCACGAGAGGAATTTCTGTGTCAGGAAGCCCTCGGAAGCGGACCTGCTTACGCAAGTCTGCGTTGCGGCGAGCCACGTTGATGACCTCCGCGATGACGATCTTCTGTCGCGTCGCATCCATGTACTCCTGTAGGCTGACATCAAGCAGGGGCCACGATCATGCTGGGCCTTGAACGCTAGAACGTGCACCAGGTCCTCGTCTTCAACGTCGGAAACGGTGTGCTTCTTCCATTGGCGCTGCCCGCCCTTGGTAGCTCCTTTCTTCTTTTTCTTCTTCTGCGCGCCCTCTTCTTCATCTTCTTCAACCTCTTCATCTCCGTCTTCCTCTTCGTCTGCATCTTCTTCCTCTTCATCTGCATCTTCGGCGTCTTCTTCCTCTTCATCATCTTCTTCTTCCTCTTCTTCTGCGACATCTTCTTCCTCTTCGGCCGTTTTCTCCTCTTCATCGCCAGTGGATGAGTCACCTTCTGCAGTCGCATGAGGGCCGAACTGCGTGGCCCGTGAGTCGCGGGCATCCTGAAGCGCCTGTGATCGCTGCGATCTGGTGCGCGCTGGTCACCTTCCTGCGTGCCTCCTCCTCCTGCCGCGCCCGCTCGGCCATCTGCGCCTTGATATGGGCCGTCTTGGGGGTGCGCGCCATGATGCTGGGGTCTCCAGGGCCGAGCAGGCACCGCACGTCGAATGCCACGTGGCTGGAGCTGCCCCCCCCCCCCCGAATTGGTGGCTGTGAGGCAAAAGCTGAAATGACGGTAATAAAAAACGGGATAAATTATCCCTGGACAATACCTGTCGCCAGACCTGAATAATAACTGTTTTGTAAAACTTGGGCTAGTAGCTTGCCGTTTTTTTTTGAACGGCTGCGTCAATTTTGGCTTGAAAGCCGCCATTGAATTGACTTGAGAAAACGTAAGTCCTGGACGCCGACGCTTGGAGAGTTCGCTCGTATTGGTTAAAATTGTGAATTGTAGACCAACACAGCTCCTTGTACAACGAAAAAGTCAGCGGCTGCTTGCCCGAGTGTTTAGGAGAGCTAGACTGGTTTTGCTCGGCCTCGATTCACTTGCACCCAGAAAAAAACTGCTTCATGTCATCTCCGTATTCTACAGGCAGCGCTACTCGTTTCAATCGATACAGATCCTTTATCGCGCTGCGATAGCCGCTTAGAGTCGCCGATTTGGCTGTACTTCGTTTGTACACCAAAAATTGCTCGAAGCAAGCTGGAGTGAACTCTGTGAGGTTTAGATCATCATCGGCATCGAAGAATTTAGCTGTATTGCGATCCTCCAGCGTCAGCGCATACACTTCTCTGATCCACTTCTTGATGCCGTTGATATTGCTGGTGTACTTTTTTCTCGTCTCTTTGGAGATGCATGCGTCGCGTATTGCCTTCATCTCCGCGACAGCGTCCTGCGAGCTTCCATCAGCCATCTTCGCACGAAGCGTTAGTTCTTAAAGTGATTTTGGCCAATCATCGTGGCGCCTTATCGTCGGCTACCGCCGCTTACGCCTTCCCGTAAGGATGCGATCCTAACTGCCCCTATAGTGGACCTCAGTCAAATGTGTCGTCCTCCAAGGGGTGGGAATACACCAATTCTGGAAATCATAAGCCAATCCGTCTACGTTTTAACAGGAAGTCCCATATGTAACTTATGTAAATACGAGAATGTAAAGAGTAGAATCTCCTCTATCTCGTGTACTACTTATAGCTTTGTGGAGCGAGGCATGTGATCAAGATCGACGAGCGGACATTATGCTTCGATTGAGATTATTTTCAATCGCCTCCCTTTTTTCGGCCACCTGGAGCAAATCAAACTGAAAAAAACAACGAACTTTGGCAACTAATTTCGGCGAATAAACATTCTTAGGGAAATAAAGTAACGGGCAGCACTACAACCACGAGTGACGTCTTGGAAATCTATACATAGCTTTGGATACCAAAACAATGCTTTTGGTGCTGAGCCTTACAACGAAGTTCATTGGAGTATCCGTAAGAGAGGACTGCGAAACTCGCTTGGGCTCATACGCTGGCAGTTAACGACACCGTACATGTATCGCACTCTTGATGACTACAATGGATTGGATTACTAGACTTTAGGACAAAACTTTACAAACTACGCGCTCATCAAATACTCTACGTCGAGCCATCTCCAGCCGATTCACGACTAGTGAATCGGCAGGAGATGGCTCGGCCGCGTAGTGAATCACTACGCGGCCATCTAGTAACGGCGTAGACGACGCTTGCAGCTCGTGCCCGTGCTCGGGAACGTCGCCGATCCGCTGCTCTCCGTGGCGGCCGACGCACCCGTCTGAGTCGGGCTCGTGGCGTCACTCCCGGCCTCGCTCGTCGGCGTAGAAGCCTCGCTGCCGGTCTCGTTCGTGCTTGGGGTAGCGGCATCGCTGCCCGCGTCCTGTGTGGTAGAGCCTTGCGTTGGCGTGGTTGCCTCGCTGCCGGCCTCGCTGGTAGGAGTAGTCGCGTCACTGCCCTGGTCCTGGGTGGCGGAGCCCTGCGTCGGCTGGCTCGCGCTCGAGTCGGAGCTGCCCGCAAGCGACAGAGATCCCTCGCACGGCTCCGAGCCTGAAGCACTGCTCTCGTCCAGAGCCGACGAGCCGGCCACGTCGCTGCCGGTCGCGGAGCTGCCGGCAAGCGAGAACGAGTCGTCACACGGAGCCGAGCCCGACGCCGAAGTCGACGCGCTGCTCAGGTCCAAGCCGCTTGAGCCCTGCTGCTCCTGGCTGCCGACAGAAGCGTCGAAGCCACCGGAACCGCTTGCAGTCGAGGACGTGTCGGGCGTCGCGTTGCTGCCTTGGTCGATGGCCGATGAGCCTTCCACGGCACTTCCGGCACTGCTGGCGGTGATGTCGGTTTGGCTGGGAGTGCTGGCGTCGCTGCCCTGGTCGATGGCCGACGAGCCTGCCACGGCGCTACCAGTGGACGGGTTGCTGCCACTGCCGCTGCCGCTGGGCAGAGCCGTGTCGGTCTTGCTCGGGTACGACGTGTCGGTGCTGCTCTGGTCGACGGCCGACGAGGCGTCCACCGACGAACCGGTGGTCGTCGACTGCACGGGGGACTCGTCCGACGAGGGAGTTGCGGTGGTGGACGCCGGCAGGTTCACGCCGCCGCCGTAGCCCTGCTCGATGGCAGCGACGCCGCTCATGGCCACAGCGGCCGCAACAAGCAGAGAGAGGGTCTTCCAGGATAGCATCGCTGCTGGTGCTGTTGTCGATGCGGATGTGCTGGTGTGTAGTGAAGTCTAGTGCGTCGAGCTGTGCTGCGACGCCCGAGGCAAATTGGAGAATGAGCTGCTCAAATGACCGCTCTGATCGATCGATCGATCAATCTACGGGAACGAACGGGTCTTCGAGGCACTCATCATCTGCCCCTTGCTACAGAGACTCGTTGATACCCGAGCCAGCGGTCTGACATCTCGCCCCGTTGCTCGTATCCATCTGCACGATCATTTGGTTACCTGTTTGCACCGCAGTCGTCACGAGGACCATGAACGGTGAGTGTCAAGGAACATCAGAGAATGGACGGGCGCACATGCGTTCATTGCAGCTCATGGACGCTCGAAGCTTGATCAAAGAGGGTTCGATACCGTAGTCGTTCATGTGCAACCCGCTCAACGTGCTCGCGGCATCTGCTGTCGAGCGTCCAGCAAGAGCACCCCCGCAGCTGGGTCTGCGGCGTTCTCGAAAGCATTGTGAGGCGGGCAGCCGATTTCCGCGCTAGTGTCGCGAGTGTTGCCGTCGTTGCTGTGGCACAATGAACTACAGGCGAAGTTTAACGCGACGGGGCTAGTGGTTTGTTCGTTTTGTTGGCTGGCATACGAAGAAAACAGCAGCGCGAGAAGAACGAAGCTCAATGGAGCCTCTAGCCGCATTTTATGCTTCGAGGAGCTTTTGCCCAACGTCCATGGTGTCGCCGTGCCAAAGGTATATGCACCTAGTTGCTCCGTTAACGCATTGATACAAAAGCATATTGGTCAGACCAGTAGCCTGAGAAGAACGAACTACTCTCACCGAGTTTTGCGTTTATCATTGCGGTGCGTTTGTCAATGCAGCGAGAGCCTTGCATGTCCAACGTTCGCGATATCTTCGTGTCAAAAGAATTCGTCCAGTCGCCCGCAACATCTTGGTACAACTTGGTACAAGCCTGAGGTGAACAACGTAAGAACAAATTGCAAGGATATTCAACGTTATCTGAGCCCTAGACCACCTTCGTATAATGAGGGTCCTAGCTGTCGGATAACCTCCTCTGCTCTAAACATGCTCGTGAAAGCGAAACTCACGTCGAACGTACGATGAATGAATGCACAGGGTGCTGGTCCTCGGTCTTCTTAGTGACGGAGACGACGAACTTGGCACCCACCCTTGGGAGGGATCTGGTCATCGTCGCCAGCCATCGAAGCTTCACCCGCGACGCTGTCATCGTCCGTGGAGGCGTCCCTGTCGCTGCCGGGGCCGCTTGAAGGAGGGTAGACGCCTCCCTTGCCGGGAGGAGTTCCAGCACTGCCGCCGCTACCGACGTCACTCGGAGGAGGAACATCGACACTGCCGCTACCGCTGGGCGGGTGGTACCCGCCCTTGCTCGGGTATCCACCTTCGCTGCTGTCGCCCGTATCCGACGGCGCGTCGACGTAGACGATGCTGCCGTCACCGCTGGCCACCTTGCCACCCGAGAAGGACTCGCTGCCTCCCGTAATGGACGAGCCGTCCCAGCTCAAGCTGTTGCCGTAGCTGCTGTCCGGGCTCGGAGTCTCGCCGGGGTAGCCGTCGCTCCCTTCATCACTCGTCGACGAGCTCTCCACTTGGCTTCCAGTGTCAGAGTCGCTGTCCTCGATGGTGCTCGACGAGCCTTCCACTTCGCTTCCAGTGGTGCTGTCGGTCGACTGCGAGTAGTCCTCACTGCCGCTCTGCTCGGCCGTGGAGCCTCCCGTTGACGTGGGCGGGGCGGTGGTCACAACGGCCGTAGCTGTCGTCTGACTCGGCGACTGGATGGGCGAGTCACTGGACGAATCGGTTGACGGCGCGGTGGTCTGGATGCCGCCTCCGTAGCCCTGCTCCAGACCCACGACTCCGTTCATGGCGATGACGGCCGCGACGACCAGCGAGAACGTTTTCCAGGACAGCATCGTCGTTGTAGGGAGGAACTGAAGAGTGCAGTGGTTGGGAGTGTTGCGCTGCAACTGACTTAGTAAGTTGGGGAATGAGCTAGGATACCCGACAAGCAGCGCTCAAAAGTCCAGTATCACATCGGGACTAAGAGACCGTAGCGAACCCACAGAGCTACATGTAGCGAAGCGTTCGACACCATCGATCGGCGAAGGAACATGTCGCTCGCGTTCTTGGCTGCACCAGGCCCGACTCCAGGGTGAGGAGGATGTTCGCCACAAGACCGAACATTCCACATCCCCACGTGGCTCCATGTTTAGCCCACCGCCAAGCGACTTAGCGCTCGTCGACCCGGCCCGGAAGCCAAAAGCGTAAGCCGTACGTATGTGTGGATATGCGGCTCACCTGTTTCTAGTCGACGTAGTCCATCCACGCGCACCGAAACGAAACGAGACGTGCGTCCGGAGCAACTGGCATCTGGTGCCGCGCCATGGACTAAAAGACAGCGCCAGCGAGTTGTGGATGGTGTCGGAGTCGGCCGCCGGTGCGTGTGGCTCACTCGAGCGCGCGCAAACCCTGCCACGCGCGTCGAGCGGGCACTACTGGCGAAATGATCGCTTGAAGTTCAGCAGCTGGTTTCGGGGCGCCTTCGCTCTCTGACAGCCAGTCAAAGAAAGTTCCGATCCGAATTATCCGGACAGTCTCAGAAGTTCAGCACTATATCCGGATGCGGGCGTTGCACGCCGCTCGCAATTCGACCAGTCCAGCTTCGAGTTCTTCCTTTGACCTGCCGAACAGCACGACGAACCTGCCTGCTTGTCTGTTCAAGGAACGATGGAGGCGGCACTTCGATCGATGTAGAGGAGGGTTTATTTTTCGCGTCGAAGAATTGAGCAACACGCCCATCAGTACAACATGTTCGACGTGTATCTTCGGCGCTTGGGCGACCCGTTGCTCTCTTTGGCAGCCGCTTCGTGGCTGTGGCGACCGAAGCCCGTGTCCATGGATTTTTTCTCGGGCAGCACGCGATAGAAGCCGCGGCGCGCGCTCAGAAAGCGGTCGTTTTCGAGCAACACGCCGTGCGAGAGGTACTGCACTGGCCAGAGGAACTGCTCGTCCCCCACAGTTTTCTCCAGACTGCCGATGCCAATGCCACCGCTACGAACAATGTGTTTCGATCGAATAGGAATGTCCAGCAGCTCTTCCAGTGGGAGTCTCTTGTACCCAGCCATTGCCGCCTGAGCAGACGAGAACCCAGCGATCGAAGGTCTTCTATTCGACGGCCGTGGGTGAACTTCCTGAACCTCGACAACAGCAGCCACAGCTTTAGTAACCCGGCGACGACGGTAATCGTGGAACAAGTAGCGAGCCGTCATGCCAATCCCAACGATCAGCAACGAGACCAGCAGCAACTCCACCAACGGCTCGTAGATCATCCACAGCACGGGGTTCCGTGAGCGAGCCGGAAGCAAGTATATCCTGTCTTCGAAAGCGTTGCTGATTGCCATTCTACCCGGAAACGCGGCTCCATCGACAATCCGCTGGTGCTCCATGTCGTGTTTCGTAGGCAGAATGGACATCAAACGACTGCGCAGGATACAGCCTGCAAGAACCACAGCCGCCACAAGCTCGTTGCTCGACACAAATGTGCGCGATGCCAGCATGTATGCGCGTCCTTCGTCAATGAGAACAAACACGCCCCAAAGACTGTGCACGAGCAGCAGTAGCAGTACCCACACGCGCACTGCAGATAGTAGGGTATTCAACGCAGCAACTGAGACGGAAGCTTCGTCACCACTAAGCGCCCACACTGCGGTGTGTGGTAGTAGCAGCAGCCACGACAGCAAAGCGGACAGAATGGTAAGCAGCGCAACCGGCGAGCTGTGTACCAAAGAGCAGGTGAATAACGTCCCGCGTCCTTCGCCCTCGATGAGATCCCTCATCTCCTGCTTGGTCGGTGTCCGCAGCAGTGGGGGAAGAACAAGACGTTCCAGTAGCTCAGCAGCGCTCCACGCGTGCATCACCAACAGCACCAGATCTATCAAAATCATGACATTGTACAGGAACCCAGAGCAGCTCAAGTTGAGTGCTGTGCGCACCTCCACCCGGCCTTGAAACGATGTCTGGCCTTCCCGACCGGAAGCTGCCGAGAGGGACGAATAGTAAGTGTAGCTCCGGACCGCATTTTGACGGAAGATGAAGTGCATCCCCAGGATGTCCACGTCGTCCGCTGTGAGCCGAGCCTTGTCCGTTTGCAGCGCCGCGAAGCCCGTTGCGAACTGTCCGACGAAGGCTGCACTTCTGCCGGGTAAATCGGGGCTTGCACAGCCAAAGATGCGTCTCAAATCTCCTTGACGGTCTGGTTCTTGGTCGCTACTCGGAAGCTCAACGCCTCCGACGCACACTACGGAGCTCAGAGGCATGCTCTTGCCGATTACGTCCAGCAGAGCCTTCAGTTCACGCTCAGCTGCCGACATTGGAGGCGCCATCACGGCACTAGTCACGTGCGGTGATCCGAGCCGATACTTGTGCAAGAACTGCGTGATCATGGCGTCTTGGCACAGCGGCGGTCGTCGCGACATGTACAGCAGCTTGCAGGCCGCCCACGCCATCGCATCCGCTCGCATATCACTGGTGAGAATCATCGTAGGGAACTGAGGCTCCATGTCTTCAGTGAGACCGTCAGGCGCCGAGCAGTTGGTTGCGAGCACGTGGAGGAAGTGGGAATGTCCTCGTCCCCCGGTCCAGCGATTGCCACTCAGAGCACGCAACTCGCTGCAAGTGGCGTGGAAAGCGCGCCAGCCAGTCGAGCTCTCGTTCATCGTCTTCTCTTCGGAGGTTGCTGACAGATCCAGAAGCCGCACCGAGTTCTTGGTGGTGAACGCGTAGGCGTCGCTCGGCCCGAGCCATCGCGTCTTGTACCACAGATCGCGGGCGTCTAAGGCTAGGAGAAGCAGCAGCAAGAGCGCATCCAGCAGCGCCTGCAGCTTCCAGTGCATAATCAATGGCTAGGGGTGGAAGTGCGGGCAGTCGCGACCACTCGACTTCAGTAGATTTAGGTTTTTGTTATTAATAGGTACTCGTATACAAAGTGGTGTTGAAGGGAGTAGAGCTAAATGATGAAGAACGCGCGAAAATCTTAATAAATATGGCTTGATCCGGTGAGCCACACGCCACGTTGGACGTGTGAGCCTTCGTGCCTCGATTGAAGGTAAGGTGCTTAGAATGGTTCGGTCTTCGTTTGCAACGAATCGTTTCGGTGCGCGTGGGTGGATCAGATCGGTTGAAACCAGCGTTTGGTGAAGTTGTTCAGGCGCTTTAACTTTAGTCTGTGTCTGCATGCCCGTCAACGCCAGCCAGAACGACCAAGCATGTACAGTAGATGCTTGAAACACACGTGGGGAATGAAAACCATCAGTATTATTGCGCGATGTCATTTTCACCCTGAGCTACGGCGCAGGAAGTTGAAGCGGAACAAGTAGCAGCTATTGAACCCAACTTCATGGCTGTGACCATGGCAGCGTGGAGTGAGGTGGTGATGTAAAGCTCCTTCTTGTCGGCACAAGTTCCCTGAAAGTCGGCGCTAACAGTTTATTCTCCAATTTTCTCGGTCACCTACCAACCACAATATCCGGACATCGTACACCAGCACCAATGCTATCGTGGAAGGCTCTATCGATGCTCCTCGCGACTGCCGTCGCTATGAACGGCGTCGTGGGCGTTGAGCAAGGCTACGGAGGCGGCGTTTGGACCACCGCGCCCTCGACTGACTCATCCAATGACTCGACGTTGACCCCAAGCGTGACGGCTGCTGCGCCGACCTCGACCGAGAGCTCTACCGACGAAGCAAGCGAGAGTGAGGGGTACTCCGGATCGACCGGTGGTGACGACGACAGCTTCAGCGCTGCTGAAAGCGATTCCGACACGGGAAGCAAAGTAGACGGCTCGTCGGCAATCGATGAGGGCAGTGACAGCCAAGCGGGCAGCGTTCACCCTCCACACTCGAGCGGTGACGGCAGCTGCGATCTCCCGCCGATGGCCAGCGGCAGCAGCAGCAACTTCCCACACCCGCCGTTCGGGAGCGGCAGCGTTGACTTCCCAACTCCACCAAGTGGCAGCGGGATCACCGACTTCCCACCGCTTCCAAGTGGAAGTGGCAGCGTTGACTTCCGGCCTTCACCGAGCGACACTGGCAGTAACAGCGCTGCCGGTCCCCCCGGCAAGGGTGGGGTGTCGCTGCCTTCCAGCGTCGATGGCAGCAACAGGGATTCCTCCTCGAGCGATGACAGCACCGCGGGCGAAGCGTCAACGGGAGGCGAAGGCAGCCACACCCTGCCGACCGGAGGATGCAAGGTTCGCACTCGTCGCCTTCGCCAGTGAAGCTGGCGACCTCTCTGCATTCCTCGGCGCGTTTGATTGATTACTCGGCGACGCAGGCGACGGGAATCTGTTTTTCCGGATCTTCGAGGCAGCCTAGACAAACGCGCTCTACACTCAACACTCTAGTTACGACGCATACGACGCTTGCAGCCCTTGGCACCACTCGGCTCCGAAGCCGATGTCCCTGCCACCTTGCTGCCGGCGTCCTGGACAGGGCTGTCAGACTGTTCGGGACTGTCGGACTGGTTGGGGGAGTCCAGGGTGCTACCAGAGTCACTTGATCCATAGTCGCCGCCCTTATCCTTCGAGGCGCCATCCAAGTCGAGGCCCGTCGGATGGCTGCCAGATCGGATGGGCAGAGTAGGTGGGTTCTTGGGGTTGTACGAGCCATCACCAGACGTGGGTGCCGGTGTCGGAGCGTCTTCCACCGATCCACTGTCACTGCTAGTCGTAGTCGGTGCCGGGGTCGAAGACTGTCCGGTTGAGTCGCTGCCCTCATCAATGTCCGAGGATCCAGCAACGGAAGATCCAGTGCTAGCGTCGTCCCCGCTCAACGATGTCGGTGCCGGTGTCGGCGACTGCTGTGTCGAGTCGCTGCCTTCATCAATGGCGGAGGATCCTGCGACGGAGGATCCGGTACTCTCGTCCGAGTAATCGTCACCGCTGGACGTGGTCGGTGCCGGCGTCGCAGCCGAACCGGTCTGGTCAGTAGCCGAGGAACCGGCAACCGAAGAGCCTGTGCTGTCATCCGAGTAATCGTCGCCGCTGGACGTGGTCGGTGCCGGCGTCGAAGACTTTCCACCCGAGACTGTCGGGGTGAGATCGGCAGGGTTGCCCTGCTCGAGTCCCGTCACGCCGTTCATGGCCACAGCCACAGCGACAACCAGCGAGAGGGCTTTCCACGAGAACATTATGGTCGATGTAGATGCGATGGAGAGGGAGCTGGCTGGTGGATCGAGTGCGCTCTTGCCGGGGCAAATTGGATAATGACCTATCGGTAGATAAGGGGGATTGTTGGCCACGCCTCCCCTAGAGAGGATACGGTGCGGTTGCGGAGACACTCTGCTCCAAAGGCACAGCATGGTAGAGAGCAAATGACATGCTGGTAAGCCAAGGGTGAAGGTGTTAATATCAGTTTAGAGTCTCTGAGCTCAAAACTGCTTGGCACAACGTTCGCTGTTCGAACCAAATGGCATCAACCGGATGTCGACTGGGGAACAGGGGGCGCGCCTTGTGTGGTAACGAGCATACACGCTGGCCGTATGCTGCCACACTTCCGCTGGAATTGCTAGATCCGGCGAGGCATCTGCTCGAATACCTGCCCGTAAAACTGCCCCCTGGGCGGTCCAAAGTACACGTGAAACCACAGCCGAAGTCAAGGCACTCGCTGGGCTCCGTGCAGAAATTTCAGTCTGCCAAGATGCTAGGAATGGGGTATCTGTTAGATTGCTCGATACCAGCGATTGACCAAGAGATACTTTTCAATGAATTGGATTACCAGATTCTAGGGACGAAACTTTACAAACTACGCACTGATCAAATACTCTACGTCCGGCACCATTCCGTGTCGATTCACTACACTGCATACGCCCATTCAGCCATCTAGTGACGGCGCAGACGGCGCTTGCAGCTCGTGCCCGTGCTCGGGAACGTCGCCGATCCGCTGCTCTCCGTGGCGGCCGACGCACCCGTCTGAGTCGGGCTCGTGGCGTCACTCCCGGCCTCGCTCGTCGGCGTAGAAGCCTCGCTGCCGGTCTCGTTCGTGCTTGGGGTAGCGGCATCGCTGCCCGGTAGAGCCCTGCGTTGGCGTGGTTGCCTCGCTGCCGGCCTCGCTGGTAGGAGTAGTCGCGTCACTGCCCTGGTCCTGGGTGGCGGAGCCCTGCGTCGGCTGGCTCGCGCTCGAGTCGGAGCTGCCCGCAAGCGACAGAGATCCCTCGCACGGCTCCGAGCCTGAAGCACTGCTCTCGTCCAGAGCCGACGAGCCGGCCACGTCGCTGCCGGTCGCGGAGCTGCCGGCAAGCGAGAACGAGTCGTCACACGGAGCCGAGCCCGACGCCGAAGTCGACGCGCTGCTCAGGTCCAAGCCGCTTGAGCCCTGCTGCTCCTGGCTGCCGACAGAAGCGTCGAAGCCACCGGAACCGCTTGCAGTCGAGGACGTGTCGGGCGTCGCGTTGCTGCCTTGGTCGATGGCCGATGAGCCTTCCACGGCACTTCCGGCACTGCTGGCGGTGATGTCGGTTTGGCTGGGAGTGCTGGCGTCGCTGCCCTGGTCGATGGCCGACGAGCCTGCCACGGCGCTACCAGTGGACGGGTTGCTGCCACTGCCGCTGCCGCTGGGCAGAGCCGTGTCGGTCTTGCTCGGGTACGACGTGTCGGTGCTGCTCTGGTCGACGGCCGACGAGGCGTCCACCGACGAACCGGTGGGCGTCGACTGCACGGGGGACTCGTCCGAGGGAGTTGCGGTGGTGGACGCCGGCAGGTTCACGCCGCCGCCGTAGCCCTGCTCGATGGCAGCGACGCCGTTCATGGCCACAGCGGCCGCAACAAGCAGAGAGAGGGTCTTCCAGGATAGCATCGCTGCTGGTGCTGTTGTCGATGCGGATGTGCTGGTGTGTAGTGAAGTCTAGTGCGTCGAGCTGTGCTGCGACGCCCGAGGCAAATTGGAGAATGAGCTGCTCGAATGACCGCTCTGATCGGTCGATCGATCAATCTACGGGAACGAACGGGTCTTCGAGGCACTCATCATCTGCCCCTTGCTACAGAGACTCGTTGATACCCGAGCCAGCGGTCTGACATCTCGCCCCGTTGCTCGTATCCATCTGCACGATCATTTGGTTACCTGTTTGCACCGCAGTCGTCACGAGGACCATGAACGGTGAGTGTCAAGGAACATCAGAGAATGGACGGGCGCACATGCGTTCATTGCAGCTCATGGACGCTCGAAGCTTGATCAAAGAGGGTTCGATACCGTAGTCGTTCATGTGCAACCCGCTCAACGTGCTCGCGGCATCTGCTGTCGAGCGTCCAGCAAGAGCACCCCCGCAGCTGGGTCTGCGGCGTTCTCGAAAGCATTGTGAGGCGGGCAGCCGATTTCCGCGCTAGTGTCGCGAGTGTTGCCGTCGTTGCTGGGGCACTGCGAGCTACAAGCGAAGTTTAACGCGACGGGGCTAGTGGTTTGTTCGTTTTGTTGACTGGCATACGAAGAAAACAGCAGCATGAGAAGAACGAAGCTCAATGGACCCGCTCACACCGACTTCCGTATCATTGCTGCGTTCAATGCTGGAATCGTCGAGGAGCTTTGCATCTTCAACGTCCGGAGTGTCGTCGTATTCATTTATCCATACGACTACCAACCGTAAAAGGGAGCATCTTGGTGATCTAAGGAGATGCCAAAACGGCAATCGACTGCCTAATACAAGTAACCCCTTAGGTTCTACACGAGGCAAGTCACATTGTTCGATTCAAAGCTTAGCTATACCTAGTACACAAACGATTCCTCTGCTCTAGACAAATTTTAACAAGGACGACATCTAAACTTTCCAAGGATCATCTCAGTGGGGCTAAGCAATAGTGTATTGCCTCGTTGCCTGGGAGTGGCGTGGAGGCGCCCCACATTGAATCTCTCCACGTCGATCACTGGCAGCGTTCACGACCACTGCAACTTCGCGTTCATCAACTTGAACGACCCAGCAGTACCTTACCGCATCTCTCCATGTCGATTACCGGCACATCAACTTGGACAATCCAGCGGTGCCTTCCGAGGTTAGAACGGGATAGTCTTCGAAGCAGGAAGAGAGACAACGCCCGAGCAGTTTAATCACTAATCGGTCTGCACCAGCATTCAGCAGCTTGGTTGCACCGCCGATCCGCACAGAGTGAGTTGAGAATCGAGAAGCATCGAGACCGGCCTTGGTAGCTGCTGCCTTGATTATCTTAGCGACTTGGCCGGATGACACACCGCCGGAATCGCCCATCTTGAGGGCTGGTTCATCAGGCCTTGTTCCTAGTCGTTTTGCCGCCGTCTTGATCCAGCGTGCAGCTCGCACGGGGCACAGCAAAGAGTCCCCCGAGGCGTGTTGAAATCGAAACTCTTCTCTTCCAAACTGATTATTCTTCGCTCCCCGCAGTAGGATACCCACGATCGAAGCCTTCCGCGGCTTAATGGCCTGCCCTTCATTATCGCAAAACTGAATGTCGCTGAGTCGAAGTACGAAGGGGTGAAACTTCTTGCCGATGTAGAGGTACTCTGACCGACGCAGCAAAAAGAAGTACGCGAGCAGTAAACCACCCCACAGGAGCTGATACTTAGGTCGGTAGATATCCAACAGAGTGTAGATTTGCCGAAGTAAGCTCGGCGACAGCGGTTGCTGCTTGACAACCGGATTCGTGAAACGACGAATGCCGCGCAGGAGTAAGGCATGATGAGCAGTAACTCCAGGGTCATATCCATGTTCGAAACGATGCCGCCAACGCACGGCGCACAGCTTCGCACATATAGTGCCGTACGAGTTGTCTTGTTGCCGGCGGTTCATCCCGAATTTCCAAAGGTACACGGCGAATCCACCAAGTTGGGCGGTGGACGCAGACGTTGCATCGCGAGGGAGCCACGGAGAGTAGTTCATAAATTCACACCATGACAGCCATTGCTTCCAAGCGCGGGAGTAGGCAACACGCGACGACTCGGCTAAAGCTCCCACGCGGAGCAGCGCTCCCAGACCTGCGAGAGTTTCCGCAAGCTCGGCGGGACATGAACCTGCGTCCAACCAGAGCACATATTAGTAAATTGCCGAAACTTGGTCGTCGAGTCCCAAACACGGCTGCCGGCGTCCGCCATCACGTTCTCCACACCAGGAATGTGAGCAGCAGAAACGTAGAAGTGGTGGCGAGCTTCATGTAGAGCGAGAACCCGAAGCAGAAGCTGGGCGAACGGGTTTCGGGATGCCCTCTTGTTGTTCCAGGCCACAGCCGAGGCATTGTCGATCCGCAGCAGGACATGCACGTCGTGGTCGTTGGTAGCCTGCGCCCAAAGAGGTCCCCAAATGAGTGCAGCGTAAACTGCGCTCATCAGCTCGCGCGTGTTGATGCCAAAGGCGCTGGGGCGTCCTGCCTTGAGATCCCGAATAGATGAAAGCTCGTCTTTCATCAAAGCAGACTTGTAGAAATTCTCGCCGAGCGGGATAGATAGCACACAGCCTGACATCACTGGCGTCCATGAAGATCTCGACCGCTGCGTGCTGAGAACTAGTAAACCGCGCGAGCGGGACGGAATTCAGGGCTGTTGCGGACAAAATTGCCAGAAACCACCGAAGATCATCACAGGCACCTTCGGAAAGCGGGACGGCGCCGTAACGCGGCGATCGACGTTGAGTGGTAGCCAGCCGCTGGAAAAATGGGGCCGCCGAACGGACACATGTAGCAACATGGCGCAACGAGCCCATAAGCTTGTTGAGTTGGCTCCGCGTGGCACGGGGTCGATCCAGGAGTGCTCGCACGCGTCGACGGGCTTTGTCGATCTTTGCAGCTGGAATAGAGAGCGTGCGGCGACTGAGGTCCCATTCTAGTCCCAGCGCTTTGCCTTGACGAAACCAGCCAGTGAATTTGTCTTCGTTGCACGCTGAAGGACCAAGTACTTGAACCATAGATGTCCGAAGCGCTGATTCTGCCTCCGCTAGGCGGGTGCCGACATCGGGCTCCGCACAATTGTGGTCATCGCACCAAACCTTTCCGTCGAAGGCGGCAGTTGCATGTGCAGGCTGGCCTGGCCAAGAGGGTCGGGACGAAGAATACAAATGATTGATCGCTCCTCCCGCGATCGCGTATGAAGCGGGCGAGTTGCGCCAACCAAAAGGACAGCACAGATGCACAACGAGAACGCCCAACTCAGGAATTGTGCCCGCAAATTTGCAGCAGTGGTCCGCGTGGAGAGGGATATGACGAAACGCACCACTGACATCGCCAGACATCATGCGAGCCAGGCCAGAAAAGTCGCGCTCCACCTCTTCAATGCGAGATGCGATAGCCCGAGCACCGTCGTAGCGAATATCGATGTCGTCTTGCAGGACAGTGAAGTCGTTTATCGATCGCCCAGGGGGGAACGAGCCGTGGTTTGGTGGAGGCGTCTGTTGCGAGGGAGGGATCTCTTCCCACTCTGGCATGACGCCATGCCGGACAATAGCTGCCTATTGGGCGGCAAATCGATAGGACTTCCACGCAGGAACGTTAGATGGCACCTGTAATGCCTTGTTGGGTCCGGGGTCGGAGGGTCGCTCTCCACGCAAGAGCCGAACAAATTCAGCAAGACTCGTGCCTGACCGTCGCAAATACTCACTGTAGGCTGCTTGTTTGTTCTGGTCAAGCTGATAGCGCGGTGGCCCCGCGGCAGCAGACGAACAAGTAGTGGGACAAGGAGCTGGGGCCGAGATACCGTAGTCGGCTAAAGCAGCGCGGAGTGCGCGTGCTCCAGCTGCCTTACGTAGGCGAATTTGGCTGAGTCTAGCGTCAATCCCGTAGCGCTGAGCGAGTGAGCTCGTGTGCAAGAAATCCGTAGCGTCGTCCGTTGACTGTTCCAGCCGCGACGGCCTCCACATCGCCGACGGTGACGCCCAACACTGCGCCGACCGTGGTGACTCTGACTGCGCCGACAGTGGCGTCTTCAGCTGCGCCGACCGTGGCGACTTTGACTGCGCCGACCGTGGCGACTTTGACTGCGCCGACAGTGGCGACTTTGACTGCGCCGACAGTGGCGACTTTGCCTGCGCCGACAGTGGCGACTTTGCCTGCGCCGACAGTGGCGACTTTGACTGCGCCGACAGTGGCGACTTTGCCTGCGCCGACAGTGGCGACTTTGACTGCGCCGACAGTGGCGACTTTGACTGCATGCACCGAAATAGGCGCCGGTACTACCGTTGACGATGGCGAACGAGAGTGCAGCAGCTGCGATGTGGAGTGACTACACCGGCACCAGAATTCTTGGTAGAGCACTTTGCATCGGCTCGATGAATCACAGTATCGTGGGGGTAAGTACCCAGCCCGCACACCTCGCCCCCGAGAACTCCCCGCCCGAGCACCTTCTCAGGTCTTTGAACTCCGGTTTAAGGCCGCCGTAGTTGGCCTCAATGAACTATTTCACAACTGCAGGGAGTTGCTGCGGACGGAAGTGGCCCCGGTAATTGAATGTGCACTGTGAACCACGCCCACGACAGCTCTCGACGGCCAAGAACCTCATGCACAGCCTTTTCCCATTCTGACTGGGTAGAGCGGCCAATACGTTCTCTGGAACGTGCTTGCCCTTGGTCCCTTCTCGCCCCCGAGGACGGTGGTTCTTGGAGATGCCGTGAGAGCCCCCGTGTCACTGCTCGAGCCGCGCAAGCTGTCGTCCGTAGATGATGTTCTGCACTTGCACGTAAGACTCGTGGGCCACATTGAACTCGCTCTGGATGGCTTCGCAACTCTCTGTGGACCCCAAGACCACGCGCGTTCGGATTTTCTCCAGGCGTTCATCGATCCAGAACACTAGGTCAGCTAGCGCTTCTTTGTCGACGATAGCGCGGAGCGTCTTCTTGCGGAGGAGAAACTTTCGTGCCGCTGTGACCACCGCCCCGACAAACGACTGATAAACCTCTTCGACAAGAAGAGCCAGAACATCCAACGCGGCCAGTATATCATCCATGTGCTCAGCTTCAGGTGGAGAAGGAAGACTGTTGCTGCTGGAGAAGTCGCACATATCGTAATGTCTTAACCGCTGACGTCGAGAACTCACATCCAGCCGCCCGAAATGCAGAATCGATAATCCTCGTGTTCCAAATTCCCAAGCGTAGAATCCCTTCAGCACAGCCGGATGAGGGAGGAACGCCAGCAGCTCGATTTGGGCCTGAAGTTGCTCCACAAACAGTTGAGCGTTCATATAGGCGTACGTACCGTTCACAATAGCGTAGTGTACCGTATTCTGTAGCCGTGACGCCCGAAATTGACCCTTGCCGACGCTGTCGGATGCTCCATTGTCCAGTAGCGGCTGGTGCGTTGACATTGGAAGCCTCTCCGACCCAATTGTCAGCCGAGGACGTGCCCGCGCACGGACACCGAAATCTATGAGATCGTTTTCACGTGCTCGTTTGGCAGTTTCTCGTGCTGCAGAAGTATCATCCGCCCGTGGTACATCGCTGGCGCTGGAGTCGCTGTCATCATCAGATTCTTCGAGTAGGCTAGGCTCCCCAGTGTTCCCTGCTGCCCGCTGCCTGCGGTTGCCCACGCTGGTTGCCGCTGGCCGCTGCTCGTGACCACTCAAGCGGGTTGCTGCTGCCCGCTGCCCGCGGGTGGCCGCTGCCGGCACCTCCGTGGTCGCGTCAGCCGGCGAAGTCGTTGCCGACAGCGCGTCCGGTGTAATGGGCTCATCGAAAATTGATTGGCCAAGCTCGATTGAGGAAGGGACCCTACGCCGTCCGCCATGGTAGAATGTGAAGTCCAACACATATTTAGCCGATACTTGAGATACCTGCATGCTGGAAATGTCCAACAATGGAACGACCCCTGACTCGTCCACATTCTCAATCTCGAGCTTGTTGCAGATTGTGGTGACCGCGCGCACAGCCGAACGTCCTCGCCCGTGGAACAACTTGTAAGCTGCCTCGTGAATAGAGCGCATCTCGGCTGGCATCACGGAGAGAGTTGGCTTCCCTTCGCACAACCTCATCGCTTAGGTCTCCGCAGCCAGTTCTTGCAGGAGTCCTTGATCGTAGGTGAATTCGAAGCTACCGGCGGAGGCAGTGATGTGGAGAACACATCGGTCCGGGTCCGCACTCCATCGGAACCCCGTTACTACCCCGTACGTCCACCGCTCTGCGCTTCCGTCCCATCGATGCGTCACGCAGACACAGCTCCCAACGTAGCTCCCAACGCGCCGCTTAACGCCTCTTGCTCGGACACTTCACGGTGACGAACCGCCGAAACAGGCAGCTCTGCTGCAAACTCGGCGAGGTCGATCCAACGTCCACTCGCTAGGCGCCGCACGTGCACTGTTGCGTCTCCGTCAGGCGAGCTATCGCTAGCTCCGTAGCAGAACCCAGAGGTGGAGAGAACCTCTGGCTTGAGATAGAAGTAGCGCGTAGTTGACATCCGTAGATCCGAGGGCTTCTAGACTGAGGGTCAAGGTTATTAGCTTGGGACTAAATCTAAGAATGAGCAGGCCTGAAGGCCCCCTCCTCTACCTGTCGCCTAGTCGTTGTCGACACGAACTGGCGCTCCTCTTGTACGGGTAAATCTTCTCTCAGCGAAATTTGCACGTTAACTCGCACTTTGGTGTTTCTTTTGAGGTGTTCAAGGAGAGATGTGAGTTAAACGTTTGCTTGAATGTATTAGAGCCATGAATTTGCTCAGACATAACAGTCTGTTGTTGACCTAGAGTGCTGTTCCCCCCTTGGTAACCACCACGAACAGCTTCTTGATAGTCTCCGCCTGCTCTTCGATCATGCTGTTCTGGCGCTCGAGCAGGGCGTTCTGCTGCTCCAACAAAGCCAGCATGCGATCACTCTTGGATTGATTTCCTCCGGCGTTACTTGGCTGCTGCTCTTGTAGTTGCGGTTGTTCTGCCTGGGACTGTTGCTGCGGCTCTACTTGAGGTTGTTGCTGCCGTTCTGCTTCGTCTTGTGGCTGCGATTCTGCCTGATCTTGCTGTTGTTGCTGCTGCTGGAATGTTATTGCGATGGTATTTGCCATTTGCTGTTGGTACTGCTGCAGTTGTTGCTCGTACGCTTGCTGCGCCATCGCTTCCATTTGTTGGAGCTGCGGGGACTGGTCTGCGGCCAGCTCTGCTTCGTTGTCAGGCTGACGATCATCGCCCTCCGGTAGAGCGTCTCTCTCCTCCACCAACCCGCCCGTGGTCAAGTTAAATCGCCGGCAGAAGTTGTAGTACCATCCGTTGGACGCCTGGAAGTTGCCGAGCCCGTACTTGGGCACGAGCAACTTGGCCTTCTCCTTGACAAGCGACGGCGGGACGGGCACTTTCCGCGCCTTGAGTCCGCGGACCCACTCGAACAACTCGCGCTCGAACGGCACACTCATCACGTGGCCTCCGCGTTTGCGGCCATCTCTGGTTTCGGCGCTGCCGTAGCGGTACCGCGCTCGCACCTCGGCGCCCTTGAGTTTGAGCTTCTGGATCGCGGCGCGCGTGATGCCGTAGCGTCTCGCGATCTCGGCGTTCGACAGGCTGCCGCCCGACTTGTCAATGAGCTCTAGGATCTCCACGCGCTGTCGGTCGGTGAGTCGTTTGCCGACGCCTTTGCCCTTCTTCACTGGTTCCGTAGAGGCTTCGGCGGCCTCGGACGGCGCAGCGGACGCCTCTGGCTGGGCGGTCGGCAAGACTGTTTGTTGCGTCGCCTCCAGAGCTCCGTTTAAGGCGGCGGAGGGCGCGAAGGACTCCGCAGACACAGCGGGGGCCGATGTGGCGACTGGTTCCGGGTTACCGTGGCTCTGGGGCTGCACAGGCGCCGCCGGAGCTGGCGTCGGGTCCTCAACGCGCGGTGTCGACATACTGAAGTCGCGCCTAGCGCAGCCTTCCATACAAAAATTCCTTCTTCGTATACTTTACCTCCTTTTCGTACTTAAACGAGAGTGCAGTATTTTACCACTCAGGATTCACCACTTACGGTATCGGTACACATGCAGCGGGCGGTGCTCACGACGCGGCGCCGGGCCTTCTCGCAGCAGGCTCTGCGGCGCTGGGAGGAGGTCGCCAACGGGCGGCGCGCGTCCACGGTCAAGCCCGCGAGCGCCAAGACGCTGGAGCTGGAAGGCCGCTCGTACCTGCTGCCCACGCTGACGCTGCCCAAGGGCTCGGGAAAGGCCAAGGACGCCAAAGACTCGCAGTTCTTCCAGACGCGGGCCAACAAACCCACGCCCGTGGTGCTGGACCTGCAGCAGGTCTCCAGTGACGGTGGGATAAGAGAGAGATAAACTATTTACTTAAGTATGCAGTATATTTTTCTAATCATGTTTATTTTAACAATGTTTTTTAGGCTCGCCGCACTCGCAGTCGATCAAGAAGCATGAGCTGAGGAACGAGATCCTGCGCCTACAGGTTGGCTGGTTAAGTGTTATTGTTGTGCTGTGTGAAATGTTACTTTGCTAAGTGTATCTGTTTCTGCTGCAGGAAGCTGGCTACATGCCCGTGGGCATCACCAATGCGAGCGAGGACGTCAAGAAGGCTGCGGCGGCGCTGAGCCTGCCCTACTTCATCGGCACGAGGCTGCATCTGGAGCAGCAGAAGGCCGGCGTGGCTGCGGTGGAGGAGCAGGAGGTGGAGGAAGATGAGATTCCCGATGCCGCTTCTAACGCGGCAGCCTTCGCTGAGGAAGAGAAGCCACGCCCGACGATTTCCGCCCAGACGGCGACCGAGCCGCTGCCTCCCATGGTTGTGACCCACTCGGTACGCTCTGGCCAGCAGATTTTCGCGCAGAATCGGTCGCTTGTGGTGCTCGGCAACGTGAGCTCGGGTGCCGAGGTGATGGCGGACGAGGACGTGCTAGTGCTGGGCGCGCTCAAGGGCCGCGCGCTCGCCGGCATCGGGGGCAACGCGCGCGCACGCATCGTCTGCCAGAGCTTCGACGCCGAGCTCATTTCCATCGCGCACTGCTTCACGACGTGCGACGAGCTGGAGCAGGATGAGACCGGATCGCTGCAGCTGCACAAGCCGACGGCCATCTCGCTGCAGGACGACCGGCTGGACTTTGAGTCGTCGACAGTGTGACCGCATTCGACGGGTTTTGCACGAGAGGGAGCGCACTTTCACCACCAAGACTGGCGCTTGTATATCTACCCTACTGTCCTCCTTCTCCGCCGAGGACGTCCTACAGCTTACTCTTACTCCTAGCCAAAAACTGCAATAAATAATCTGCTCTACACTACACTGGATGCGGTTGATCGTGTCTGTCTGCTACAACTCGCTGCTGCGCGTCCAGCCCACGGTCGAGCGGAAGGTTTCGCACTCGTTCACGACGTCCTGCAGGTCGCGCCGGTACTCGAACGTGCTCTGGCAGTCACGACTGCAGAACGCGCTCGTGTCGGGCGCAACAGCCAGCAGCCGGAAGAACAGCAGCCCGCAGTTGTAGCACGTGAGCTGCGCCGCCTTGCGTTGCGCCTGCGTGCGGAAGGCCGGCCGCACGCGCGCGTCCGTGGGCGTCCACTCGGCCGTCTCCTTGATGCACTCCTGGCAGGCCTGGAACTGCAGCTGCTGCCGTCGCCACTGCGCGCGCGCTCCCGCCTCCTCCAGCTCCTTCAGCAGGTGCACGCGCTGCCAGTCCGAGCAGAAGCTGCTGGCCGCGGTACTCGCCGTGCTACTGGTATCATCCGCATCAGTCTGCGGGTCGTCCACCGTCTTGGCTGGCGCTCGGGTCTCCATGTCGACGGGGCAGGAGCTCGCGCGCGGCCGCAGATGCAGTCGCCGCTGCACGAAGCGCCACGCGCGCGCGTAGATGCTGGCGTCCTGCGGCGACGCGCAGCAGTCCGCGCTGCTGGCGGTGCAGGTGAGACTCGGCGCGCATTGCGCGGGCGACACCCGCGGGTTGTTCGTTGGTGCTGCCGGCATGAAGAAGGAGGGTGGAGTGGGGGTTCTTATTCTGTCTCGGTCTTGCGGGGGTTTCCTCCTGTCGGTTTGTGAGAGAAAATGAGGCCGGACATGGCCCGCGTGTATATGTGTGCGGGTGACGTACGCACTGATCTGAAGTCGTCGCCGCGCCGGTGCTGGGCGACAGGACGGGTCGAGAACACGCTGGGGTTTGTTTTGGGTGTGTCCATTCTCCGTGACACAGCGCGACGCAGCTCTGAACCTGAAGCAGGCGTCAACAACTCTCATGTGTCGGGACCAGGCGCAATAAGTCGCTTCAACTGTCCACTTCAATGAGTACCGTTCTTCGGGTACATTCGGCGACATCTGCGATACGCGCAAGTCGCAGAATGACTGCGTCTTCATGTATGTGCACCACATCAACCATCGGATATCTCATTCCTAAATAAGGGGTCAATGCGGTGGACACCCCTATATCGGAGCGTAGCTCTTCGAGCTCACCTGTGGTCATCAAAGTCCGATCGTCATCCACCATGCCGAGCCTGTTCCTGCGTTCACGCCGCGTGCTGCCGGCGCTGGCGGGCCCCGCCGCCGCGCTCGCCGTGTCCTCCGCCCGCCTGGAGGCTGTGGAGCCTGAGGCCGCCCCGGCCGCCCCCGCCGTCGACTTCGTGGGCGTCTTCGTGGAGAAGGAGTCGGCCGCGCGCCTGCGTCAGCAGTTCCCGGCCAAGTTCGGCGGCGCCGACGAGCCGCTCGTGGTGGTGCTGCGCTTCCAGCCGTCCGAGAAGGAGCAGGAGGCCTTCGCGCCCATCCTGGGCCGCGCCGCCAAGCTGCACGTCAAGGGCCTCGTCGAGGACGACCACGCGCAGACGGTGAGAAGGCTGCAATTGCTACAGCGGAGCATCTATCCACCTCAGTTTTAGGCTTATTCTCTTTGGTGTTTGTGTAGGTGCTGGTGTCCGTGACCACGGAGACGGGCGAGTCGCTGGAGTACGAGGGCGCCGCGGAGCCCGCGCACCTGACGCTGTCCACGTCGGCCGGCGGCCTGAGCACCGGCTACTCGAGCGTGCTGCTGGAGCGTCTGCGCGCGAGCGACAAGCTGCGCTACCTGCTGGATGAGAAGGAGGAGACGAGCCAGTGGGCGGGCGAGCTGCCGGCCTTCGACTCCAAGCACCTGCCGCTCTTCAGCCCCTTCCCGGCCGTCGAGGCCAAGGTCTCTAAGGTGGACGTCAAGCAGAGCGACGAGCTGGCGCTGCAGGGCATCGTGTGCCTGTCGTCCCGCTTCGACACGACTGCGGGCGAGTGTCTGGCCCCCAAGGCCGAGTGCGGCTTCTGCAAGTTCATGAAGGCCGGCCCGTGCGGCAAGGAGTTCACGGCCTGGGAGGCCTGCCTCGACCGCTGCAAGAAGAGCGGCGACGACTTTATCGAGAAGTGCGGGCCCCAGACGCTGGCGCTGCGCGACTGCGTGGACGCCAACCCGGAGTACTACCACGTGCTGAACGAGGGCCCCGAGGAGGAGAAGAAGGAGGAGGAGCAGAAGGAGGACGCTAAGCAGACCGAGGAGGCCAAGCCCGAGGACAAGTAATTTTGCTTCAGCGTTTCTCCCGGTCACCGCGCGAGGACGTTCATTTTAGAGAAGCACGGCTGCTTTCCTCGCGCGCCGTTAGCTAGACGAGCTAGGAAGCTGCAGGGCGTAAGCGTCCCATTCAATACCGGCACGGAAGTGCGCCGTTTTTTTATAAGGTGGGGTGACTGGTCGTTACCCCGTGCTGTCGAGTCTAATTGGTGTTGCTGCTGCTGTGGTCTTCTTCCGTGTCACAGGATCCAGACAACGCCGTTAACCGGATGATCTCAAGCTCGAATGGATCGCAGACACAGCGTGAGCCCTCTGCTTCAAGCGGCCAGCGACTCGAAGCGAGGGCTTGGCGCCGACTTACTCCCAGCTTCAACGTCGTGGGATAAAGCAGCTCCAGCGCGGCGAGTGCAGCTAACGCAGCTTCCATCGGGCCCTGTATCCGCTCCGAAGAAGCTCCAACAACAGCAGCAGCAGGACGTTAGCCAGAATCAGCAGCAATCTGCAGCTGCACCGGTTCAGCCACTGCGAAAGACTTCGTCGGGTGTTCGACTTGCCAGGAATGCAGCGAAGCGCGTCACGAAAGTGCCGAAGCTTGCATTTGCCCAGACCACCAGAAAGCGAAGGGGAAGACACGCGATATCGAATCAGTTCAACGTCGATGGCGACGCAGAGGAAGCTGCGCGACAAGTCAACGCTGGCGTGTACTTGCTGGATAACACCAAGACCGGGCATCGCTACTTCGGGACGACCTGGGACCTTCAGAATGCAGCCGCGCAGAATTTTCACGACCTGCAGCTCGGCGTACATCCTCACCACGCGCTTAGCACGTGTTTCAAGCTATACGGCGAAGCTGCCAGCGGCATTCGCTTCCGAGTTCTGGAACACGTCAGTCCTCCTTCCTCTCCAAAGCCGCCCTCACACAACGACCAGCTCAGAGCGAAAAGGAGGAGGATAAGGCGACTTGCAGCTGGTGGTGGCGATAGCAATGACGACGGCTTTGACGTCCGGGCCATGGAGCGGAAACTGGCGGCTCGACTTCGTTTCCATCAGCGGAGAGTAGTTCGCCGAGCTGCGTACAGAATTGTTCGTAGGTTTCTGGTTGCGCCGGTGCTAGCGCGAGCGTGGCCGCGTTGGGTCCGAGCTACTGAAAGCTGCGTGCTCGTTGAGCAACTCGCAGCTTGTATAGAGATACAGCGTGTGGCGCGTGGTTATCTAGCTCGAGGTTTCGTCACTGGTATTCGACGAGATCGTGCAGCGCGGACGTTGCAGCGATTTATGCGCTACACGCACTTCACTTTAGCTTGTAGACGACGCGCGCGCATTCTGCGCGAGTCCAAGGCGGCCTGCGTTCTACAGCGGTCGATGCGCGAGTTTGTTGCGCGCCGAAAGGCTCGCAGAAGACGCGATGGGATCCGGCGGTGGCTTGCAGCTTGGAAGCTCCAGGCCCACATCAGAGGACATCTAGCACGTCGTCTTGTGAGGCGTATGAGAATGGATAAAGCTCGAGAAATCGCTGCTACGCGCGTGCAGCGAGTGACACGAGGGCATTTATCACGTTTACGAGTCCAGCGTCTCCGCCAGTGGCGTGTTGATATGCAAGCTGCAACTCAGATCCAGAAAATCTGGCGAGGTCACTCGACACGAGTCAAGGTCAAGCTGCAGCGTAGTCTAGGTGGAGCGCTGCCGACTCATCGACGTCTGGATCAAGGCCCTCTTGACGAACTGAGAGACGAAGCTGCGCGTACAATTCAGCAGGCGTACAACCGGTGGAGCACTCGACGGCTTCAAGAGCAGAAGGAGAAGGCCACAACGATCCTCATGGCTTATCGCAACTACGTGGCGCGGAAGTTCGGTTGGGCAGCAATGACGTTGATGCTCGAGACTTCAACGGCGAATCGGATCCAGCGTGCAGCACACCGCTGGATGTTCAAGTGTAGATTCCGCCGGGTGGTCGGCCATTATCGACGTAACAAAGCTGCGCTTACCATTCAATGCTCCACGCGGCAGCATCAAGCGAGACGGAAAGTTCACGTACTGCGAGTGGAGAAGCAACGTTTAGCGGCGGTCAGACGGATACAAGCGTTCTGGCGAGCGAGCTGGATGTTGCTCAAGCTCCGGGAACGCATTACAGCTCGGAAGCGCGAGCATGCAGCACGACAGATCCAGTCCAGCTATCTCGCGTGGAAGGCACGATGCAAGTACATCGCTATTCGAAATCTGGCGAGGCGCAATCGTGCTGCCACGAAGATGCAATGCATGTTTCGAGCGCGCCAGGCACAGAAGGAACTCATGCGTCGGCAAGTGGTCCGACGACTGGGTGCCTGCGAGAACTGCCGCTCTCAACTCGCTACGGTGTACCATTTTGAGGCCGAGAGTGAGCTGTGCGCTGCATGCTGCGCTGATTTCGCCTCTCTTGGTGATACCCCGATGGAGACGATCGACGTGAACGTGTATCGACGTATCCAGGTGCCTATCGTGAGCGCTCAACGTGCTTACCGAGCTTTCCAGAAGCGGATGATACAGCAGTTTGGCACTTGCACGCTCTGCGAGAAGCACGCTGTACGCAGAAGTTGCTGGTCATGCTTGCACAGTCACGGCTTCAATGTGGATGGCCAACGCACTGGTAAGTCTGTAGTGGGGATGACCTTCTGTCGGTCATGTGATGCACTCTTCCACGAACGTCGCCAATCAACTGGGGCCTCAAGCGTGCTCCAGCATCAGAGGAAGGATATCGAGCGTGCCTGGGCTGAAGACGATGCTGCTGTGACGATACAAAAGTACTACCGCCGCTTTGCTCAGCGTGATACGATAGCAGACCTGCAGTTCACGCGAAAGACAGCCGCTGCAATGCGTGTGCAGGAATGCTACAGACGTCACCGCCAGCGCAGGATCACCAGAGCAATTTGTGCTGCTCACAGACGGCGGCAGGCGCTAGAGGCCCATGCTGCGCTCACGATTCAGCGTGCAGTGCGTGGCCATTTGGCTAGGTGTGAACTGCGGCGCCTGAAGCACGAACGTGACTGTGCAGTCATAATTCAACGTGCGTTCCGTCGGTATCAAGCTAGGCGCGTGTACAATGCAGCGGTTGCCATCCAGAGCCACGTTCGCGCTTGGATTGCACGATGCGTAGCTGCCAAACTACGCCAAGAGCGGCTCGAGAAACAACAAAACGCTGCTGCTTGCTGCATCCAGCGCTACGTCCGTGGGTTTTTTGCCCGACGACGCGTTATGCACATGAGACGGCAGGCAGCAGCAGTGCTCTTGCAGTCTGTCTGGCGTGGATACGTCGCTAGGTGCGAGCTGAAAGTGCTGCGTTTGAAAAAGCAGCGGGAATTCAACGAGGAACTGCATCAGAGACTCACCGATCTAGCTGCGCAAATCGCCGAGACCGAGCGAGTTGCAGCCACGCGTCTCCAGACGATGGTGCGTGGACAACAAGCTCGAACTAAGCTGTACAATCTGAAGCTCGAGGCTGCTAGGAGTATCCGTGAAAAGCTTCGTGACAGTGCCGTGGCTCTCGAAGTTGCGGGCGCAACTTGTATTCAACGTCATGTACGTGAGCGAATCACGGAGATTGCTAGCCGCCAACGACTCCGAGTCCATTGCTGCGCTCGGTGCTACTTGAGTCGGCGCACTGTAAGACGAATGCGTCTCGAGAGACAGTCGGCCGTGCGGATCCAGCGCGCGTTCCGGTACTCCCGTGCTAAGCGGCGAATTGCTCGACTCGTTGACGCTGACGGAGCTGAAGACACTGCAACGAAGCCAGCTTCTGGTTGGGTCGAGCTCTTCGACGAGGCCAGCGGCTACGTGTACTATTACCACACCGAGACTGGACAAAGTGTCTGGGAGCGTCCACCAGAGATGGACGCTGCGTCTTCGACACCGGAGGACGCTTCCAACGAAAGTGTGGGCGAGTGGGTCGAGTACTGGGACGAGAACGTGGGCGCCTCGTACTTCTACAACGTTAAAACCGGTGAGGCTACGTGGACGACACCGGCAGGCTACCAGAGTAGCTACGGTAACCAGGAGGACACGTCAGCTGAAGCATGGCTACCGGAAAGCGGTGGGGCATACACGGAGGCAGGAAACCAACAACTGGGAGCCTATGGCGACCAGTACTACGGCTACGCAGACCAGGCTGGCACATACGCCAACTACAATGACAACAATGGCGACGGTGGCTACTACTATTACTACGGCGATGATGGTGGTGGAGCGTACGCGTATCCATTGGAACATGCAGACAGCAACGTGAATGAGCAGTACGAACCTGTGGACACGGAGTACGACATCAACTACAAGATTTACCTGACGCAAATCGACCGCGAACGGCAACAGGAGCAGCAGCAGGAAGGCCACGAAAACGCAGATGATAGCAGAACGCAGCAAGCTCACAAGCCTAATGAATAAAAGTTCACTCCGCCGTTGTACCTTGCACTCTTCGTTTATTCATTGAGTTTGCTGGCTGCCCCTGGAAATGTTGTTGCTCTACATGCGTCTACAAGGGACAGTAAGTAGGTGGGCATGTCGATCTACCAGGAGGGTTGGTAAGCCTGCGCGGCCTGGTTGGCCATGAGAGAGGCTTGGTTGCGCTGCTGCTGTTCGCGGTCGCGAATTTGTTGCTGGCGCAGACGCGCCGCCTCCATGTTGCGAGCAACTTCCTCTTCGTCGCTCTTGGCGAAGTTGAAGCCACAGCCCATGCAGAATTTTGCGGTGGACTTGCACTCCTTGCTGCAGGTCGGACAGTTCTTCGTGCTGGGCTGCGAAGACGGCGCCGACCATGACCCCGAGGTCGGGATCGGGGCTGGCAGCGGAACGGACGTGTATGAAGACGACAAGCTTGGGGTCGATGCAGGTACAGCGGCTGGTGCCACCTTGGTCCCGCAGTGCAGGCAGAATTTCTGAGTCGGCTTCAGTGGCTGGCTGCACTTGGTGCAGGCGCTCGGAGCTGCTGGAGTCGGGTCCGGCGCTGAAAATGATGATGACGAGCTGATGGACGATACAGGCGATGAAGCCGCGACGGGCGCTGGAGGCGGAGCGGCAGCAGCGCCCTTCGTGCCACACTTCGGGCAGAACTTCTGCGTGGCCTTAAGTGTGAAATGGCACGACGCGCAGCTGTGCTCACCGCCAACGAGCGATGACGATGACGACGAGTTCGACGCAGACGAGCTCGTGCGCTGCAGAGGGGCCGATGAGAAGCTACTGCTTGGTGGGAACGGGGCAGGCGACGAGAAGCTGTTGCTCGGCGTGAAAGAGGCAGGAGCGGCGGCAGGGGCAGCAGCGACGACCTTCGTTCCACACTGCAAGCAGAACTTCTGCGCGGGCTTCAAGGCCGCATGGCAGCTCACACACGAGTTGGACGCAGCAGCAGGGGCCGCCGCTGGGGCTGCGGCGCTCGAACCCGTCGAGGACACTGACAGCGTCGACAGTCGCAAAGCTTCCTGGCGCAGCTGCTCCTCCTGTCGCTTGGCTTCGAACGCCTTGCGCGCTTCCTCCTCCGCCTGGCGGCGGTTCGCTTCGCGTCGAGCCTGCTCTTCCCGAAGTCGTGTCGCCTCCTCTCTCTGTTTCTCCTTGGCCGCGCGCTTGGCCTCCTGCTTCTTCAGCTCCTCCTGAGCGGCCTGCGCCTCAGCGCGCAGTCGCTCCGCTCTGGCCAGCTTCTCCTGCGCCAGTCTCTCGGCTTCCTCGCGCCGTTCACGCGCCTGCTGCGCTACCTGCAGATGCTGCTGTCTCTGCGCCTCCAGCTCCTGCTGTCGACGCGCGTTTTCGCGCTCCACCGCCGCACGCTGCTGCGCTTCGTAGTCCGAGATGGCGTTCTGCGCGGATAGGCGCATGGCCTCGGCACGGTCGCGCGCGTCCTGAGCCTGGCGCTCCGCCTCCTCTCGGCGGCGCGCAGCTTCGTCCCGCTGCGCGTCGATGGCGCGGCGCTCGTTCTCAGCGGCGATGGCGCGCGCCTCATTCTCTCTAGTAGCTTGAGCTTCCACCTGCGCGCGCTGCTGCGCCTCGTACTGCGCGATGGCATTGGCCGCCTCCTGCTGGCTAGCGTCGGCGTGCATGCGCGCCTCGTGTGCGAGTAGCTCCGCCGCTTCACGCGACTGGCGGGCACCCTCAACGTCCGGCGTGGGGGCAAACGTCACGTGGCGCGCGGGAGCAGGAGCGGGGGCCGGCGCGGCGCCGGGGATGGCTTCGCCTGCAGTACACAGCCAGATAGATAGAGAGACATGGAGCGTTATGACACATGGGATTACGGGGGTTCTAGCGCGAGTTCGGGGGCGATTCCGACACGCCGCAACGTACCGCACTCGGGGCAGAAGGCGCCCTGCAGGTCCGGGGCCAGATACGAGCCGCACTCGCCGCAGAAGCCCATGGCGACAGAACGGGGAGGGAGTGAGGGGGGAGGTCCGACTCGCTTGATGGATTTGATGTGAGCTGCTGCTGACTTCCGTCTTGAAGCTGAAGTACCGTGGAAGGTCTCCACTAAGTGCGATTGTCGTTTTGTGTAATGTACGTTACACAATGTATCCATCTCGGGATCCGCCCCCGGCCGATCGCCACGTAAGACCCACAAAAGCCGAGAAGCGCTCAGGCTCAGGATCTCCGCGACCGCAGCTCCAGCGCCCCGCGTCTTCCTCTCTCGTCCTTCTAGCCCCTCGGCTCTCTCTCTCTCTCTCACAGCGCCGCCACAGTCTCCACCATGGGCGCCATGGACGTGCTGAAGAAGTGGGACTTCTACAAGAAGATCCCGGAGGTGCGGCCCGCCACTAATGCCAAAGCCATCAACCATGGACAATTGATGCTAACCTCGTGTGCGGTGCAATGCAATGCATTAATTAATTGTGGCAGGACCTGACGGTGAGCACGCTGCCGGGCGTGAGCCTGTCCATCGCCGGCTGCTTCATCATGTTCCTGCTCTTCATCCTCGAGTTCAACAGCTACCTGACGGTGGACTACAAGTACGACATCGTCATGGACGAGGGCCTGGACCAGACCATGCGCATCAACTTCAACATCACCGTCCCCGACCTGCCCTGCGAGTTCGCCACCGTGGACGTGTCGGACATGACGGGCACGCGCAAGCACAACATGACGTCCAACATCTACAAGATCCGCCTGGACCAGAAGGGCCGCAGCGTCGGCCTCGCCCAGGAGAAGCAGATCATGCCGCAGTTCGCCGAGGACGCCGAGTACGGCGACCTGCCCGAGTCGGACGCGGTCGTGACCGTGCTGGACGAGCAGACCTTCGAGCCGTTCCTCAAGCAGCACCACTACGTGGCCGTGGACTTCTACGCGCCCTGGTGCGTCTGGTGCAAGCGCCTCGAGCCCGTCTGGACGCGCGTGGCCAAGACGCTGCCGTCGCTGCACTACGGCCAGCAGCTGCGCGTGGCCTCGGTGGACTGCCAGGCGCACCCGCAGCTCTGCATGAAGCAGTTCATCCGCGCGTACCCGACCATCCTGTTCTACAAGGACGGCGACGTGTCGCCCGTGGAGATGTACTTTGGCGACCGTACCGTGGAGGCGTTTGTGGACAAGTTCAAGCAGCTCATGGCCGGCGAGGTGGACGCCGTGGAGGCCCGCAAGAAGGAGCTGTTCGAGCAGGACAAGAAGAACGCGCGCGAGCAGGGCAAGGCCATCGCGCGCTCGGCCGTCGGACCTGAGGGATGCCGTCTGTACGGCCACCTGTACGTGAAGCGCGTGCCCGGCAACTTCCACGTGCACCTGGCTAACCCGGCCTACTCGATGGACTCGTCGCTCGTGAACGCGTCGCACACGGTGAACGAGCTGTGGTTCGGCGAGCACCTGACGTCTGGCGAGATGTCGATGCTGCCGCGCGACGCGCAGATGCAGCTGTACACGCACCGCCTGGACAACCAGGACTACACGTCGTTCTACAAGAACCACACGTACGTGCACTACATCAAGGTGGTGACCAACTCGTACGTGCAGAGCGACGCGGCAGACATCAACGTGTACAAGTACACGGCGCACTCGAACGAGTACCTGGAGACGGACGACCTGCCGTCCATCATGTTCCGCTACGACTTGTCGCCCATGTCGGTGCGCATCTCGGAGGACTCGGTGCCGTTCTACCACTTCCTCACGTCGGCCTGCGCCATCATCGGCGGCGTCTTCACGGTCATCGGCATCCTCGACCAGATCATCCACCAGACGGCGCGCGCGCTCAACAAGAAGGTGCTCTAAGCTTAACGTGGGGGCAGCAAGCCATCGCCAATAACGAGACAACCAAGGTAGAACTGCTTGAAGTGTGTCAATCAATACACGTTGAAGTCTCCGCTCGCAGCACAAAACGTTACGCTAGACGCGTCGGATACCATCTGTCTCTTTTTTTCTCTGTCCCAGCCCACCCCCGTCCAATCCGATTCACGGCATTTTCGTATGCGCCGACCGAATCAGGCCGCCCTTTTGCGCGGTCCCTCCATCCATATTCAAATCTCCACCAAGCATACCGCACGGTTCATAATGGAGGACGCCGTGGTGGCGCCTTCGCCTTCGCTGCTAGCGGACGCGGCGACGCGCGCGCCGGCCAACAACATCTGGCACGTGGACTACAACGCGACCGTGGCCAAGGACGCGGCCATGGGCTGGCAGGGCATGGGCTTCGTGCTGGGCTTCAACGGCGTCATGTTCCTCGTGGCGCTGGCCGTGTTCCAGGCGGGCGCGCGCAGCACGCGCTTCAGCCTCTTCCGCTTCGGCTCGAGCTCCATCCTGTCGGCGCGCGCGCAGCAGGCGGCGCAGTTCTCGCTCAAGAAGTGGGGCGACCTGCTCTGGCGCACGCCCATCCGCGACTCGGACGTGGAGCTGCAGCTCGGGCCCGAGGGCACCTTCTACCTGCTCTACCAGCAGTACACGGCGCGCTTCCTGGGCGTGCTCAGCGTCTTCGCCATGCTCGTGCTGCTGCCGCTGTACCTCACGATCGGCGCCAACGCCATGCAGCAGGTGGAGGCGGTCGCGGAGGCCGCGGTCAAGGGCATCGAGGCCATCGCCGACGGCTCCGCGCGCGGAGCCACGGACCTCTTCGCCATGGACGGAGGCGACGCTGCTGACGCTGCTGCTAGTGCCGTCGGAAGTGCAAGTGGCAGCCTCGCAGCCTCATCGGCCGCGCAGGACGAGGACAGCCACTGGTGGAGCTTCGCGCACGCCACCATCCGCGTCATGCCGCACGAGTCGCCGTACCTCTGGGTGCCCGTGGTCATGTGCTACCTGACGACGCTCGTGTTCCTAGTGTACTACCGACAGCTGAGCGCGCTGGCCACCATTCCGACGCACAACTCGAGACGCCACAAGCTCGCGGGGCTCACTACGAGATCGTCGTCCATCATGTCCAACGCCACGAGTGTCGCGACAATGGGGCAGCCCGCCGGTGAGGTGGACAAGTCGAGCGCCAATGTCGCGGACGAAGCCGTCACGCCGGAGGTCGTGACCTCGCCGTCCAAGGCGAAGATGGAGGCGGAAGCGGAGCCCGAGGACCCGGAGAGACAGCCGCTACTAGCCAAGGAGAAGGCCAAGGAGGAGAAAGACCCGGCTGTGGTGGTGGAAGAGCAAAAGCCCAAGGCTCCTGAGCGCACGCATCTGATTGGAATGCAGCCCTCGGCGCTCAGTAACAGGTCGCTCTTCGTCCACCGCGGACTGCCCAAGCAGCTGCGTGAGCAGCGCATGCTGCGCTTGCTGGACGAGGTTTTCCCTGGCTACGTGGAGGACGTGAGCGTCGTGTTCAATCTGGCCGAGTTCCACAGCCTGCAGGCTCGTCGGCGCCGCGAAGAGACGGAGTTGGCGCGCATGAAGATCCTGCACGAGCTTGAACTTAACGGCGAGAAGCCCTCGTGGTCGCTTCGTCTTTTGCCCGGCGGCGTCATGATCCCTTCGCTTCGGTCGCTGTTGAGCAACTTGTTTTGCTGCTTCAGGTGGTGCTCGAGGCCTGTTCCGATGGAAGAGCAAGAGGAGAAGCTCCAATACCACATCAAGGAGCTGCGGGAGAAGGAGGCCATGTGCCTGTCCCGCATTCTGCACGAGAACAAGGGCGCCGGACGCGCATTCGTGATCTTCAAGTCAGCGAGACTGCGCGCCCGCTTTGTTCGTCGCGTCCGCAACCAGAGCATCACCTCCATCTTGGCGCGCTTTCCGGAGCACGCTCAGCCCAGACTTGTGCGCTACGTGCGCGAGCTGGGGCTTACGCGTTGGCAGCTGGAGGCGGCACCTGAGCCCGATGACATCGACTGGCAGAGCGTGTCGTTCCCGTTTGCGAAGCGTACTGTCGTGGTTCTGTTGGTGAACGTGTGCATCCTCGTAGTGCTCCTGCTGTTCACGTCCCCGATTGCTGTGACGTCGGCCATTTCCAGCAGCTCGTCGTACTCGACAGGCGCGGCTCAGTCGCTGTCGGACCTGGTGGCACAGCTGGGCGACCTGGTGAAGAAGGTGTCGCCCCACATGGCGAAGCTGTTGGCGACGTACATCCCCACGCTGATCCTGGTGATGATCAACGCCGTGCTTCTGAACGTGCTGCAGATTGCAGGGCGTATCCAGCCGATTTCGACGGACTCGGCGAAAGAGCGGTTGATCTTGCGCACAGCCTCCGTGTACTTGATTTTCAACACCATCTTCGTGCCCAGTTTGGCGTTTATGTCGATCGATGCGGTGCTGCTCTACCTCGAGGACGACGGCGAAGTGCTTGGCATGCTCGGCACACTCTTCCTGCACAACTCGGGCATTTTCTACGTGGATTATGTGCTTCAGCGCTGCTTCCTCGGTACTGCTCTCGTGCTGCTGCGCGCCACCGAGTACGTCAAATTCTCGTGGGCGAAGCCGCGCGCGTTGACGCCTCGGGAGAAGGTCCAGGCTGTGGAAGCAGATCAATTCTACACGGGCACGCAGTCGGCCATGCAGATCAGTACGCTGACCGTTGTGCTCATGTTCAGCACCGTCGTGCCAATGATTTTGCCGTTGGGAACGCTCTATTTCGTGATGCAGCATGGTGTGGATAAGTACTCACTGCTGAATGTGCGTCGCCGGATCAAGGGACGTGGTAGCATTGCCCGTACTGCCACGCACGCCACCTGTGTGAGCCTGCTGCTGTATCAGGGTGCCATGAGCGGATTCATCCTCGAGCGGGGCACCACGTCGCAGAGTGCCGCCGTGCTCGTATTGCTCATGGGCACGTACATCGTCGTACTGTGGGGCTACGTTCAGGACAAGGACCAGCAGCGCCACATGATCACTCGTAGCGGACACAGCTCCCTCGAGCACGTTCCTAACGCGCAGAACTCGGAGTTCCCGTTGAGCATGCTCAACTCCAGCCTGCAGCCGCTGGAAGAAGGCGGACCCAAGGGCCAGGACGAAGAGGAGCAGGAAGGAGGAGAGCAAGGCGAGCCCGAGGAACCTCCTGCCGGCGACGAAGAAGAACAAGCTCCAGCTGGACCACTTCGCGGTCGTCGGCCTCTGGAAACGCTCACCGAGTCTTCGGCACTGCTGATGTTCCCGTCTAGCAGCGGGGACCCCGACCTCCTCGCTGGCCCCGACGCCGACTCGAGCGACTTGTACCGCGAGCCCGCACTTCGCAAGTCCATGCGCATGAGCTTCGGCCCTCAAGATCTCGGGGACTACGGCACCTGGCGCCAAGTCTAACGGATCTATATCGAAATATGAACAACATGGGTACTCTTGTGTACACCACACCAATTCCATGTAAACGCACACAAACTCAGCTTTCTCGATCCCCCTCAATTATTGTGTTCCCCGCATCCGAGCTAGAGCAGCCGAGCCGCCATGGAGACCGAGTGGCACACGCTGGGCAAGGTGCAGTACCATAAGTGGGCCGTGTACGGCATGACGTGGGCGGCCGAGGGCGTGACGGACCTGCGCGACTTCGTGGCGGCCTGCGCGCCCTACGGCGGGCCCGTGGCGCTGCTGCGCGACCCCAAGAAGCTGGTCAAGGTAGCGTCGGACGCGCCGCTCGCGCGCCAGCTGCTGCTGTTCAACGCGTGCGGGCGCAAGCTGGGGCAAGTGGACTGGGCGCCCTTCGAGGACGCACGCGAGACGCTCGTGGGCATGACGTGGACGGACGAGCTGCGCCTGCTCTGCGTGTTCGCCAGCGGCAGCTGCGTGGCCTTCAGCATGGCGGGCGACGAGGAGACGCGCTTCTCGCTGCTGCCGCCCGGCTCCAAGGACAAGGTGGCCACATTCGAGGCCTGGGGCGGCGGCCTCGTGGCGCTCACGGAGAAGATGGCGCTCGTGCAGGTGCTGGACGTGGACTCGGTGCGCCCCAAGGTGTCGCTGCTGCCGGACTGCGGGCTCTCGGACGCCAACCCGCCCACGTGCATGGCCGTGCTGGAGCCCAAGTTCCTCAAGAGCATCTACCCGGAGGTGCTGCTGGGCACGAGCAACCGCTCGCTCGTGGTCGTGAGCAAGGACGGCGGCGCGCAGGACATGAAGCTGCAGGACTCCATCGCCGCGCCCATCTCGGCCGTGGCCATCGCGCCCAACGGCCTCTTCATGGCGCTCTTCTCGCAGGACGGCATCCTCACGGTGCTCAACACGATGATGGACAAGAAGATCCTGTCTTTTGACACGCAGAGCAAGGCCAGCCCCATGAGCATGTGCTGGTGCGGAGAGGACTCGGTGCTCATGTACTGGCCCAGCGCGGGCCTGGTCATGGTGGGGCCCTACGGCTCCTGGCTGCGCTTCCCGTACTCGGAGAGCATCGTACTGGCCCAGGAGGTGGACTGCTGCAGAGTGTACAGCGCGTCGTCGCACGACATCGTGCTGCGTGTGCCGACCTGTGTGGAGAACATCAAGGGCGTAGGTTCCACGGCACCCGCTGCCATGTTGTACCAGGCGCTGGATGCGTTCGACTCGGGAGACGCCAAGGCGGACGAACACATTCGGTTCATCTTGAGTCAGAACGCGCTGGAGGACGCCATTAAGGACTGCGTGGACGCAGCGGGAAGCGAGTTTGACTACGCTTCGCAGACTACGCTACTGCGCGCCGCATCGTACGGCAAGTGCTTTGTGGACTCGGCCATGGACGCGTCTTCGGCTCTTCCTGGAGGCGCTGGAACTGGCGGCGGCAACGCTATGATGGATGCAGAGTTGTTTGTTGATATGTGCCGCAAGATTCGTGTGCTGAACGCGCTGCGCCAACAGGATGTCGGCTTCCCCCTGACAGTGACACAGTTCGACCGATTGACAGCGGAGGTTGTCGTGAGTCGGCTGGTAGCAATGCGCCACCACTTTTTGGCACTCAAGATCTGTGAGTACATGAAGATCCCCACGGACCGCGTGCTCGTCCACTGGGCTTGCGAGAAGGTGAAGGCCGCCACGTCTTCTGATGTTTCCGATGAGGAGCTCGTGGCGCTTGTGCGCAAGAAACTCAAGAACGCGACGTTGGTGTCCTACGCTGACATTGCCAACTGCGCAGAGCGTGTGAACCGGCGGCGACTTGCTACGATGTTCTTGGATCTGGAGGAGAACGCGTCCGACCAGGTGCCACTGCTGCTGTCTATGGGTGAGTTCGAGCTGGCGCTGCGCAAGTCGCTTGAGTCCAACAACACCGACCTCATCTATATGACACTGTTCCACCTGGAACGCACGCTGCCGTCTATGGATGAGTTCCGATACGTGCTGAACCGCGAGCCCATGTACGCGGAGGCTGTGAACCTGATGTTGCTCTACTACCGCGCTACGAAGAGCTCGGGCAGCCCCGCGCTGTGGACCGACGTGGCCAGCGCTGAAAACGACCTACTGCTCTCATTCAAGACGTCAGATGTCGAAGAGAAGATCACGGCGCTGAAGGACGCCACCACCAAGTACACAAATGCCAAGCTGCCGTCGCACGCCAAGCTCGCCGAGGAGCAGATTGAGCTGCTGCAAGAACAGGGCAAGCTGGAAGAGAAACCGGAGAACGTGAAGCGCCGCAAGCTGGTGGGGCTGTCGATCTCAAACACAATGAAGCTGCTGCTTCGCGACAGCAAGTACGAGCCCAAGTTGCTGCCGCTGGTGGCGGCGTTTGCCAAGAAGTTCAAGGTCCCGGACAAACGCTTCTATCGCGTCAAGATTAAGGCCCTTGCCGAGACGCGCCAGTGGGACGCGCTGCACAAGTTCTCGATGGAGAAGAAGAACCCGCCCTGCGGCTTCAAGGCCTTCGCCATCGCGTGTCTGGAGGAGGGCGAGAAGCAGCAGGCCGAGAACTACACGGCCCGCATCACTTCGGTGGACGAGAAGTTCGAGACACTCATCCACCTCGACATGTACAGCGACGCTCTGCAGCTCGCCATCAAGCTCAAGGACCCGGAGAAGCTCACGAACGTGCGGAACCTCTGCAACGACGACAACATCTGCAACCAGGCCGACAAGGCGGCCATGGAGCTGGGCTTTGTGTCTTAGAGGGAGACGGCATTGAGCCTTCGCGGGTTCTTCACGTCGTGCGCGTTTTATATTGCCGTGCTTGTTGTGTTGGTAGCACAGCGTGGGTGCACTTGGTTGTGGCCGGGTAATACCAGGATCCACCGGCGTAGGTCGAGTAAAATAAGTAAAACTCAATTTTACAAGCAGAAACAGCTCTTTGCTACTGATCTCACGCTAACGCTCATGCATCCGAGATTGATCCGAACTCTGAGGTGTCATGAGCGCGAGCTTTACGTTTCGCGAGACACTGTATAGCTGCAGGAGTACATGTATCTGATATTCTCCGGACAGTCCACACCACTTGCGCTAGCTCACATCGTGCGAGAGATTGATGAAGTGTCAGAGCGGGAGCTTCGCACCTCAACAATTTCACACCGTTCGAGTTACGAGCGCGGACTCACAGGGACAGCCTAACAAGTCTGAGCTGACCGGCCAAGCAACCGAATTAGCCTATCGCTAGTACCGGCAACAAACGGCGACCTCTGACCTCCACGCTACTAGGGGCATGCCCACGCTAGCCCCAATGACATTACGTCACCGAGGCTGTGCGCTGGTCCAGCGCCGCTGGATAGAGAAGCCCGCAAGTTGTAGGGGATAGCTTCGAAGCGCGGCGAAAGGCGCGGAATGACCGTGGTTACCGTTGTACGACCACAACGCCCAGCAGCAGTTCTGCGTGTGGATAGATGTACAACTACCTACATCTGCTCATGCTACTAGGAGGGCTAGAAGCCAAGAGTAGAATCTAGCTGTACTGCTGAACTCCAGGGACTTGCTACGAGCACTAGCAATGCCAGTCGCCGGTGCATGGATGTTACTTCAACCTGAGCCATACTGAGTCCAAGTGAGAGGATGGGCAGATGGTATACTTCCATCCCTTTCAACGCAAAGTAATCACCGCGCGTCAGCCACTCGGTTCAAGCCGACCGAAGCCAACGCGCTCACCTCCACCTCTCGGTGCCAGCAGCAGCGCTGGTAGCGCCCAGCATGGTGCTGGGCGCCACGCGCTTCCTATGAAGTATCAGCAGTTCTGATTCAGCCTCCAGGCTTCAGGCTTCTTCGGCAAAGTTTCAAGATTTTCGAAAAGTCCAGCGCAACACGCACGTCATTCTCAACAGTCGCGGCGGGCGACAATGTACTGCGACTAGGATAACATGAATACCCCCACCGCCGCCGCTGAAGTGCACTACATGGAGTGGGCGGGGCGGGGCTTGGCTCTCCCTGCGGCTACTGCGTCGGCTGGGCCATGAGTTGCCGCTCCTCGGCCACGGCGGGCTCGTCCTGCTGGCTGTACCACGCGTAATGGTCGGTGCAGAAGTTGTTGGTGCGCTCGGACGCTGGCTTCCGGCACGTCTCGACGGAGCAGCGCTTGCCTGTATGAAAATGGACAGGGGAGGTCAGCTAAGATGACCCAAGCGTCGAAGCGGCAGCAGCAGCACTCACCTCCGCCATGCGCCCAGCAGCGGCCTAGCGAGACGGCGATCTTGGAGCACCCCTCGGTCTTGCAGCGGGTGCCGCCGCCGTGCGACCAGCAGATGCCCCGCGACTTGGCGCGCTTGGCGCAGCCGTCCACCTTGCAGATGGTGTAGCCGCCATGCTTCCAGCACAGCCCTCGGTTCTGCGCGCGGCAATTGCAGCCCTCCACGTTGCAGCGCTTGCCTCCCTGCCCAGTCGAACACAACCAACATCCGTCAGCAACAGAGTAGCACCCTGCAGCCACTAGTGTACAGCACACACCCCGTGTCGGATGCACAGGCCGTGGTCCACGACGTATTTATCGCAGCCGGGCTCCTTGCAGATGCGCGCCTTCCTCTTCTTGCGCTTGGGCGCTGAGGGCGTGGTGGCCTCCGCGTCCTGCCGGCCGCGCTTGGACGAAGTTGAAGTGGGCGTGGCCAGCCGCAGCTCCTGGCCCGCCTGCTCGGCGCCGGGCACCGTGCTCAGCTCCATCTTGACGGCCGCGTGGCTCGCGTCGTCCAGGATGAAGTCGATGGAGCCCTTGGGCGTCGCGGCCGCGTCGTAGCTGCTCAGGCCGTCGAAGGCCGAGCTGGGCGACAGCAGCGACGTGGCTGGCGGCAGGCGCGCGGGCTCGCTGGCGGACTTGACGAACAAGTCTTGGAACGACATGGAGCGCATGGTCGCACAATGTTGGTTGGGGTATAGTATGACTTTGATGGCGGTGGGGGTCTTGTCTTCTGCCCCTTGCCTGTTGATCGATGTGCGCACTTGGTCTCTTTCTGACGACTGAGCTTCGACGTTGGCTCGAGTAGCTAAAGTATCAAAAATAAACCTTTTGGTCGGGGCTATGCACAGATATGATCTTCTGTCGGGTAATGACAACGTCATGAGTCTCACCTGCGGGCCTCACTCCTTCACCCGCTCGCTGCGAGTTCAGCCGGCGGCGCTGGCAAGAGGCCGGAGAAGTCTCTCGTTTGATGCCGGCACCTCTATTTCTCTTTCGCTTGTCGTGAGCGCCGCGCTGCCACGAACGCTGGCTACCCACCCCAAACGAGGAGCGAAAGTATGTGTCCGAGCGTCGTGGGCTCGTACGGCCGGCCCCGCGCTGGTCAGCCGGGCGAGCCGTTTGTGCTCGTCGGCAGCAGATCTCTGGCGACGCCTGAAGACGGACGCGCTCCCTCCTGCAGGCAGGCAGGGCCTTCCTTCCGCCGGCTTTTCCGCCAAGAAACAATGGAGCCGAAGTAATCAGCAGCGCTGTGTGTCTCAAGGCTTCGAGCACGCTGTGCACGAGCCTTGCTTGTGTGGTCGTCGGCAGCAGGAAGGTCATCGAACGCCGGGGGGTCTGCATGTACTGCCTGCTCTGCCCTGTCGTCCAGAGGTTTCGGCCGGCCACAAGCAGACCCGGCTGACGGCGTTGCATGCGCTGTCTCATCGGCTGCAGGCCTGCCAAAGCGAGCAGTTTGGCGGAGCTCGACGCTATGCTCGACTTGCTGGAATTGGGTCCTGGACACCTCCAGCTCGGCGTCCTTGAAGCTGCCGATCGCGTTCGCACTGCTCAACACGTTGCCGCGTGGTACGGGCCGCTTTGGCGTCGTCACATGCAGCTGAGGGAGGATCGTCATCACGCGAGCGAAAGCAACAGGAGCTGTCGGCACCAGTCTTCTGAGCGACTTTGTCCCGGTGAAAGCAGCAAAGAACATCTGAATGGACGCGGTTGTCTTCATGGACGCCGAGTTGGCCGGCAAGTAGCTTTGGCTCGACTAGCGTAAGCGCTCGTGTAGCGCTCGTCACGCGATCCCACGCGTGGCGACTGATGAAGCGGGGCCAGCATCTGGCTAGGTGAGCGATCTCCACGCTGTCGACATCCGCTTGCTCTCTCTAATACATGCACTGCTTTCAGAGAGGGGCTCGAATCACACGTCGCGCGTGCAATCGCTCGCTTCTGGACCGTTGTCGGCGAGCTGCGTCGAGCGTCGATGCGTAGACTTCGGTCGAGATGGCACGCGCTTAGTGCGTGGCGGCCAGCAATGCACTGGCATGTCAAGCCACGTCGGACTCGACATTGACGCTGATTCATGGTGCAGGTGCCGATTGCCAAGTGATACGCAGCAAGCGCATCGCAATCGACAATGTGAACGTATCTGCAGAACTCAAGACGAATGCAGTGCATGGATAATATGAAGCGCGTTTATATATTTTACACGGCTGGCTGGCTGGTTGATCGTCTCCTAGCTAGTTCTACTTAGTTGGTCGCGGGCACGGGAGCAGCAGCCTGCGCTTGCTGGTTGCGCAGCGCGCAGTGCTCGGCGCAGAGGTTGCCGTTGCGCTCGTAGGCCGGCTTCTGGCACGTCTCGACGAGGCAGCGCTTGCCGCCGCCGTGCGCCCAGCAGAGCCCGTGCGAGACCGCGATCTTGGAGCAGCCGCCGTGCTTGCAGCGAGTGCCGCCGCCGTGCGACCAGCAGATGCCGCGCGACTTGGCGCGCTTCGTGCAGCCCTCCACCGTGCAGCGCGTGTAGCCGCCGTGCTTCCAGCAGAGCCCGCGGTTCTGCGCGCGGCAGTTGCAGCCCTCCACGGAGCAGCGCTTGCCGCCGCCGTGGCGGATGCACAGCCCGCGGTCCACCACGTACTTCTCGCAGCCCTCCGACTTGCAGATGCGCGTCTTGCGCTTCTTCTTGGGCTGCGGCTTGGCGTCCTGCGGCTGGATCATGCTCGTGGCCAGGGGCGCCGACGCAGCGGCGGCGTTCGAGTACGGGTGGTACAGGATGCTCGACGGAGCAGTCGACGCCGCAGGGACGTAGTGCTGCTGCTGCTGCAGCTGGTTCATGTGGTGCTGGGCGTCCGCGGCTTGACGCGCCGGCGGGTTCAGCAGGAACGAGATCGACGATGACGTGCGCGAGGGCGACGAGTTGGCCGAGCCGACGGGACCGCCCTGCGCTGCGAGCGTGCTCATGAGGCTCGGCAGCGTGGGGAGGCGCGGCGCCAGCGACGGCAGGCGGATGGTGCGGATCGTGTGCGGGGCCGTGTAGGGCTCCGACGGGAGCGAGGCCGCCTGCAGTAGCGGCGCGAGACGCGAGGATCCGACGGGGACAGCTTGCATTGTCAATGTTGTAGGTTGTGTGAAGCTTGGGGGCTTTGGCGCTCTTTGACAAGTGAGTCAACTGGGCTTGACAAACGCCTCTCGTGTGTGTTGGTTGTTGGGACCACGCCTTTGGCGACTGGCAAGATCGGCTCGTGGGATTTGAACGCGCTGGGCGCCATAGAAACCCTTTCCTGAGCATATGCCACAATAAACAAAATAAACAATCCGGCTGTCCCACACAGATGGGAACAAGGTCTTCTGTGCAGGCCGAGGAAGCCCGGGGAAGACTAGGAAATTTGCATGCAGAGCAAAGTCTTCTATGCCCTGCACGCAAGGAAAATGCAATGAAATGCGAACAGGGCAAAGGAACGCATGGACTCCTTCAACTACAAAGGCTGAAAAAAAAACAATTCACGATAGGTACACATTCAGGAACGGCTGGCCAAACAACCTACGCAGGTTCACTCCGATCTATGCGCGATTTCGGTAGGAAGCGTCACGCTTCAAGCGTGAATCCGTGCAGGATGGGATGGTGGCGGGGATAGGGCGTGACTGCCATCAAGGCGTTTGTCCAGCCCCGCCGTAAACAAGCTGCAGCTGGTCGTCAGAGCTGGCATCTTAGCGAAAAGTTGTGTGTTCGGGCTCGCAGCGCAGCAGCTATGCTATTCTCCAAGCCTTTCGAAGCACAGCCGCTGATCGAAATCCAAACTCTCCACCGCTCTTTTATTTGCGGATTGCGGATTGCGTGAAAGCCATTTGGTCTCGAGCAACAACTTCGCTAGTATGCATGCAACAGAGAAATAATTTGTGAATTGTGAGTCAACTTCAAAGGAATTGATGCATTCAGCCTTAGGTATGTTTAATGCAGTGTGAAGGACCGCGGAACCCACCAGAATGGGGGAGCGACGCTCAAATGCAACGCGAGAAAGTTTGTGGAGACGGTGGCCGACCACCCAGCAGCGATTATTCCGTGATTACTTTGACACGTGCAGGAACAGAGCGTCATCGCCTCCAATCGGTTGTTTAGAGGACGCCTGCTGCTGAAATCCCATCGTGCGCTCGTTGAACACACAAAGCACGAGCAAGTTGAACTAGCCGGCCAGCAAGTTGGTCCTCGAAGAAGCCAGGGTGGCTACCCCGCAGTCGTTACAGCACAGATAACTAGTGGTAGTACACACTGTAGTAGAAGAGATTTTATTTGGCCCAGACGGGATATCTGCGCCGTACTAGTGTGTGTCCGTACATAAAGTGATTATATGTGCCGTAGCGAGTAATCTGCGCCGTATCAATATCGTGTTGTCGTAGTTATCTGTGCCGTAACGAAAGTCCCGTCCGACCAAGTCCGAGTCCCGATTTTCTGACAACCATCGGGCGCACAACCCTCGACTACACCGATGTCGCTCGGCCGAAGTGCGCGAAAGCAATCATAATCTTCCTTCCTTCGTCCGCTCGAATCGATGCGAGCGCTGAGCGCCAGCCAAGCCCCACGAGTAACGAGACGTCCTGCCGGCAAGCACAGGATCGCCGGCGGGGTTTACGGCGCGTCGCGCAATTGAAAAGCATCCCCAGCAGCATGTCGCGGGCTGCTGCGAACTGTTCGAGCTGTCTTTCGCGCTCGGCACCGGCGATTGCACCTTGAGACGGACACCGGGTCGTCCTCTGGTGTTGCCCGCGGTGTCCAGTTGGTAAAGGAAATCGGAGCCCATGCCGCGAGAGCCCCACGCTGCTGAGATGGAGCACGCTCACAAACGGAATGGTCCGAGCTCGCCCGACCTCTCACCGACGGCTCCCTGCATTGTGCATTTCGCCAATCCATGCTGTGTTGCACTGGCACGAGTGTCTTCAATGCAATTCAATGCCGAGCCTGCCTCTATGTTATCCTTACTGTTAATCGAATGGGCGTCAGACGGGTGAATCTGAATGCAGCAGAAATGTCGATGCAAACTGCTGTATGCAATGCGAGCTTGCCCAGACTCGAGCTTCATTGCGTTCGGGGTTTCCTTCCACCAGCGCTCGCAGACTGCAGACCAGTCCGCTGCTGCGGCGCGCCATGAGCTGCCAGAAGCCACTGATTATTCGTTCTAGGGGTTTTCCAGCGTATTCAGCCCAGCTGTACATATATGACCGAAGCACACGCTCGCTCGACTAAGCGCGAGCGCGGCCATGCACCGCAGTGTGCGGCGCACACCTGGGATAGTCGCGCCCGCAACCTGATGCGGGGTTGAGGCAAATTTGTGGCGCGGCTTGTGCCGCGCAAATAAAAAATTCAACGCGTTCACCAGCGGGTGAAGCTTTCCCGCTTTCCTCGCGATTTGCAAAAGGCCGTAAACGCGAGTAGTGAAAGGCAGAAAGCCAGAAACTCGACTGTCACCGCTAATGGGTTAATTTATGTTAGTACAGATATAGTGTAGATTGGTTAAATTAGTAAGGTAATGGGGCGGGCTCTAGATGTTGTTAGCAAATTTTTGGTGAGAAAGTAAAAATCGTAAATGATATAAATATGGATTCTCCTAAAAATTCTGGATGGTTGATTTTAATTAAGTTTTGTTGTTGTTTACTTCTACTGTACGGACATGTACTTATATAAATGAGTTTCAATGATAGTTTTGAGCGCTGAATGACGCTTTCGCTGGGGATGCCGATCCATAATCACTTGCTGCTCGCCGGAGTTGAAGGCAGTCGCGGGCTTATCCTGCGGGAGCCGCTTGCTCGACGGATTTTGTGCAGCAACGGCGCGGCCTTCAGCGAGCAAGACGCAGCGAACTTGATTCCGTGAGTCAAAAACAGATCGGGGCTGCCGCGTTTGCCTCGCGTTTGGCTAGTTTGCTGGCGGAGCTGAACGAGGCCTTTGTCGAGAAATGCGGTTCGCTGGCTGGAATCCCATCGCCAGGAGCCCAATCGCGGTGCTACAGTACCTACCATAGAGCAATCCGATGCTGGCGTGCTGGGTCCAGCTTTGCAGCATGGTCTGTACATGTATTTCGCGGCTGGAGAGCTGCATTGCAGCAGCCGTCGGTCAACTGTAGGACACAAGACCACCTCGCTGGGTCCAACACGCGCTGGGCGTAGCCGTGTTGGTTGCATGAGACACCGGCGTGTTCACTTGAGGATTGGCTCGAAGCAGGTAGAATGAGGCCCCGAAGCGTACAGTATGTTCCAGCAACAACCTCTGATCGATGCAGCCCATGCAGTGCTGTGCAGCTTGCTCCTGGGCAAGTCCGAAGCCGCCAAAAATGCCTCTCATTCCTCTCCGACTTTGATGACGGGAAGCCCGAATCTGCCAGGTACAGTACAACGCCACGATGCATTTTGCCAGTTTACTGACGCTGCGCCGGACCAGCGCATTGATGGCAAGCGCACTGTCTCGGTCGGGGCTTTTCCGCCGGGCGTTTTCCTACTGAAATCGCGTGCAGCAACAGTTTGGTACCAACAAACAACCCACGCGCGAGCCAGAGGGCTTCGCTTGTTTACTCTGGACAGGCCTAATCAACATCTCAACGCCGCTCGCCTACGCCTCCTCGCAGAAAACTCCGGGCACATGCGGGTGTCGGTGTGAGGGTTGCAACCAGTCGAAGCGCGCAGAACCCTCGGCGCCAACCGAAGCGGATCAGCGCTTGGTGGGACAGCCGGCTTGTTTACTTTGGCATGCCGGGGGGAGGCAAATCGGCCAGCGTTTGACTTGGCTTTTGAATGCGGACAAATCCCCTCAGCCGCTCTTGCCAGTCGCCACAGCTGCGACCAACAACTCAGGCGTTCGGTTGTCAAGACCATTCAGGCTCGATGAGAGTGCTTACGTACACAGTCTTTTTTGATGGGGGTCGAGGGGGGGTGAATGTGATATAGAAGAGGAGGAGGCTCGCGGTTGCGAGGAGCGTAGCCGCAGCAAACCCGCGCGGGGTGCCCGCGTAGCAGGGCCGCGCGGTATTTGCGGAGGCGGGCCCAGCGACGAGCATTCCAGCGAGCCGAGCACTGTTCTCGCCAGGTGAGAGAATCTTTTTATCGCAGGAGCGCAGCGCAGCGGAGCAAAGCCATTTCCCGCGGATGACATCCGTCCTGCGGGAAGGTCGTCACATTGTGGGGTGATGGGCTGCCTATACAAACACCAAGATATCACCGAAAATAGACTGTGTACGTAAGTCCTGCCCAGGCTCGATCTCGACCAGTTCACTTGTCAATACGCCTCGAAGCCCGGAAGCGCCTCGACCGAAAGCTCCTACCAGTTCTCCGCTCCATCCATTGACAATGCAAGCTGTCCCCGTCGGTTCCTCGCGTCTCGCGCCGCTACTGCAGGCGGCCTCGCTCCCGTCGGAGCCCTACACGGCCCCGCACACCATCCGCACCATCCGCCTGCCGTCGCTGGCGCCGCGCCTCCCCACGCTGCCGAGCCTCATGAGCACGCTCGCAGCGCAGGGCGGTCCCGTCGGCTCGGCCAACTCGTCGCCCTCGCACACGTCATCGTCGATCTCGTTCCTGCTGAACCCGCCGGCGCGTCAAGCCGCGGACGCCCAGCACCACATGAACCAGCTGCAGCAGCAGCAGCACTACGTCCCTGCGGCGTCGACTGCTCCGTCGAGCATCCTGTACCACCCGTACTCGAACGCCGCCGCTGCGTCGGCGCCCCTGGCCACGAGCATGATCCAGCCGCAGGACGCCAAGCCGCAGCCCAAGAAGAAGCGCAAGACGCGCATCTGCAAGTCGGAGGGCTGCGAGAAGTACGTGGTGGACCGCGGGCTGTGCATCCGCCACGGCGGCGGCAAGCGCTGCTCCGTGGAGGGCTGCAACTGCCGCGCGCAGAACCGCGGGCTCTGCTGGAAGCACGGCGGCTACACGCGCTGCACGGTGGAGGGCTGCACGAAGCGCGCCAAGTCGCGCGGCATCTGCTGGTCGCACGGCGGCGGCACTCGCTGCAAGCACGGCGGCTGCTCCAAGATCGCGGTCTCGCACGGGCTCTGCTGGGCGCACGGCGGCGGCAAGCGCTGCCTCGTCGAGACGTGCCAGAAGCCGGCCTACGAGCGCAACGGCAACCTCTGCGCCGAGCACTGCGCGCTGCGCAACCAGCAAGCGCAGGCTGCTGCTCCCGTGCCCGCGACCAACTAAGTAGAACTAGCTAGGAGACGATCAACCAGCCAGCCAGCCGTGTAAAATATATAAACGCGCTTCATATTATCCATGCACTGCATTCGTCTTGAGTTCTGCAGATACGTTCACATTGTCGATTGCGATGCGCTTGCTGCGTATCACTTGGCAATCGGCACCTGCACCATGAATCAGCGTCAATGTCGAGTCCGACGTGGCTTGACATGCCAGTGCATTGCTGGCCGCCACGCACTAAGCGCGTGCCATCTCGACCGAAGTCTACGCATCGACGCTCGACGCAGCTCGCCGACAACGGTCCAGAAGCGAGCGATTGCACGCGCGACGTGTGATTCGAGCCCCTCTCTGAAAGCAGTGCATGTATTAGAGAGAGCAAGCGGATGTCGACAGCGTGGAGATCGCTCACCTAGCCAGATGCTGGCCCCGCTTCATCAGTCGCCACGCGTGGGATCGCGTGACGAGCGCTACACGAGCGCTTACGCTAGTCGAGCCAAAGCTACTTGCCGGCTAACTCGGCGTCCATGAAGACAACCGCGTCCATTCAGATGTTCTTTGCTGCTTTCACCGGGACAAAGTCGCTCAGAAGACTGGTGCCGACAGCTTTCGCTCGCTGTACTGACGTTCGCTTATTACTGACAATTGATTATAGCCAATCAAAATACCTTATCGTGTGCCTCCACTTGTTGCTGAGTCAGTAATACTGGCAACACAAAAATGGGCAAGGGTCAGTCATTTCCCAATCTCCAAGATAGAGTTGGGTCAAATCATTACCGAGTTAATACCAATTACCGTTATTACCTCCCTAATACCTTCCTATTAACGGTATTACCTTTTGTGTAAAGTTGGTGTGTCAAGACTACTTTAGCTAAAAAAACAAGGACGAGATGTGGCTAGCACCAATGCGCTCATCATACCTTCCTAGTAGTTAGAAGACACTAGGTGAGAACAAGCAAGAAGTCCTATTATTGTGGAGAAGCGCATTTTTGCGGACTCTGAGCGGAGTTTTGACTGTACACAAAAAATTCAGTTTATCGTACACAATCTTTACATAATGGTATTACCAATCGGTATTAGATAGCTAAAAATCCCAATACCAGTTATTAGGAGTTATCAACTTGGTAATAAACAGCACTACTCCAAGATGCCACCTGCCCGCAGACGCACCGCAATTGCGGCGGGACAACCACTTGAAAACTCAGAACAATCCATCTTGGCACATTTAATGCGTGATATCACCTTAATATTTATATATATTTAAACACATTGAAGATCTGAATAACACACAAAACACTGAAAAACACTGACGGGCACATCATTTGCCGGTGCCTCCACACAATGCCAAAAAAAATGCGCCGGATCCGGCTCTATTTGTGGCCACCCTGGCCGTCGTTCTCGTCGACCACAAATTGACTGGCACATGAGGTGCCCCCGAGCTAGCCTAATAACTCTGGAGATATAGCTCGAAGAAGAAAAAGCGTAGTTAATTCATGTGTGGTAGATGAAGACGAAGGGAACGGCGTGCCGCTTGCCTGCTCCCGACCAATATTGAGCGAGGAACAGTACTCAAAATCAACTGTCGGTACTTTTCACACAGAAACGGTACCACTAAATACCAATACGGTACTTGTGACTACACCACGGTACATACTCTGGCTGCACAGTGTCTCATTCGCTGCCACTCTCACTTGTGGATTCGTGTCAACCTTAAGCCACGATGGGGAGGGATCCCATCGAGTGGCGGGAGTTGGCCTACGCCGTAGCGCAATATGACGGGAACGAACTGCTCAATTTCAGGAAGGCGTCGCGTATTACAAGGTGCAACACGACTCGCTGCACGATTTGTGGAGATGCAACGAAGCATAACATGCAGTACCGGCTTCTCGAGTGCACGTCGGCAGCGTGCTTGCAAGGCCGCTGTGAATGGCGCGGAAAGGCCCTCACCTGCCCTACCACCCACAGAATGACCTGTATGAAGCCGGTCGCCATTGGTCAGATGCAGCGTCGCCCCGACGCGTGAAACTTACAAGACAGCAGAAGAAGTATTGTGGAGAGCTTGCTGCTCAGAGGGTGAAGCAAGTCCGCGTCCGTAATGCGCTTCGAGTCAAGTTTGGTCTACAAGGGGAATCGGTGCCACGATTGTGCTCCATTCAAAATTTTGTCCACTACTATTCATAGACACAGCTTGGCTGCAATGACGACCACGATGAAGTTGTGAAGATTGTGCGCGAGATGGCGTACCAAGATGGCGCCGATGACTTTCGACCGATTACTTTCATGGATTTCAAAAACCCCGATGGCCTGCTTCACGTCGGTGATGGCTCGGACGAGGAGCCTTTTGTCGTTGGAATAACAACCCGGGCGTTGTTGACACGTCTGGACCGGGACCCTTCAACGTTCATCTTCCACATCGACACAACGTTTAAGCTATCTCAGGTGGGCTACTCAGTGTTGGTTATGGGCATATCAGACCGCTCGCGCTCGTTCCACCTCGTCGCGTTCTGTATCCTATCCCAGCGTATCGAAAGCGTCTACACTGCGGCCTTAAGTGCTTTCCGCGCTATTTACACGGGGACTACAGGAAAGCAGATTCGTCTAAAGTTTGTGATGGGCGATGCTGAGAGTGGCCAGCTGACCGCGTTGGAGCAGGTTTTCCGACATGACTCGGACTTCATGTTCCTGATGTGCTTCTTCCACGTAATGAAGAAAGTTCAAGAGAAGACGAAGTGCCTCCTAGATCGTGTTGCCAATGGAGTACTCGCCCAGATCTATGACATGCATTTTTGCTCAAGTTTTCCCGAGTTGGTCCAAGCCACAAACTGTTACTGGAAGGAGTGAAATGAGCGAAGTGATCTCGAAGCGTTTGCTGCCTATTTCAAGTCTCAGTGGCTTGGTGCCCGATTTTCGCGCTGGCAATGTTGTTACGCGGCGCCAGGGTTTGCCAATACCGACAATCCTGTGGAACAGTTCAATCGTGTAGTCAAGCGGGACTACACGCTGCGGTCGCGGTTGAAAATGGGCATGCTGATAAACGTCCTGGCGGAGTGTTGTGCGGATATGTCACACCAACCTAAACCATTCCGGATGCAACCTGAAGCCACAACCCCTCTTGTCCGACGTGCGAAGCAGTTAGCCAGCGACAAACTTCTGCAGCTGAACAAGCAACCCACTGGCAGCCCCAATCCTGCCCATGTTCGAGTTCAATCTCGTCCGGCCCCTCGATTCTACATTCCCTCGAAAAAGAGAACCGTGGAGTACGTAGCTGTAACAGCGCAAATGGGTGGGAACTACGCGCGAATGGAGTACCACGGGCAGCCTGACGAAGGATGGCTTGTCGATACGGCGACCGGATGGTGTCAAAGCAGGTATTGGAAAAAGTTTGGATCGTGCATCCACCTCCTTCACGCGAGGTTCGCTTCGCATAGGGTGAGCGCCCAGGGATGGCGCATCCTAGTAAACCGAAACATCATCCGTAAGGCTGGAGAGAACCAAAACGTGGCTGCAAATGCTTCGGCAGGACGGCCACCGTTGAACGGTGCTGCTCTATCGCTCACGTAGCGTTTCATTGAGTCCCTCATCCTCGATATTGCGAATACAAAGCAAACGATCATGTAAAAGGGTTTGTTGACGTTGCTACATTAGCTTCTAACTACGCGTTTCGCATGAAACCCTCTTCGGTTGCTGCTTCCGGCACGAAGTATTGTGTTTTGCGGTTGGCCCCTCACCCTCAATATTCTACTAAAGCATGAGGCTGGTGTTGTCGTTGAACATTTTCTTAACCCACTTTAAGATGTTACTACGGTTTGCTTCTCTCACGCATTATCTGGCAAGTTATTTCGCCGTCGTTGCATCTGCTTCCACCTCCTTCGTTTCCTCCATCGTTTCCGTGCAAATACGAAGTAGGGCCGCGTTGTAAGACTGTGCCTCCGTACGCCGTCTTTCTTGTTGTAGCAACCGTTTCCGATTCAGTCGCGCGACTCTGATGCGCTTGGTGTAGCTGTCATGGGTAGCTTTTAGCAGATTGCTATTCGGTGCTCCGCACACTTCTAAGTCCGCGCGCCGCAGACATCTCTCCAACAAAGACCTTCCATGCCCATGATGTCGCTCTACCTAGTGCTTACGCTTGACCAAGCTGAATACGAAATAAGTGGTTTGTGTGCTTAAATCATACTAATTTGCGCCGTGCGGTATGAATGTTTTACATACGGTACCCCTTGGTAAGTTAAGGTACTACCTACTGTTTGGTCACTGTACACCAAATCAGGATACGGTACATCACGGTAATAGAAAAAGTACCGTGACCAGGTCAATATTACCGTTGGTAGTATGATAATACCGTTGGGCTTAATTGCAAGTCTAGCGAAACGGTACAACTTGCACTGGCACGGTAAAGTTGATAGTACAGTGACAACATTACTGATACAAATGACTCAACTTACAAATTTCAGTGTGTCGTTTCCGAGCCCCTCACTCTGTCGGTTGGAAGCGTCCGTGGTGTTGCTCGCTTCGCCTTGATCTATTGCATCCGAATTTACTACGCTTATTTCTCAACTGTACATATTGGCATGGCTACATAAAGGTTTTCACCGCAACCCGCGTCGCGTATTAAATCGAAGGTGTCAGTAACTGAACCAACCTCTGCGTATTTGACATAAGACACGATACTTCAAGCCACAATATCTATTAAAACTAGTAAAACGTTTTACCTGAGCCCCTCACTCTCAATATTGCGTCTTTAAGTCTGAGTGCCGTGGTATTCAATAGGTCTTGTTAGTCTGCACTCTACTTACTCGACTACGCTTATGAGCTAACTCCGAAGCGCTCATCCGAAAATCGGGTTGTTGGGGTCGCGACACTCTGTAGTGTGACACGCGTGCGTGAACCAGATGCGTTTAGAGTCTCGCACAGCCTTTCGGCGCGCTTTGTGGCCAGGTTTGCGGGAGAGAGGCTTAGGTTGGGGGTTGTTTTTGGGGCGCATCTGGCGGTGGGAGATGACGCGGCCACGGTAGCTTCTAGTCTCAGCTTTTGCGCCTTCTACGACTTCCAGCTTCACTTGCTGCGGTGGGGGCGCCCTCACCATGACCGGAGCCGAATCGTCGTCGGTATCGGCGGTCAAGTGGCGGGCGTCTGCATGGCTACCTCGCGCTGGGCTTCCTCGTCTTTGCTGCTGTCGCCGGCCGACAGCTCGTCGCTGTTCACCAGGTCGACTACGTCGGCGGAGCGCATTTTGCACAATGAAGAAAATGAGCACCGCACCACACTAGAAATACACAAAGTTGTGTATGCACACCAGCAGTGAGTGTCAAAAGTTGATACAATCAATAGCCAGACGGCGTCATCAACCGTCTTGTCCCACCTGACCTCATAAAAAGAAGTGTCAAGCGCAGCAGAGCTGCACTGTACGCTTCGTCTCTGTAAAACACACAGAAGTTTGTGTGTGTTTTCAGACCTGTGTCGGTATTCCTTATATTTTCTCATGCCTGTGCACAGTGCGGCGACATCACCACCGCTATCAACGCCTTCTACAGCGGCCTAGATGAGTTTGCGCATGAACAGCGGCGCAAACAGCTTAAGCGAAGGAAGGCTGGCGTTCCGTTCAAGCTAAGTAGTGCCGCCTGACAGATCGCTCATTGCCAGTTGGGTTGAGCGAGCGTGGGCGGAGTTAAGCGAGAAGACAGTCAAGACTGGGTACAAGAAGTCAGGGCTCGCAGTACAGGATGTAGACGTTGTAGCTAGTGAGGTGATCGCGGAGCTTTCTAGTCTGAGCCTGGTAGATCATCGCATTGGGGCTGTGGCCGACGAGCATGATACCATCGTAAGCAGCTCGGTCTGCGACGAGCTTCTCGAGTAAATAACGAACTTTTTTCTGTTTCACAATGCGCGGCAGACATCACTTTTTTACCCATTTATTGAAGCCAAGATGTAGCCAAACATGGTTGTCAGTAAAGAACGGAGGATGCCGGTATTGTCCCGGACACCAAACCTTGGACGGACTTTGAGTAATAATTAGGGCTACTTCCTTGCATAAAACCTATAACGATAGTTACATATAAGGGGTAGAATCGGGCATAGATTCCGATTTTGCGGTCTATTTTAGCGTATCTGAACTCCTTCCCGTTCATTTCGGCTGTTGGAAAATACTTCTATTTCTTGCAATTTTGTTTGCAATTGAAAGCCTGCCACGTAGTTGTCTTACAACTACCCAATTGGCCAAATCAGGATAGCAGCTGGGGATAAGCTCATAATCACGATAAAATACCACCATCGCGTCATTTATCCTACATGTTATAATTTGACAGCTGGTGTTAGAAACCTCGCACAACATATATGCAGTCCATTTTCAACGGGTAGGTCTTCTTCTGTGAAGAAGACCTACCCGAAGACCAGAGGGTCAAGGGGGCGCCGACGCCATGCACCGTCAGGTGCTTAAGGGGGACACAACCACCAGTAAGGACGAGGGCCTTGCTGGGGTTGGCCCGAGTCTTTGTGATGGGTGTACGGAAGGCGTACACCACAGAGTCCCGGGGTCCCTTGCGAGCACTGCCGCTCGCATTGGTGAAGGACAACGGTGGGTTGTCGGTAGTACACGTGAGTGTACGGGGATAATGGTATCCCTAGACATGATTGAGTCTGGGACGTCGCGCGGATGTTCGCACGTCGCCAGATGTGTCGGTTGGAATAACGACACAAGTGCCAAGACTCTGTGAGAGAGTCGAAGCACAAGGGCAGGTCTCATTGACTGAGGCTGGGCCGAAGAAGAACCTTGGGGTCCGCTGTGACCCTGGCTGCCGCGCTCGAGGGCGCTGACAGCAATGGAACCGCACATGGTCCCGGACATGGAACCGTACATGGTCCCGGACATCGTGCCGAAGTCGGCCCTGGGCATGGAACCGTACATGCCCTCGGCTTGAGCAAGTATGACTTGGCCCTGAGTGCGCCGTGCAAGCTGCACAGGCTCTCGGTCGAGTAGCGCGACAACGCCTTGAGGCTAAGTCAGCCCTCTGTGTCTGACAGAGCATTGGTGAGTCATGTTCCCACCTCTGGACAAACACAAGGGCGTCCGATGGGACCGCCAGGGCGCTGGATGCATCCGACAAGACGAAGAAGAAGGAAGGAGGCATCACTGACATGATGATCTCCATGAAGAAGGTGCAGTGTATCTGCAACCGAGGGCTGTTATGCCTGGCATGTGGAGCTGCCTCAACAAGCAATTCCAGTGCTGAGAGTCATTGCTCGGCATGAGCATTGACAAGGGTGGTGTTCGATGACACCACCAGGTGGGTAACCAAGGACCACTAACTAGCGGGTAACTTAGTTCCGCACAGAGCATGTAATGCTGAGGAGGCCGCTCAAGGCACCTCCGGCGTGGGTAACCAAGTACCACGGACGGTCGCCCAGACCTTAACCGAAGAGGAACGCGCTGCACGCGCTTCCTGTGTGGGTAACCAAGTACCACACACAGTCGCCCAGACCATAACTGAAGAGGAAGGCCCTGCAGGCACTTCCTGTGTGGGTAACCCAGTTCCACACCAGGTCAACTCAGACCTAAACTGATGAGGAAGGTGCACGATGCACTTCCTGTGTGGGTAACATGGTTCCACACGCGTCACTCAGACGGTGACTGATTGTGAAGCCGCATGATGCGCTTTCTGTGTGGGTAACGTAGTTCCACACGATGCCGTAAGGCTCCGCATGAGCCGAAAGGAGTCGCTCGAAGCGACTTCAGCGTGGGTAACTTAGTTCCACGCACGGTCAGTGTGACCAAGACTAGTGATCAGGTCACTTGGGTCTCCTCGCGTGTGGTGGATGACCACACGGAGTTTAAGAGGCTCGTGACACCGTCACGATGTCATAGCTGTACGGTCCTCTTGAAGGTGCCGCGCGGCTTTGATTTTAAGCGGGGGAGGAGTACTTACTTCCTCCAAGGGCTTGGCACCCGGTCATCATGGATGACGTTCGACTGGGTGTCGACCAGCGCAGCTGTGGCCATGCGCACAGAAGACGTGGCTTGGGTACACGACGTACCTGCGGCGATGCATGTTGCGTCGCCGCCGACTCGGCGAGCATAGTCGATCACGACTGGAACGTGTCTGCCGGAGGGCGACACCTCAATGACCACATGCAGGAGCATGCTCGGTCTGAAGGCAAAGGCCGCTGCGCGGCAGGGATCGTTGGTACGGTCTGTCGCGCCTAGCACTGTGCGGCGTTGGGACAACAAGTGTCCATGACTCGGTGCCGAGATGGCTGAGTCTGAGTATGCGTGCATGCCATGCAGCTACGCTGAATGCAGGACAAGCCGTACGCTGTCATGGGTGTCATTGCCCGAAGACGTGGGTAACTGAGTAATACGTCAAGTTACGCAGACTCAAAACTGCATCCAGGCTGGTAGATGCCAAGCCCTGGTCGCCGATGTTGACCCAGAGCCAAAGAAGGGTAGCTGCCCGTGCCACCAGAGTCTGCTGGCACAGTGACTCAGTGCTGCAGGGCGGCGCGAAGTTAGGCGGCCGGCTGGCGCCTGACCGCCGGGGCTCAAATCGTAAGTGGGGGAGGGGATCGGAAGTGCCCTTCCTCCCGAGGTCTCTGGCATGAGACTTGCTTCGTCGTAGAAGCCAGTGTAGTGTAGTCACTCGCGAAGTATTGCACGAAGGTGCTGGACCTGATGCATCGCTGCTCAGGTCCCATCGTCATGGTGACCGATAGCCAGCAACCTTGGCAGCGGCTACTGTCGCTGCTGGGCCGAAGATGGCGCGCGCATTCGCTGCTGGAAGGCTGCCTCTGTCAGGCAAAGACATGGCAGCCAGTCTGCGGCTTGGTCCGCGGACGATGGCATGTGTACATACACAACACCATACCCCAGCGTGCTGCTGTTGCAACACTGGACGCGGTACGTCTACCGGCCAGGTAGCCATCAGTCCCGAGCATGGGTGTTGCTCACGAGGGGAGAACCCGAACGTGTTGCCTTTGCAGACATTCACAGTTGGCGCGGCACATGCCGCACCTGTAAGGCGCGAAGCCATACGCGTGCACGTGGCACATACTACCTGTGAAATAGTCGCGGTGCGTGACGCTCACTGTGCGCGTGGCACTTGGTGTACGCGAGGTACCCCTAGTGCACGCGACACTACTTGTACACGTGGCACTTGAGGTGCACGAGGCACTTATGGCTGTCGTGGTACGTGCCATACACGACGTGCCTTTGGTGTATGTGGTGGTGCTCTCGTACACCTTGAGGTCCTGTATGGACTGTGTGCCATGCGGTCTTGCACGCACATCGGCCTGGTGTTGGTCGCCGCGACGCAGGATGCGATCGCCGGTGACGGAGGGCAATACACCCCACCCCACGATGAAGTACCCTTGCGGTACCCTGGTGTCGAAGGAAGACACCTTAGCGTCGGCGACGTGGTGGCCGTGACGCGCTGCAGGGCTTTAGACAAGTCCGCCGCGTTGCTCTGTATGATGAGCGGGTTGCTGGAAGCAGCCATGGTCGCTCAAGCAAACACGACGTTGAAGCATGACGCTTCATGGCTGTGGTCAGCGCTTGACCATAGCCCATGAGTCGAGCCGACGTATTCGGCCGACCGGCACACCGTGCTGTGACGAGCGGGGCCCTGTCATGGCCGGAGATGAGCAGCACAGCTCTCTCCATGGTTACGCTACGCGCTGACCGGAAAGGTGCTGTCCCTCGCGGGAGGCACTGCAGCACGAACGTGCCAGCGGGGCCCGACGGCCATGCGACGCCAACTGCTGGTTGTCTACGAGGGACACCGCAAGTTTGGAGGCACATGCATCCCGTGCCGAGGCACTCCGCGCCTGCTAGCGCTGTGAACACGGCCACTAAACACGTCGGCTTCGCGGCCAACATCGCCGAGGGCAAGGGGGTTCCGCGCGGGGTGCCCGCTGCGGGCACAAGTCACTGTGGGCGTGACGATGAGGCGCGCCCGCCTTGCGGCGGCAGCGCCCGAGAATCCGACCTTTGGGTGTTCGGATTCTCTCGAAGCTGATTGGAGAATCAGATGTGATTCTCAGATAAGTGGGGGAGGATGTAACGGGGTACAATCAAGTGTACCCATTAAATGAAGAGTGACGGGTGTCACTCTCCCGAGTACATGGTACATGGTACATGGTACCAGTAGCTCCGCAAGCCAACCATTTGAGTTTGTGTGGGCTTTTGTATAGTTAACTTGTAGTTTGTATTACGACCAAGTTAACCTCTACCAAAATACAGTCAGCCTTATAACCTACTCCTTTGTAGCAAACCGTTCCCTTTGAGGCCGGGAACTGGTGAACTGCTGTTCACCTGTATAGTAATATCCACACGCACTTCCTCTGTGCATTGTGCTGGGTGACCCCGTCACATTGCCAATTAAGGGCCGATTCGTTTGACTTGGGTTTCACTATAGAACTGACATCTGTCATTCGTATGGTATACTATAAGCGACCAATCAGATTCCATCTGATGAGGTGTATCGAGCATTTACTGATCAAAAGAATCGGCCCTTAATTGGCAATCGGCCCGAGATTGGGCTCACTGCCAAAACGAGCCCATTTTTCAGAACGGTGTAGTTGGATGGCCTGTCACGTGACGAAGGGCCACGAACAGGCAGCGCCAGACGATCGCGCGCTGGTGATCGACTTGACAGACGAGTAGTGTGGTGGACATCGGCCAGATCGGGTCGTGGTGTACGGCAGGAGGCGTGTGATGAAGAGGGCAAGCCAGTGGACTAGTGCCACCGGCTGAAGGCGGTCGTTTAGCAAGCAGTGGAAGTTGGTGATGGCGACGACAGAAGATCGCAGTGTGTGGGCGACATGCCGGGACAAGAGCGAAGAAGTATACGAGCGAGGAGAGGCGAGATCAAGGACAGGAACGTGAGGCTGTGAGGCCACGAGCATGGAGAAGGAGTCGAAGAGGGAGAGGTCCAGTAAGTAGGCAGGCGCCCGTGCGTAGGAGTAGATACAGCGGGGATAGGATTGAGTAGGAGGATACTGAGCGGCGGTCGGCCGACTCGACCCTCAGTTGCGGTTTTTCATAGGATTGTGGAGAGTCAAGACTAATATACACGAGTTGCGCCGAACGCACGGGATTCCGGTCTTTGGAGCAGCGACGAAGAGCGTCGGCCAAAGCGACGGCAATAGCGAAGGTACGGCAGTGGTAGGCCAGTGCACAGATGAGGGCAGTGTTCGAGTAGGGCGGCAGGACTGTGGAGAGAGACCACGGGGGCTGTGGTGTTGGAGCAGCCGCTGGTACCCCTCCCAGACACTCTCACACCTCCAAGCGTTGGTATATTGACTGTTTGCTTGTATGTAGTGCTTCCACACAACCCCATAGATATGCATTCCGTATTCTGATGAGGAGTAGCTGCGAAATGGCCGACCCAAAATCCGAATCCGAAGCAAATCCTTTTTGCAATAGGTCTGTTTGCGAAAGCTCTCTATTAATAATAGTTCGGACCAGTGCGGCGTATCATTGGTTGAAAATCTATTGCACACAGGCACCTTCATGTCCGCTTAAGTACGCAAGAAATTCTCCCTCCCTTCTGCGGGCTCGAGGAAAGATGGTGAAGCTCTACTGTGCGGTCGTAGGTGTGGCAGGCAGCGCGTTCTCGGTGCGAGTAGATGAGAGCGACACGGTGGACGACTTGAAGGACGCGATCAAGGCGAAGAAGCCGAACGACTTCAAGGACATCGACGCAGACAAGCTGGAGCTCTACGTGGCGAAGAGGGATGGTGTGTGGCTGACGGAGGCAGACGTGAAGAGCGGCGTAGCGGACATCACGGGCCTCGTGCGGTTGGAAGTGGTGCGGGCGAAGCTATTTAGTGTGGGGCTGTCGGATGAAGTTGTCAGCGAAGTGGATGCCCAAGAAGAAGCAGCAGGGAGAGGCCCGGTGAACGTGCTGGTGGTGGTTCCGATGAAAAAGCGCAGAGTGGATGCGGGAGTGGACGAGGAGAGGAGATTTTTCGACACGAGAGACTTCCCTCCGCTGCTGGCGCCGCCACAGCGTGGCGCGACTGTGGAATCACCAGAGGCGCAGTGGGAGAAGTTGTTGAATTCGCTGGAGTGGAAGGAGCCAAAGCGACTTTGCGCAAGTTCTGGACAGAATTGGCCATATCAAGGGGAATCAGAGCTTGCGGGTCATCTTGTGGAGCCGCTTGCACTGCATTATACTGCCTGGTATCTCCAGAACGAGGACAAGCAGAATCACGCCATCAACCTAGTGCTGAGTGGACCAGGCACGGGAAAGTCGCGCATGCTGGATCAAATGAAGGGCTTGATGTGTGCAGCTGCTGCCCGCTCGAACAACCGAAAGCTCAAAGAGAGAATGGAGAACGCATTTGTGTTTAGTGTGACGTTCGAAAACGGCACTTCGGCGACTGGATCATTACTTGATCGTGACAATCCTGAGTTCGACATCAGCTACCGAATGCTCTACCAACTCTCGAAAGACAAAAAAGCGTGGCCGGTGTTTGTTGACAAGCTGCGCATGATGTGCTCATCACTTCCTTTGCGTATTCAGATCGTGATTGACATTTTGGCCAAACTGAAAGGGATTGACGATGTGAAGAAAATGACGGTGATTTTGTGTGTCGATGGCCTCCAGAAGCTGGTCAATGATGGTACCAAAAGCTGCGACTTCTACCGCGTGTTGGCTTCAGTCTGCAGCTTCTTGAATTCGTCCAGAGCGTTTGCTGTTTGTGTTTGTTCGGCAACCGTTCAAAGTCCCGTCGATAAGGCACTTTCGGACTCTCCTCAGAAGCGCGTGTTTCTAGTCCCACCTCCATTACGTGGCCACGAAGTCCTGCCAACGAAGACAAGGATCGAGAAGCAGTTGGTAGACGACATGGGTGGGCATGGACGAGCTCTGGAAACACTACAACTCTTTCTGAGCCACTACACGAAAGACCAATTGGAGGAAATGGACCCAACATGGATGTTTGAGAAAGTGTGCGATGCGTTGCGACTCCAATATGGTGATATCTTTGCGTCTCCGTTTTTCCAAGATCCGTACAATTGCCGAGAAGTGCTCGCCGCAATCCTCTCTCGTCGTCGTTATAAGCTGTTTGATCGTATTGGGCGCACGGACATGACCGTAGATTGTCTTCGAAGCTTCGGATTGTTCCGATGGGGCGCGGAAGGCCATTTGGAATGCGCTTTCATTCTTCTTGTGCTGCTGATGCAGAAACTCCCGAAGAAGCTCGGTGAAGTAGATAATTTCGACGACCATCTCACGCGTACGGTTTTGGTATGGCAGCGATTTGAACAATTCGTGGCGTTTTACCGTCGAGTGAAATCGATCGCCTACTGCGAGACTCCGGTCGCACTGTCCAGTTTCCACGCTGGCGCTCGTTTTGGTGCTATCCAAGACATTATTATAACAGAGCCGACTTCACGCACTGTCGTGGAAGCACTGCGCCAAGAAGATACAAAATCCAGTTCCGATGATTCGACGTGCTTCACAAATCGTGATGGCGGCGTGAAGATTTCAGATATGGATACGATCGTCATCAACGGTGCTAGTGCTTCAGCTGGCGACTTATTTATGCGAGTTCAATTGAAGGTCGGTCGTCAAAACGTCCAATGCAACGAAGTGATTCAATGCAAGCTGCTTCAAACCAAGCAGAAGATACACGAAGACGCGTATGCCAAAGAACGAGCTAAAGCGGCAAACGAAAGCTCGGATGTGTTTTTGCTCGTTACGCCAGCACAAGCGACAGAGTTTGATCTTCCTCCACGATGTGGACTTGTTTCAGCAAACGAGTTTGGCCGATATTTTGGACCGTTTACAAGTCGCGCGTATCGGAGTTTTCTGGAGCCACCAAATATCAACACAGCTTCATTCCATGAGTTACGTCGACTCGAGGGCGTGGGTGACGCAACTGCCGCGAAGATTATCGCTGAGAGAACGATACGCCGATTCTCGAATCTCGAAGATGCATTGAATCGACTGGTTCCAAGCAAGAAAGGCAAGACCGCCATGATTCTGAGCCGCATGCATTACGATGACGATGAGGCTGATCTGTAACTCGATTTACATTGGCTGTTGTGCAAATGCTCGTCTAGCATGGCACTTTTCTTAGCGCAGCGCAGTCCCCCCCCAAATTAATCGAAGCGTCGCTTATTGCAATCGCGATCGACTTGTCTGTATTTCGCCGTCATGGTTATATCCCGAGTGTTGAGCATTTTCACATGGCGTATGCTGCTTCGAGTACCAATGCGGGAGTAATTTGGGTACTGTACAGTAGAAGCCACAGCAATGAATTGCAACTGGCTGCGGTGCAAACAGTGTGTGGCACCTCTGGGTACGGCTTTTTGCATGGAGGGCTCTTTCGAGAGGAAACATTGCTGCCACTGTATTCCGGTGTTTGTTGCAAGTACTCCACCACCTCCTCGCGTACGTCCGCCATTGCCAAGATACCCAAATGATGCACCTCGTTCCTACTGCTACCCAAGTCGTCCGACAGCTATCTGGATCCTCGTATTTGCTCCAGATTTTATCGGACCCCGATCAGGAAAACGAGCTCAAGCACATGATGGAGTTGTTCGCACCATACTTGCAAACTGCTGGTCAATAGAAACGAACATGATATTGGCTCGAAGCAACATGCATCTTTCCCGCTACAGTACACTATCCGACACTGACGACTGCTTAGCGGCGACGGCGCTCCTCGTACTCTGCCTGGATCTCCTCGTTGGTCTTTCCCGCCGTCTCCGGCACGAGCATGAGCGACAGGAAGTAGAAGATGATGAGCAGCACCGTGAAGGGCGTGTAGCTCCAGTCGTCGAAGGCGTCGGCCAGGTACGGGTAGCCCACGCCGACGATGAGGTTGCACAGCCAGTTGGCGCCGATGCAGATGGACGAGGCTCTGGCGCGCACCGAGTCCGGGAACATGTCGGCCGTCATGACCCAGACGAGCGGCCCGAGCGTGACGCCGAAGACGATGACGTAGAGCGCCGTGAAGACGATGGAGAGCGCCGACACGTCCACGAGGAAGGCGACGGTCATGCCGATGGACATGACGACCATGCCGGCGATGCCCCAGAGGATCATGTTGCGGTTGCCGAAGCGCGTGGCCAGCACGCCCGTGAAGAAGGCCGGCCAGATGTTGATGAAGTCGATGATGAGCGTGCCGACGCGCGAGTCCGAGATGCCGGCGTCCGAGAAGATGTTGCCTGAGTAGTAGAAGACGGCGTTGATGCCCGAGAGCTGCTGCGTGCAGGACAGCAGGAGCGCGCCGAGGAACTGCAGGCGGTACTTGGGCGACCAGATCGACTCGGCCGGCTGCGAGCTGGCGGCGTATCCGGCCTCGGCCTCGCTCGGCTGCTTGTTGGCCTCGAGCCAGCCCAGCGCGGTCTGCACGTGCTCCTCGCCGTACAGACGCGTGATGACCTGCCTGGCCTCCTCGCGGCGGTTCTTCATGAGCAGCCACGCGGGGCTCTCGACGGCCAGCGAGGGCGAAAGCAACATGTAGATGGCGGCCAGCACGATGGGGAAGCCGGCCATGTAGCGCCATCCATCGCCGCTGTCGGCGAAGAAGAAGCAGATGGCCGGCACCAAGATGCCGATGGTGGTGGAGATCTGCAGGCCCAGGCCGAGGTGGCTGCGCAGGTGCGGCGGCGACAGCTCGTTCACGTACGCGCCGATGGTGCCGGTGGCGGCGCCCGAGGCGATGCCGGAGACCATGCGGTCGACGGCGAAGGGCCAGATGTTGGAGACGACGGCCTGGATGACGGCGCCGCCGACCACATGAAGAAGCAGTTGAAGAAGAGCAGCTTCTTGCGGCCCATGATGTCGCTGAAGTAGCCGCAGAGCAGACTGCCGCACATGGCGCCGAAGATCCACGCGTTCACGGCGAAGGTCCACTCGAGCTTGGAGTGGCCGCTGAAGAGCGTGCATGTGCCCGGGACGACGGGCCGCGCGTTGCACTCGTCCGTGTTGTTGTAGTCGGACAGGTTGAGCTGCGAGGTGGACCATCCGCTCTGGAAGGGCTGCAGCAGCGCCAGCAGCACGCTCGTGTAGAGGATGCGGTTGGGCTTGATCTGGAGCGCGGCGGCCTTGTTGGCATCGTCGAAGGCGACGTCGGCCTTGGGCGTGGAGACCTCGTTGTAGACGTCGTCAGGGTGCGGCGGCATGTCTAGCGAGTTAGTGAGTTGGTGCGTAGTGGACACTTGGCTTGTGCGTTGCGCGTCCAAATGAAAAATGAGCAAAGTGCTGGTCAATGAAATGATAATTCTAACAACAACTAATAGAGCGACCGTCAAGTGTGTGCGTAATTCCGTCTGAAGCCCCATGGCGACAAAATTAGGGTGGTCCACATAACATAAATACACAGTCTTGGACGCCGAAGGCGGCCCCAAGCTGCCGAGCGCAGCGATGGCGGCACCCGCGTGCGTTCTAGCGGGCCGCAGGGCCCGCCCTACAACTATGTACTAATAACACGGCGAGTAGTGCAGCGAGCCGACGAGGCGTGCGGAACGGGGGCGATTACGTCACCCTGGCGCGACGCTTGGCCTTATACTTTTTGGAACACCAGCTATTAATTAAAATGGGCCCGCCGAGTAGTAGCAGCTATCGCTGGGGTCGGGCACCCTACTACTTAGTATAATAGCGCTGTAGCGAGGTTTGCTTCATATAAACACATGCTACGATAATTGGTATGGTAGTGAGCGATAGTAGCGCATAAGTTAGCGATAGCGGCGGAGAGTAGGCGATAGAAGCGCATAGTAATCGACATCAGTGCGCGTACATATAGTGGAGGGCGTTCACTGACTCGCATAGCATATTTTACTGTAATTATTTAGGAATGCACATACTTAAGTATTATAGCTACAGCGGCGCTCTGTGTTCATCTTGGGCGAATATTTAGCTACACTTGCTTGAACGTGTTTCGTATCTTTTATTAAGGCACAGTATGTAGCGGTAGGTTAATGCGTTATTGGGATAGTAGATATTCTGACATTCATTGAGCTGGGGCTTTTTATAAGAGTTCACGTAGAAATTCCTTCTCTACCATGTTTATTGGACCGATATACATGCAGGAAACGGAATTAGCATAGCGCAAACGCATAGTTACGGGGTAAGAACTTCTTACTTTCAATCCCTTAGCTACTGTAGCGATAGGTAAACCTACCATGCTACTTACTGTAGTACAATATCAATGTTGGATCAATACAAACACATAGTAAGCTACAGAAGCGTGCGAGAAGAAAAACTTTATAGCTAAGCTAGAGGAGGATCCTAAATTTGCAGCTAGACGGAATGCGGACATTGCTGGGATTAAAAAGAAGGAGAACCGTAAGCGAAAGCGCCGTAAACAATAAAGGCTTGCAACACTTTGCTGTACCGAATAAAAACTTCAACTACAGCGTTTTCGATACGTTATCAGACTTCCGCATGGGAATCGTTATGGATTATTGTGAACGGTAAGAACTCTTTCTACGTTGGATTTCTTGTTTATAGCTGTCAGTGAAGACGGCTCGCTCCATATCGTTATCAATACTTGTAGAGCAAACTGTCACGAGTTGTACACCTCAACTTAATGCCGAACCCAAGTAATATTGATAGCTGGGAAGCAAATTATCTACCATTTTTGTTTAGAATCGATAGTTAGTAGGTGAGAGGTTTTTAGTTGCGGTGGCTTTCCAACTGATATCGACGCAAACCTTACTATCATGACGCATAACTGTGAGCATGCTGAGTGTGTTCCAGTAACGTCATGCACGATACTGGCAATATTGTACGCGCGGGAGCAAATTAAATTGAGGGAAAAGTATCGGATTTGATGAAAGTTCATGTCCATCTACGCTTTTCATTCAGAATGTCCCTCTTGTTGTGCTCATATGCTTAAAACTGCCATACCTTACTATCATATAATGTAATGACGTGCACGTAAAAAGGCATTATTTGGCGCGCGGGAGCAAGTTATAGTGTGGAAAGTATCAGATTTGATGTAAGTGTATGTAAACCCTTCACATATAAACCAGAATTTCCCTCATTGTAGTGCTTAGCTGTCTATAATGGGGAGCAGTCATGAGTACAAGTTTATCATCGTGCTAGCTCAGAAGGTTATGAATTACTAGGTTGCGTGGCAACTTTCGTGAAACCCACAAAATTATGAGGAAGGGGTAAACAAAACACAGCTCTGAATTGCTCTAACAGGCGAATGACAGTTTCATACTCCTAGATATTGTGTTGAGCAGTGGTATACGTGGTAGTTTCCTGGTCTAATGTAATTTGGAGGTTGCAGTATGCCGAAAAGCGTTGAGTATTCTAAACATGTAAATCGAAACGTGTATTTAAACCTCGATTTATCTCAACAGGTACTGAATGTCTAGACATGCGATGCAAGAGGGGTCCGGCATTTGTTCTTGGGCTGGCGGATACACCAGTGGCAGGACAGAAGTTGCCCAATTCGGTGAAATGTCACCGGGCTGTGAGAATGGGGTGGGGCTTGGCGAGGCTAACAGCGAAATGTCGAATCCTGTGTAGTGTGGAGGCATTCCTGTCACAGTAATATCTGCACTGAGTAGTTGGCTCCAGCTGGCGTCAAATTGACTGTAGCCACCGCAAATACTTGCGTCCGTTGACGCCGAGAGATCCACATCATAGAGGTCGACCGTATCGTCGTGCAGAAAATTCTGTACGGCAGAGCTGACAAGTTCAAATTGCTCCGACGGACCGGTGTATGAATCGAGCACAAATTCTGCATTGGGAGCCGCCTGTTCGAACGAAGTCGAAGGCGCGCTGTGCACCCTCAAAGGAACCTTGGTTTTGGGGCCACGTTGGCCGCTACGGCGAATGCGTTGATTCTTGAATTTTTGGTGCTGCCCGTCGACACCAGGAACACTTAGACCAAACGCAACTCGACCGCATGGGCGCACGATAAAATTTTTGTGAAGTAGGGGCACATACACTCGAAGGTGTTCATGCGTACTACCCACCCACCTGGTGGCATACCTATGTGGTGAGACTGTCGGACTGGCCACTTCACGGCAGAGCGGTAAAACGTAGCTGCAGACCTTTTCTCATCAACCATCAAGCAACCTTCAGAGACAATAACCCCATTTGGATGCGTTGCGGCCGTCTGTGAATCTCCAATACCGGAAACTTCTTCATTATCTCCAATTCCATCGCCTAGATACAGCACTCGTACGACCGACTGCTCATCCGTATTGAACACAGCAATACGCTGCGATGCGACTAGGACGTTCGCAAGCTTGTAAGCCTCTTACGGCGGGATGGGCGCGCGGAAGTGGTACCATGTTGAACACAAATTGAAGTGTATTCCGCAATAGTCAGGAGCTTAAGAATTAAACGACGAGTACCCATAGCCTTGCGGAGCGTGAAACGCTTGATACTAGCGTTAAAAACTTCACATGGGTTGTTCGTTGTTGCGAATCCACCAGGAGAATGATAGATCTGCCATCGCCAAAATCTGCTGCTGAGAATCGAAATACTCACAAAAACTCCACAGTCGATTGTCACCTTTTTCACTCGCTAGACACTCGAGCCCACACCGTCATTAACTGGCCTTGAGTAGTTGCGTAGTGTATATCAAGAATGCCACTGTAAACCGCTCCACGAACGGTATCAGGTAGATGCCGGATGCGCTTACGCACGTTGTAAAGCACGTGAAAAAAAACATCAAGTAGGTGGCGTTCTCACACCCCGTAATAGGTTGTAGCGCATTGAGCTGGGCGGCCTCCGCGTCTCCCATCACCGTGTCAATTCTGAGTCTCGTTTTCATCTGCTTCTGAAAAATCTTGGAGAAAGTTGCAATCGCCTCGTAGTACTCGCTCTGTGTTCTTTGACTTACGATGAATAGAGCGGCGAGTCGGTAAATGCGATGCTTATCAGTGAAGCCACAGGTAATAACAGGGTAACCAAGGTCGCTCAGCTTGAAGGTAGCGTCCAAATGGAAAATCAGAAACGGTTCTTGAAGTTGAAGCGCCTTTGCAGCGGGGCTGCCGTAGCTTTGCGTCAGAGGAAGCTTAACAGACTTACAGAGTCTCAGCTTAAGATAGCTCGTTCTAATACCAGAACGTACGAGTCCGTACACCTTACGGACTCCAAGAGTCAACCCTTAACTCTTAACCGTGAATCTCAAACTGCATGTATTTCCCTCTATCGCGGCCAAACCGCCTACGGTGTAAATGTATCCGGTTCACTACCTAGCATAGTGAACCCTAGTCATATGCATAATCAGTGGCTCTGAAGCCGTGTACTGATTCTCCTACTGATTTAGGTTAGCCAGTGTGTACCCACTTCATAACCCTTCGGGTAACTCTCGTGTAACCCCGTTACACCCTCCCCCACCAAACCGTGGACACGGGTGTTCACGCTTAACGGTCAACCTCCGGGTCTTGTTCCGTCAAGCCTCCTTCTCGAACGAGTCAATCCACATCGCGTGGACTTCTCTGAGAACTTCTCGGCGCAACGCGCCCCCACATGACTTCAAGTCATAAAGACTTTTGGTCTTTCGACCGCAGACAGCCTCTCGCAAGATCCGCCTCGGAGCCTCGCTCCTCTCGTGCTGCTGCACTGCGTGCCTCCGTGCCTCCGCGAACGCCAGCGCCCGCGCGCACACCCTCGACGCCTTCCAGGCTCTCGGTGTCCGTGTACTTCGCGGCGCAACGCCTGAAGCGTAGCTCGCAGCGCGCAAGTCCCAGCTCTCCTCGAGCACCAACCCGCCAGATCATGGATCCTAGGGAACTCTCTGGTGAAGAGGGCGAGGTGGACGAGTCCATGGAGGGTTCTCCGAACCGAGGAGACGCGTCTCCACTCACGCGACGCTCCCCGAGCCGCGGCGACGCTTCACCCACACCGTCGACAAGTCGTGAAGAAGGCTCGCCGGCCCCAGTTGGCTCTCCGAGCCGTCGCGATCAAGAGCCCCCGCGCACACGTTTCCAGTGCGCTCGTCGAGCCGACCGCCTGCAGAGCGCGCTGCGCCGTCGAGGGAGGAGCCGCGACCACCGCTGCGAACTCCGAACCCGTTCCCTGAACGCTCTTCCGGCCTCTACGAGCTGCGCGCGCTCACTGAGTCACGGTATTCGCCACCTCGTGGTGAGGGCGTTCACCTGGGCCCCGTCATCTCCAACCCTTTGGACGAAGCTCAGTCCAAGCCGGTTGCGGCGCAGATGGCTCCCACGTGCTCCCAGCGTCCTGAGCGGCGGCCTCTGCTGAACCCCAGCACTGCCGACTACGGCTTCCGGCCTCGCTACCCCGCGGAGGCTTGTCGCCAGGCGTTCCAGCAGTCTCTCGCGCTGCACACCATTGGGACCGCGGCCCGTACTCCGGAGGAGCTCTCACTGCGTACATCTATGCGAGAACGGCTCCTCACTCCACAATCTACGACTGTCGCGGAGTCGCCAGGCGTTCCAGCAGTCTCTCGCGCTGCACACCATTGGGCCCGTGGCCCGTACTCCGGAGGAGCTCTCACTGCGTACATCTATGCGAGAACGGCTCCTCACTCCACAATCTACGACTGTCGCGGAGTCGCCAGGCGTTCCAGCAGTCTCTCGCGCTGCACACCATTGGGCCCGTGGCCTGTACTCCGGAGGAGCTCTCACTGCGTACATCTCTGCGAGAACGGCTCCTCACTCCACAATCTACGACTGTCGCGGAGTATCGCGAGAGGCTGCGGCTGCAAGCCCAGCAGAAGTCCGTGCCCGCCATGCGGACGTACCCGGTGGTACTTAGCCCGGGGGAAGACTCAATTGAGTACGAAGCTCAGTTCGAGTCTTGGGCCGAGCATAGCCGAAAGCTCAGCTCCATGGACGCTCTCCGAGCCAGCTTCAGTGAAGTGGATGTTCGCATTGAACGCGAGCTCCGCTTCGATTTCGCGAAGGTCCGAGCCAAGCGCAGCCTCTCGGCACTCACCCAGCCGCAGACCCAGTTTAGCGCTGCGCGCTTCGCTCCTTCGAGCACTCCAGCCGCTCCTTCCCGCGAGGGAGTGAGCGCTGTGGCTCAGGGTCAGCCTCGGAGCAATGTGGCTGACCCAGCAGCTCCCCAGCTTATTGCCGGGAAGCGCGGGACGGCCGGCGTGCCGCCTTGAGCCCTCAGGGCGCTGGTGATGAAGCTGATCAAAAGTGTCCACGACGTCTGGGCAGTCTTGGCGGAGGGGCACCTCAAACTCCCATGAGTTCTCGGAGTGAGGGTACCCTCGCCATTTCACCAGATACTGGTTTTGACCCCGGCACCGCCGCTTCGCGAGGAGGCGCTCCACATGGTAATGTAGATTCCCATGCTCATCGAGCAGGGCCGGTGGAGGCCGCTGTGGGGTCCTTCGCGACTCAAAGTGAGCTCTTGGAGGTGCGGCAGCAGGCGGGCCCCCTTCGGGATCATATCCATGACGTCGATGCACGTCTGGTCCGGACTGCCACCGAACTCGACGAGCTCGCCGAGCGGACGCGATGGATCGAGGTGCCTCGAGCGGTCTGGAACCGCCTTGGGGCCCTGGAGGACTGGGTACGATACTATCGCGATCGCGATGAGCAACGTGGCCGGGCGCTCGGGGAGCTACAGCGTCAGCAGGCTGTGCTTCAGGGTCAGCTCGACCTCCTGGCCCGCATGCAGGCTCCGACTGCCGCGACTCCTGGCCTGCGGCTCTCGCTGTGCCCGCGGCACCTCCGGCGCCGATTCTTCCGCCTGTACCTGCGGTGCCCGTGTGGATGGTCTCGTCCTCGACGACCGCGACCTCCGCGCCTGTGACCTCGTCACTCTCGGTGCCTCCTTCTGCACCTGCATCGGGTCCTGGTACGGCTTGAGCAAGCCCACGTAGAAGACGGGGTGCGTCCGCATCTTCTTCGGAAGATTGAGCGTGTACGCAAGGCACTTCTTGGCCACAACCTTGAAAGGTCCGATGAAGCGCGGGCGCAACTTCGTCTTGAAGACGGCAGACACTGCATGTGTAGGTAGGTTCTTAGCATTAAGCAACACCAGGTCCCCAACCTCATAACTTTCAACATTGCCTCTGCTCCTGGCATCTGCATGTTCCTTTTGCTTGTCTTGGCTCTCAGCCATTGCATCACGCACATGTCGTAAGACACTCAGACGCGTCGACAAGAAAGCGTCAACCTGTTTACGAACAGTAGCCGGGCTGACATCGGCTAGCCGATCAGCTAAGTCGGCTTCTCCTCCCCCACCAAGCCCGAGGTCACCACGTGGCGGCGTCAGCGGGACGCGGGGATGAGACAAGCTGTTCACGTAGAACGGCGTGTAGCCTGTCGAGGCGTGCACGGCGTTGTTCAACGCAAACTCAACGAGTGGCAGCATGGCGCTCCAGCGCTTCGGCGTCTCAGCGCAAATGCTGCGGAGCACGTCCTCGACGACGCGATTTACGCGCTCGGCCTGACCATCGGTCTGCGGATGGTCCGCCGTGGACATGTCCAGCTTGGTGCCAAGCACCGCAAAGACCGCGCTCCAGAAGTTGCCCATGAAGCGGAGGTCTCGGTCCGAGACAATCGACTCAGGGAGTCCGTGTTGTCGAAACACTCGGTCCAAGAACAGCGTTGCTGTACCTTTACCATCGATGGTATCCGGCACAGCCGCAATGTGAGTAGTCGGTCCACGAAGACCACGACTCCAGTGTTGCCCGCCGCGTCCGCCGGCAGGCCAAACACAAAGTCCATACTCATGGATTGCCAGCAGCCCGAAGGGACAGGTAAACTCGCCAACGGCGCTGCAGCATGAGGTGACGACTTCACTCGCTGACACGTCTCACACGTGCGCACGTAAGTGTTCGTCCACTTGTACAGCTCCGGCCACCAATAGTGGGTGCTCACCGAGCTGTAGGTCTTCTCACGGCCAAGATGACCGGCCAGCGGCGTGTCGTGTGCCTCGTAGAGGATGCGGTACTTCAGATCCGCATCATGAGGGATGACCACGCGGGGCGTATCCTCGGGGCCAGTGTTGTAGAACAACAGGCCTCCATCGAGGGAATAACGGTGTAGCCGCGCGCGCAGCCGCGCTGACAATTTCATGTCCGAGTCTTGACACTCCTTGCTCCCCAGAGCCTTCAGCAGCGCGACACAGGTGTCGTCCTTGGCATAAGCCGTTCGGATCAGATCCGGTAATGACGAAGTCACGGTCGTTATATAAGCCAGCTCATAATCCGGCCTGCGCGACAGCGCGTCCCGTAAATACGTAATCTGCCCGATCTTTGTTAGCTGAATGATATCCATGTTGAAGTGGCATAAGTCACTGACGCGTCCTCAAAGCAGGGACCTCGTCACGAGCATCGACGGGTTGGAACGAGATCAGCTCACCGAAGGCTGCAAACTCTGCATCGCTTTTCCTTGTGCACATGGCCCATGTCATGGGCTCCGCGCTGGAGCATTGGATCAGCTCGCACTCGCCTTCCTGTCACATCGGGCCGATCTATGTGAAATAAATCAAATGGCCGAGTCCGCTTCACTCGACTGCTCTGCTCCAGCATCTTGGCGTAATCGTTCGTGCGACTGCGAGTCACAACTTTGGAGCTCCACCAGCAGATCCTAGCAGAAAGGGGTTGTATCGATAGGACAGCTCCAACTGCAACATCGACGTCTCCTCGACAAGCACCACAACGCTAAAGTGCACGTTCCTTGCCGCCACCAGACTAGCGCAACGTTACCAAGCAGCAACAACTTCATTCAAGGTCTCATTTCCAATTCGGACGCACAACATACAAACCAGTTTCGCCCAGTACTTCTCGGTTCCACATGAAAATGCAGTCGATCGCCAGAAAATATTAAGTGTGGTCCACACTTACAATTCGATTGGCCAAAATAATATCTGCTACATCGGAGCTCACCGATCTCTAAATTGCTGACATGGGTCGCCTGCTCGGAGCAAGCGACCTCCCACCCGAGACAAAAGTCGCCGTTGCGCTCTTTCTCGTCGACCTGGCCGCCCGTGGTACTGGTGCGTCAGCAGCGGTTGCGGCCGCTGTTGATAGGTAAGTACCCTATCAAGCCTCGGACGGCGTGACTGTTGAGGAAGGACCGCATGTTTTGTGCGCACTGAATTAGTTCTGTAGTCATTTAATAAAATTTGGGTACAAAGTTGAAGCAGACGGTGGCCGAGTCCGCGACGGGGGCCAAGATCCTGGCTAAGACGCACGAGCTGGCGGACAAGATCGCGGCGGGCGCGACCATCGTCGACAGCGCCATGAGAGATGAGGAGAGCATCTTGCAGGAGCAGCTCGCCAAGCAGCAGCACGAGGAGGCTGAGGAGGCCGAGCGAGAGCAGACCCGACTCAGGCAAGAAGAAGAAGAAGCAGACCGACCCGAGCGCGCCGCAGCCGAGCGCGTGGATCGAGCAATGGGACGAGGCGCTGGCAAGCTCTCCTATGTCAACAAGCAGACGGACATGTCCTCCTGGGAGAAACCCCGACGAATTCTAGCAATGAAGTATTACTAGACCGCCTAGACCCCTGAATCGTCTCACGGTGAGCCTCACCGGGTCAACAAGAATGCCACCGAGGGTTATGTGTATGCTTGCTTACGCGTAGCTGCGGGTGTGCAGCGCTTTCATGGGGGCCGTCAGCCGTGGTCTGGGGCAACTCCAGTTCGCAAACAGGTAAATCGATCGAGCCCTTCACCTGGCGCGCTCCCGGCGGGAGCCCCGCGCTCCACTTGTTCACATCGTCCAGTTCAAGTTCACCATCCCGATCTTTCTCGTCGCCAAACTACCGGTAGCGTTTATATAGAGGCTCCTTCTCGCGCTGCAACCACAAGTACACGGCTTTAGACGTACCAAGGCAGTGCCGTATATGTTCTGACACCTTGACCAACCCAGGCGAATACATGGTCATCAAGGTCAAGAGTAAGGTGCTGGTCTCTTGGGAAAATGACAGAAGTCGGAGAAAAGGTATCTGGTCAATATAGGACCCCGGCTATGGCAAGTTTAACACGGTATACCGTATTAATACCTCTCTTGTTAAGGCAAATATGCATTCTTCATGTTAACACGCGGTATCCCAGCCTACCCGCACCCCCCAGATGACAAGCCCTATGATCGAGAGCTCAATTGAGCTGAAATTTGGCACATAGTGTGCTGACAGCATAAAAAGATGTACTGTGAAGTTCCGCCTTCGTAGCGCAAGTAGAAGGTATGAATGGGCAAGGGACTACGAAATCTGCCGAAATGTGTAAATGAAATGTGCCTTTTCTGTCCATTATGGCTACATTATAGTTTGTTTTATGCCCACAATGGACGAGTTATGGTCAAAATGTCATACATTGATTGCGATACCCGTCGACGAAGGGCCTCATTGACGAGACACATATCAGGTCTCGCCTCTTTGATCCATCGTATCTCCTCCATTTTCAGTGCTGCGAGTCTACAAAGGCTGCATCTACCATTTCTTGATCGGGTCTTTCCTTTGAACTCTAAGCGAGACCAATTTAGGTTGATTTAAAAATGTTGGAAATTTACACTTGCCATCCAAAAAGTGCGAAAAGGTGCGGGTTGTTACAGAGACAGGGTGTTAAAGTGTAGCTCCGTAACTTCAAAAGCTGGAAAATGATCTACTCAGGGCTGAGCTGTCTGATTCAAGAGGAGGGAATTGTAAACCTCGTTGGCTTGCGGTTGGCCCATGTGCTCTTGGCAAAGTTCGTTATTCTCTGGATTTTATATCCAGAGTTCCTCCGAGGATGGCACTCGAACCCAAACTAACTTTTATTTCGTATACTTCCGAGGAGCCCAAACTTAACTCACGCAGAATTGTCGTTACTTCGTACCCAAAATAATCTCAGAACTTGATCAACCTGTTATATCATGAGAACATTCCGATAACGCGTCCTGTTGGGTGGTATTCCTTCTTTAAACTTATTCAAGGGTTCCATGTATGGTAATGATAGCGCTGATTACATACTTATCTCATGCGACTGTAATATCAGATAACCGGTGTACAACGAAATAACCCTGGTGAATATTGCCTGTGGTCTTGACATTCACGCAAATACCCAGAAATGTCGTTTGAATGTACGTGGGTAAAGCTGTGTTAATTTCACATGTTTAAAAATTCTAATGGGATATAAGGTAGTTTTACCCTCCTTAGCTGATTTCCACTATAATACTGTAGAAATACCAGCCAGTCCAGCAACCAGCTTTGCAACCGTCATCTCATTGGTTGAAAATTGATTTGCAGGTAATGTGTAACATTGCCGTCACTTTGAAGCACTTAGAGGTAGCTGTATGAGCAGCGCAGCTGTGAAATGAGCTGGATAACACTTTTAGGAGTAGTACTGACGGCGAGCACCTCTTTGCAATGCACTATAGCAACTCACGGGAATGTAATACTGACTGCGATAATGACCAGGCCCTTGAACTCCTTCAACTCCTTCAACTCCCGTCGACAGAGCTACAACAGCTCACGCGGCACGCTGCTGCTGCTGGCCCCCTTCATGCCGATCCTGTGAGTCTGCGCCTACGGTAGCAAGTATTAGTCTGTTTTGCTACTCAACTCCTATACAAACTGCAAGTCACGGTAGCAAAACGGCGCCGTGTGGCAGATACCATACAAAACTCAAGTTAATTCGTTTATGCAGGGTTGCAAAGCGTTTATCACCCGTGGTAAGCCGTGTCGCCGCATACGGCGGCCTAGAGCTTTCCATGACCGGTCGAACGAGCCCATACTGTCGTGCCTGCACACGCCGGTGCTGAAGGCCTGTTGTGGTGGCGAAACTACCGGTAGAGCTTTCTCCGCTCCCTCCTGGTGCTGCTGCACAACCCGTACTACTTCATGCAGGCTACTCTATCACTTCCTCACCTACGGCTACTAGATAGGATTCAGACGCGCGCTCTACCCAGCTCTCACCGCAAAAGAGAGAACGCACAATGTAAGTTATGTCGCCATTTCAAATATTTTCTCATGTAATAGGCCATACTTGCCGCACAGTAGCATGCTCCGTGGGTTTGAAGCCATGTCGCGGCTGCAACCGAAGTTGCAAACGATACCGTACCATTTGGCTGTGACACCAACAACAATCGTGGTCGATACCGTGCAGCTGACCAATCAGAGCTGGTGATTTCTAGACATACAACCTGGGTTGCAAATGGCCGGTAATGTAGCAGTACTGTTGCAGCAGAGTCAACACTGGGATTTACTAACGCTACGTGACAGAAATACTAAAGCTCCGTGGTGGTACCCACAACGCCAGGATCATCTGCGTCACATTTACCGGATACTCAAAACTTATCAACGGCAAAGTACAGGCTTTGACGAACTCCAACGTAGACCCAAACACACGTATCCCGTTGACTACCACTAGAACGTCTAACTCTGGGTAACTACTGAAAAAGAGCTTATCATGCAAATGAAGAGCAATATTAAGAATACTAACCGGTATGACGCCATTGCAACGGGTCTGAGTCAGGTCTAACGCATACAAGTCGCTGAAACTTTCTCGGCATGACCAAGTAGTAGATGAAGCAGAGGTAACGTTTTATAGCTAACACGAAATCAGTTGTGACTTTTATTAAAAATTTGAAGAAAAAAATATGAAAGAAAACAAACATGACACAGTCACACTAACTGTTTCGGCTCTCGTATCTCCATCCCTCGACAACAGGCAAGGACAGTACTTACGGGCGTTGGCGCTGGATGGCAGGTTGCCGTATGGCTTGAATCTTACTTCAGGCTCGGGCTCGACTTTTTTCTTCTTGACTGTCCTCTTATTCTTGGCGGTGATGGTCGCTGTCAGCATCGGTGACTTTGAGGTTTGTCCAGCCCCCATTTGACTCGTTTGCACTGATCAGTGAGAAATGCCAAGGACTGACCGTAGAGAAAATGATACTTGGACCGCTACGCCACCCTACACGACATGCACCGCAACGATCATCATTCTACGTTGCCGTAACGAGGGTGAAAAATCTACGGCAACTGTATCTAATGGAGCCACTCTCCTTACAATTCCTGCAATATTTCAAGCCTCGTCCGTATGCTCTTCAAGAAAATCTTCGAGTCGAAGCAATCGACTTGGCTAGTTGAGAGGTGGATGATGAACAACCCGCTAGCAACTGGCAGTATATTGCGCTAACGCTAGTAAAAAATCCAGAGCTTCTCCGTGTATACACGGCGTTAGTTCGTTATTAGGCTGCGGGACTGTCCGAGGCGTCCAAACAAACAGTTACTCTATCTTCCACACCGAGGCCTGTTGCTCTAGTATTCGGCAGGCGAAGCTCAAACGCTTCAAATTTTATGTTAACCAGCGATTTGAAAATGCTTTCTTTGTGTTAAGAAAAAGCAATGAAACGAAACCAAATGCTCAAAAATCTTGTTTTGGCATTCTGTAGGTAGTATCATAATTAGGTATTTCAGCTACAGCCTTCCTTTCCTAGAGCTTATTCAGGGTGTGCTTGCGCCTCACTGCATGAGGGAGCAACATGAAGCATCCAATGACGCTGAGACTCGTCCTTTAAAGCCACGTCTTTTCGAAAAGACGGGATATAATCAGGGCGTTTCGGCCAAACTATATAAAAGCAATAGAGAGCTTTCGCAAGTGTCCTCGGTCGAGTGGCGCGGAGCTCGCATGTGCCAGTGTGCGAAGGGCTCTTGCTGCCTGCTGTATATAACCGGGCTTTACGAGCTGGAAACAGCTAGTGAGGCTACCCGACCACTAGTGCTTATAACGTTTCCTCCTAGCCATCCCTATCCTAGCCATGCGTGCAGGCCAGTAACGTCTGGTCGACACTGAACGGCCTCGCACTGGAAGAGACTCTGCTTACCGAGACGCTCCCTAGGTGCTTAGGTGAGCAGCTTGTGTTAACGATCTCCCTCCGACGCGGTGCAAGAAGAAGGGCACTCGGAGTGGAGATAACGACATGGTGGTCATGACAGGAGCCGTCTGGGCAGTGTCCATGAGTGGCGCTGGCGGTTTGGCTTCAGTGGGCTGAGCCCGTGGCGGAAAGAGAGGAAACGGAAACGATAAGGAGACGAGAAGTATACGATGGGCTAACGATCTTTGTATTACTGTGACAGAGTACTAGCGACGGAATGACGACCGAGGGAGTGATGGCACGTGACGAACGAGCTCAACGCCGAGCTGCGTCGGCGGAGCGAGCGGCGACGGAGGCGGCGAAGCAACAGCGGCTCCCCCAGCAACCGACGACGGTGACGACTTTGGAAACGGAAGACGGCGCCACGGTGACGTTGAGTACGGAGGAGATACGCCGTCCGACGGGCAACACGCCCGTGGCAGCAGGCGGCGCTGGACAACGCGACCTTGGCGGAGGTCAAGGCGGCGACCCTCCAGCTGGACAAGGCGACGGTTCGAGCGGCGGTGACAGCGGTCGCGAGAACACGAGTACGGCTAGTCAGCAGACCAACACGAACACGAATACGAACGCGGACACGACGATGGAGGAGAGGACGGTGGACTTGACGGGGAGTGGCGGTGCTGGCGGTGCCGGAGCGGAACACCCACCACCACCTCCACCTCAACCACGTCCCGCAGCGGCGGCGGCATCGAGTGGGCATGGTACGTCGCGTGAGAGTGCTCCTTAGCGGCCGATCATCGTCCGCGAGAAAGCCAAAGCGCTGAAGTTGAAGAAGTTCAAGGGCTTGGATGACTCCATGCCCGTGACGATGTGGCTCAAGACGGTGCGCGCGGAGGTCAGGCGCCAGGCTGTGTCGATGGGCGTCACGTGACAAGAGAAGCAGCTCTACCACGAGGTCGCTTCGCACCTCGAAGGCGAGGCGCAGCGCTGGTTCGCTACGGTGATGGAGTCCGTGCCGGAAGACGAGGAGAACATCAGCACCCTGGCCAGAATGCTGCGCGCCAAGTACATGACGCAACGCACCGGACCGGAGGTGGTTCAACGCGAGACGACAGATGAGAGGAGAGCGGTTGATCGAGTACGCGCAGTCGCTGCGCGAGATCGGCGAGCGCGGCGACGTCGGAGAAGATTGGCTGGTGAATGCCCTCTTGAAGGGGAGGAGCAGCCCCGAGGGCGCGACCCATGTGCGAGGCCACAGGCCTCAGACGCTGGATGAAGCAGTGAGCCTGGCGGTGCCCCACATCGGCGAGTATGGTGCGGGGTACGGCGTCGGGTTGGAGACGGCGATGGAGCGCTGGGATGAGCGCGAGACGTCGAGCGGACGCGGGCCCGTGCAGGGGGCCGCGAAGGGAGTCGGCGGCCAGGAACAGTCTGGGGTGGCAGGGAACTACGGGAGTGTGGTGACTGGCTACGGGCCCATGTGGGGCACGGCGGCGAAGCCGCCTAGGTACGACACAGAGGACAGGCAGGTGAGCTCTGGAGGAGCCAGTGCGACCGAGTGGTGGAAGGCGATACCGCCTGGGTTCCAGCTGGTGCCCGCGGGAGCGGTGGGTACACCAGTGGGTACACGTGGCAGTTTGGGAGACGGTTCGAAATTTCGAACGGCCAGCAGTGACCAGTACGGGACGAGGGGAAAACGGCCAGCAACGGCTGTGGACCAGAAAACGAAGCGAGCAGCCCAGACGCTCAAGGTTGAGGGCAAGTACGGCGGCGATGGAGCGAGTGGCGGGCGGTCCAACCCTGCGCTTGCGACGCGTGAGGGCAGGATGATAAACCAACAGCGCTATCTGCAGCGGCAAGCGCAGCGAGTTCACGCCTCGGCCGGGCACGGAGTGCTACTACTGCGGACGCACTGGGCACTTTGCGCGGCACTGCGAGGTGAAGGCAGCGGATCTCAACGCCAGCGGCGTGAACACGGCCGCTGACGCGACGGATAACACGACGGAGGAGTCGGGAAACGGCTCGCGAGCATAAGGGCCCTGGCCTTACTGCTCGCAGGCACAGGACCGGGTAAGACGGCGAGGAAGCCGTTGGTGGAACGGCAAGGACGGCGGCGAGATGGCGGTCGAGACGAAGGCCGTGGTCGAGGACGCGGACGACCCCGAAGACAGCGAGGACGTCGAGGACAACGAGGGCGCTTCGAGTCTGGTGATGTCGCGGCGGAGAATGGCGCGCCGGAGCGCGGCGGAGAGACCGACGGTACGAGCGGAACTGGGGATGGCGCGAGAAGCGCTGGACTCAGCGAAGAACGGAATAAGCGGCTTACGACCGGGGATGACGCCGAACGGCAAGTGGCGGTGGCCTCCCAGCCCAACGCCAAGGACAGCAATAGCGGAGCGTCGACGAAAAAGCGCGTGCAGTTCGCGGACAACGCGGACGGCGTCGACGAGAAGCCGTCGGCGAAGGACGCGATGAGCACCAGGGAGGCGACAGGCAGCTGCGCCGCGGTGGCGGACCACGGCGGTGGGGCTGGGAACGCGATGGTGGTCCAGCGCGCGGAAGGGAAGCGCGTGGTGATCGACTACGGCAAGTTGAGGACGACGGACGGCGGTCGGATCGACGGCAGGCCGGACGAGGAAGAACTACGGAGGAAGGTGGACGCGCAGCTGGCAGCAGCGCTGGCGGCGACCGAGCAGTCAGTAGATCGGTCGACGCGGGCGGCTATGAGTACGAAGGGCTCGAAGGACCACGCGGACGAGATGAGTGCGGGAGGCACGAGCAGGGGAGACACCAGCAGCGCGACGGACGACACGCTGAAGGCGGAGCTGCGCGTGCGTGACAAGGAACAAGGGCTAGTATTGCTGGTGAAGGCCCGGCAGCAAGCGCGTGACGAGGCGACGAAGCAGGAGATGGAGCGGCAGCTCCACAAGCGACGAAAGCGGCTCGATCACACCAAGGCGCGTCGAGAGCGGCGTGCTGAGCGTGAACGGATGGCGGCTGGTGCAGACAGAGCTACTGGGGTTCATGCTGGTGAAGAAGCCGATGGTGACAAGGGAGGCGCTGCGCGACGAAGTGGTGAAGGGCAAGACGAGCACGTGCGCGTCGGAGAAGCTGTCGGTGGTGACGAAGACGCAGAGGGTCGCGACGACCAAGGTGCGGCGGCGGATATGCTGCGCGGACGAGGACGAGCACAATGGCAGCCGCCAATGCCGGAGCTCCTGCAAGTGGAGACCGCTGGCTACATTGTTGAACGAGCACGCCGGCGAGTGCGCAACCGCGCAGGACGCTACGTGCGTGAGCACCAAGTGGAGTACAGCACTGGGCCAGGACGACCAGCGGGACGGCGATGGCTCACGGAAGCAGAGTTCGAGCAGCTCGAAGATGCTGCCAAGGTCGAGGACGACCTTGGAGCCGGGGATGGCGTGTAGTTGGATGGCCTGTCACGTGACGAAGGGCCACGAACAGGCAGCGCCAGACGATCGCGCGCTGGTGATCGACTTGACAGACGAGTAGTGTGGTGGACATCGGCCAGATCGGGTCGTGGTGTACGGCAGGAGGCGTGTGGTGAAGAGGGCAAGCCAGTGGACTAGTGCCACCGGCTGAAGGCGGTCGTTTAGCAAGCAGTGGAAGTTGGTGATGGCGACGACAGAAGATCGCAGTGTGTGGGCGACATGCCGGGACAAGAGCGAAGAAGTATACGAGCGAGGAGAGGCGAGATCAAGGACAGGAACGTGAGGCTGTGAGGCCACGAGCATGGAGAAGGAGTCGAAGAGGGAGAGGTCCAGTAAGTAGGCAGGCGCCCGTGCGTAGGAGTAGATACAGCGGGGATAGGATTGAGTAGGAGGATACTGAGCGGCGGTCGGCCGACTCGACCCTCAGTTGCGGTTTTTCATAGGATTGTGGAGAGTCAAGACTAATATACACGAGTTGCGCCGAACGCACGGGATTCCGGTCTTTGGAGCAGCGACGAAGAGCGTCGGCCAAAGCGACGGCAATAGCGAAGGTACGGCAGTGGTAGGCCAGTGCACAGATGAGGGCAGTGTTCGAGTAGGGCGGCAGGACTGTGGAGAGAGACCACGGGGGCTGTGGTGTTGGAGCACCTCGGTCGAGTGGCGCGGAGCTCGCATGTGCCAGTGTGCGAAGGGCTCTTGCTGCCTGCTGTATATAACCGGGCTTTACGAGCTGGAAACAGCTAGTGAGGCTACCCGACCACTAGTGCTTATAACGTTTCCTCCTAGCCATCCCTATCCTAGCCATGCGTGCAGGCCAGTAACGTCTGGTCGACACTGAACGGCCTCGCACTGGAAGAGACTCTGCTTACCGAGACGCTCCCTAGGTGCTTAGGTGAGCAGCTTGTGTTAACGATCTCCCTCCGACGCGGTGCAAGAAGAAGGGCACTCGGAGTGGAGATAACGACAACGGTCTAAACCTAGAACGGAGACTTGCAAAAATGGTAGTTACCGACACTTTTGATGTGGCCCCGCCACTGCCTGCTACTACCCTGGATCTTGGTAGGTAGTTCCGAGCTTTATCTGGGGAAACCGATGACAACAGCGCCTCTGGTTGAGCGCGGAAAAATAGATTTTTAGTGCGGAACAAACATATTCAAGTCAGCCCTGATCGCAAGGCATACTAAACAGAAGTAGCGCCGGGGCTGGTGGGCGTGTTGTGTCGAGTGGGTGTCAACATAAATGCAACACAATGGGGTTCGTAATACAAACACAGTAATATCTGCCCCGTTTCTAGAATTTGAATGCTCTAAAAAGTGGTCTAATCTGCCGGTGAGCCCGAGATTGGCCATTTCCCTTACTAAAACATTCTTTGTAGTAGGTCGCACTGAAAAAACGCGAACACAGATGAGAGAAGCTGGCACTTCCTTCAGTTGTCTACCGAGTGTATTGCGCTTGCCAGCTTTGAGATAAAACCAAAAGTGAGAAACCTAAACATGCATGTCGACTAGCTGCTCTACATCACCACAACCAGCGTCCCAGTGGTGGCACTCTTCACGACTTTCCGTAAGAGCTCCTTACTGCAACTTGCCCCTTCCACCTCGTGCCAGCTTGAGTCAACGAACGCACGCATGATGTGCTCTTGAGCACGCCAAGCCAGCACTCGCTGGTTGCGGCGCCGCTGCATACTCGGCCACAGCACTGGCTGAGCAACAGCACTCGCTGAGCAACAGCGCACATGGCTGACTGCAACTGCATGCTGGCAGCAGCACGCTGCCCAGCATCGCCGCCGCACTCGATTGTACTGCGTGGTCGTGGTTGGGCTTTCATGTCGCCACCCACTACAGTGAGTACCGTAATAGTGAGGTCTCCCGTTAAATACGCCGAACGGCTACAACAAGGTGCTCAGAGCTCCGTCGCGTCATGCAACTTGTCTTAGCGATTGCCTTCCGTTTGTTTAGTGCAGTCGCTTGACCGTTTATGCAATATTTACCAAGAGTGAATTTTTATGATGTCCCATACTGATTCCTATATAAAATGCTGTCCCACAAATGTGTCTCAGAACCGTGTCGGTACGGAGATAAATCAATCTTAAAGGAGCAGCTGCAGGTCCGCGAGGGCGCTCTTTAGTTCAACGTTCTTGTTCCTGAGAGCAGTTCTCCAACTCAGCTCGTGGGATCCTTAATGTTACCAATTAGCCAACTCGGTGTCTTCAGTGATGAGCATTTCCAATGCTACTAGTATGCCAGCAAATAAAAGGCGGATCTGTGTCCGTGCCTGTGCTGTTCTTCACGTACGGTGCTTATACTGTAGTAGAGGTAGGTTGTACGCAAGTTCTCTCGAAGTGCCATTCTCCTTTTTACTCCACTGGTAACAACTCGCTCACACCCCTCACCGGACGAATTGAGATCTTCGACCCAGCATGCGCTCGTTCTGTGTTGCGCTTGTGGCGATTACCGTCTTCCTGGCGACATGCGCTACTGCCATCGATCAGTCTCCGCTGGTCAGCGTCGCCTCCACGGAGTTTGACGGAGGGCGTCGAGTGACTGAAGCTGCGAGAAAACCCAAACGATCTCTGAGGCGGGGGAAGGCGTCTGAAGACAGTGGCGTGGATGTGAAGGAACTTGATGAAGATCGAATGTTATTGCTGGTATTTTTTTTACTGTAAAACTCTGAAAGCCGAACTCATTTCTGTAGTCGCAGCTGAACCCACTGAGATGGTACTCGTTTAGCGGTTGGGCCTGCGGTGGGTACCGCTTGCCCTTTCGACGGACGTGCGCGTACAATGGGGGCCGGACGGTTATTTCGACCTCTGCAGTCCTCCCACCCGCCAGAACTCGGCGCTTATTTCCTCTTCTGCAGCCCCGCGCGCACGCTACGCGTCGCTTGTACCCCGCTGTTAATTCGAGCGTCGCACCATGCTCCGTGCACCTGTCAACGCAGTGGAAGCCTCGTGGACGGGGGCAGGCACCGGCTCCCAGCTGGGACGAGCCAGCATAAAGGCCTCCTTGGGCTTCATCATGAACACCACCGACGTATCCGCGTTCAGCCACCACTGGGGATCCGATGCGGTTGAGTCGCCGCTCACCACGCCGCCGATCTCGAGTGAGAATCAGGCTGCTGCAAACACCCCCACGCCTGTCAAGGTAGACCCCAATCTGAGCAGCCAGTCCAAGCCCAAGGTCAGGAGGACCCTCAGCTACGAGGAGAAGCGGCGCTCTCGAGAGTGCAAGGTCGACGGCTGCGTCAACTATATCATCAACAAGGGCCTCTGCTTCCGCCACGGGGTGAGTTGCTTGCTTGCATAAAAGGTAATACGATAGGGGTGTGCAGATACTTATTTCAACCTTTGTGGCACATTGCTGCAGGGCGGCAAGAAGTGCTCCGTCCAAGAATGTCGCTCCAGTGCCAAGAACGCGGGGCTGTGCTGGCGTCACGGTGAGTACGAGCAGTCCTGCAATTACATTATCATTCGTGGTTTGCGACTTAGGTGTTCATTTTTTTCTGGTTGATCGACGAATTAACAAGGCGGGTCTGTGAAGTGCGTTGTGGAAGGCTGCGAGCGCCGAGGGAAATCGCGGGGTCTGTGCTGGGCGCATGGAGGAGGCACCAAGTGCTCGACGCCACTTTGTACGAAGGTGGCCGTGTCGAACGGCTGCTGCTGGGCACACGGAGGAGGGAAGCGGTGCGCGTACGAAGGCTGCAAGAAGGCTGCGTACGAACGCACACACAACTACTGCGTCAAGCATCACGATCAGCTGAAGGATGGAAGAGAGATCTTGCACGTTTGACGGGCGCGGCGAGGCTCCTGCAATATATACAAGAAAATGCAATGGCAACGGAACTAAATTGCATGTAAATCATCCACCGTTAAATGCTTTCAAGTTCAGCATACAGTCCACGTACTCGCCTGCATTGGTGTCAACGGGGTGCCCCTGTTAACAGACACACCTATGCCGATCTTCGATTTACCCTTGTGAGAATGGAGCTTCGGGAGCATGTAGTACTGACAGAGAGCCCCCCCCCCCTGTACGCACCTTCGAGTAGGTAATCCAGCAAACGAGGCTCGTCGAACACAGAAACTCCACTCCCTCGTTAACCAACTTCAACTGAGCGACTGCTGATAAAGTCGTCACTTGTTCCTTCGGCCTTGAACGAGCAATCGTAGTTCCATACCTGTAAACCCACAAAACGCATAACTTAGTTTATCGGAGTCAGCTTGCGCGTTTGATGAGACCGTCATCTTGTCAAGACCCACCTTGCGCTTCTAGGAAAGACTTGACGGGGGTTGGAGTATGAACGCCACGCTCAAATGTCCAAACTCAAACCGTGCTATTATATTCTTTAAGGCGACAGATCGATAGTGGCGTCTGACAGGCGCACTGTTAGACGGACCTTCGACACCACCAGAATACGATCAGCCCGTTACGATAACCCCAGTCGGCCCTCTTGCTAGGACAAACGGGAGGACAAAATCGGTTTTTACTTGATTTCAATATAGTGTACCACAAATTTTGTCCTAGACGGACCGCTCCTACAATATATCCATGATTAGCAAAGTTATTTCGCATTAGTGGCTGCCCCATTTGTGTCATTTGCACACCGCCTTCACGAACCTGTTCCATCCGCCACTGCTCTGTGTTGACTTTTCTCCATTTTTTGCCTGTTCTGCTTGCTTACGCTGATGTTGTTCTAGGACAAATATTCTCTGAAATTTATTTCAGAGTCTACCGGTGATACCACTTTCCGCGCTGTTTGAATATATTAGACTATAGCAAACGCCCTCTTTGCTTGAATGCTACATCTGCTGTACGGGTCACCCATTTCTCAAACTTCATAAATAGAGTTTTTTGATAAAAAAACACAGGCTTCGTAATTTAAAGGGTCTGATTGTCCGGACATTTTATAGATAAGACTACACAATACGCAGTTATCGATGCAGAGCAGTTTGTAAAACCCGTTATATCGTATACATCTTGCCGTTATGAATCATCCACGTGAATGTTGACCCTGGTCCATCTTCGCGCAACCCGCATCCGTAAGTAATTTATACGGTAATTTATGGCGTGGGTTTTTCTTGGGATAAATGCAACTTCCTATTTATCCCGTAGGGTCCGAGCCCTGAAAATTCCAGGCGCAAGCCCAACCCAAGGCCGTGGTCAACAAGGTCAACCGCGCGTGGGCTGCCCGGGCAGCGTTTCTCCTTCGTGTCCACCGTGGCGCCATCTCCACGCGCCGTATCGGGCGCGTCGGCCTGGCGAGAACATGGTGGTCGAGGAGATGCTCGCGTTCTGCGAAGGTCTGAGCAACCCAAAGCTGGGTGTTGGGGCCTATCATCGTAGCAGCTGCGAGGCTCATGCTCATGGCTCTCGCACGCAGATCAAATGTGGGGTCACGCACTACGGCGCAGCCCGCTCGGTCAACTACGACTCCTGCTACGGGCTTTACCCGGAAAGGGGCGAGGAGTACGCGGACGGGTCCATCAAGAATATCCATCTCGTGGGCCACAGCGACGGCCAACATCCACACCCAAGAAGACCTCGAGGCGCTGTGCAAGAACCCCATCAATACTTACGTGGAGAACAATTGCGCCACGATGCTCAGCACCACGCTAGTGAATGACACTATCGCCACTGCCGCAGAGGCGACTACGACGGACAAACCCGAGGACTTAGTGCAGTATTACGAATCAGTAGTAAGTGAGAATAACTAGCTTTTGCTGTTCTGTTGCCCTCCTACACTATTCATCGTTGCTACCTCTCACGATGTAGCTTTCTAGCCATGCCAACGTCGCACTAGAAATTTCAGAGCTTCCTCGTGCTCAGCACGACTTTGTATGGTACACTATACTTTACGTCCGTGAATTTCGGATTTGTCCTAGCATTTTTTCGGTTTGTCCTAGCAAAGTGCCCGACTGGGGATAAGGTGACGAAAAGGGCGCTCACGAACTTTTAGTCAAGAATGTAGACCTGATTTCTCCAGTCGTTCGTCCACAGACCATGCCGCAATCTTGTTGCTCATAAATATCCGCCGCCGATGCTCCGGCGAGTTCATGACCGCTTCATACAGTTGGGGCCGTTTGAGCAATCTGCAACGCTGCCCTTAACTTATTCGTATTGCCGTAATCTACAACTTGCACGGGTGAGCTCGGCACCTCGATTGTTTTCCTCATGATAACATCGTGTACCTGTCTGCGAGAGTTAATGTACGCAGGGTCGTTGTGGGGTATAAAGCAGAAAGTGGCGCGCAGGTACTAACCCAGAGCTCGTTTGATATATGCGTGCATGGTTAACGGGGAATATGAAACAGTTGGCGGGACCCCGGGGCCCCCCATCCAAATTCATCGGTATCGGCAATTATTTAATTAATTTTCGAGAGTGAGGGGGCATGTTTATCACGTCATTTCCATTTTTGATTTATAAAGTGGATGGAATGCGCAAGCGTTCTGTAGGCGACCAACAGAGAACGACGACGTTGTAGGAGCTTCACGGGTGAACAGTTGAATAAATCTATGTTCTATCATAGGCGAAGGCAGAGCGGCCTGCATTGTCGGTGCTTCCTACCACGTTCAAACCAGCACTGCTTTATGACTACATCAACACTATCGAGAGTTGAACCATACATGTTTGACATCTCACTCATGTGCGTGTATGGCATCGGGGCAGCTAACAAAAAGGTGCACAAGGACGTTCGTTCTGAGTCAGAATCTGACGCCAATGCATGAAATGGAAGGTACCCTTGAAGCAGAGAACTTGTTCTTTCACTAGAGTTGGCATTCTCAACGTGAGAAGGATTCATGGGCAACGAAACGTTGCGTCTTCTGTGGCACGACGCCCTGTAAATGCGCTGACTTGTTTGTTTCGTCCAGCGGTTCATAGGTTTGGTAAAGCGACGTTCCATATTGTCGTGCGCTGTCGATTTTATTTTGCAACTCGAGATTTGACAGTTTTGAATCGATAAACCTTCCGACAGCTAACTTACCACTTCAACTACAGGAAAGGATTTGCCACGGCGGTCGCTTTCTTCGCCAGTCTCAATCACTCCAGTCTGTATTTCTACGTCTTGGCAAACAGTAATCTAACGACATAGATGTCGTTTGAGCAAGCTATTTAGTGCTTACACCGTGCAGTGAAGCAGGTGAACGTCCGCCTAATGAGGGATCCTGCGACGTAGTTGCTGCAACCTCTTCCGCTGGTCGCTGTCGTATGCAGTCTGATCAACGCTCTGGTAGCTTCTTTCGCTCCAAGCTGCTGTCACAGCCGCACTCTGATGTCTATCGAGCCTTCCTCTCCTCTCGACTTGCATCAATTCACCTGGCAAATACACACGACACGACTGCGTCAGCCTGGGAGGACAAGGCTACGAGACTCAACCCAATCGTACGCACAGCTCATAGTAGTTGGCGTGACGCAACTGCACAAAGTGCTTCTCGCACAAGTTGTGCGTGCGTTCGTATGCCGGTTTGATACAGTTCTTGACCTCGCAGCGCTTGCCGCCGCCGTGCGCCCAGCAGAATCCGTTGGAGACGGCCACCTTGGCGCACCCGGTGTTGCGGCACTTGGTGCCTCCGCCGTGGGCCCAGCAGAGCCCTCGCGCCTTGGCCTTCTTGTCGCAGCCGACCTCCTTGCACTTTACAGAGCCGCCTAGCATACAGCAACATTTACAAGACAGACACAGACACCACAGTCAAGCGTCCTGTCAGCCCTGCTCCGAGTCGGCCGTCCAGTCGGTCGGCAATAGCACTGGAAGTAGCCTCTTGTTGCGTCCAACTGACCGTGTTTCCAGCACAATCCGCGGTGCTTGGCGCTGGTCGAACAGCCCTCCAGCGTACACTTTTTGCCGCCCTGCGAGCCACAGTGGACAGAGGGGCCAGTAACAAGTGTCCGCGTGAGTGTCACCATCGCGTCCACGGCCCCGGGACGGACCCCACGTGGCTGACTAAGCAGTCCCACACGCAGACACAGACAAAGAGAGAGACAGAGACTCACCCCGTGGCGACAGCAGAGCCCCTTGTGCACGATGTAGTTGCGACAGCCCTCGTGCTTGCAGGTGCGGCGGCGCTTCTTCTCCTCCTTGCTGAGCTGCGTCGCGCTGCCGCTGGAGCTGATGGCGCCCACAGATGCGGCCGCGGCCGGCACGTTGAGGATGAAGGGCAGGGCGAACTTGTGCTCGTCGGGCGGCGGCGTGGCCGGTTCCGGCTCGAGCGCGTCTGGCGGCTGCAACGCCCTGTCAAAGTCGCTCAGCTCCATTGAGATCCGTCTCCAGCCTCGGTGGTCTGTCAGGAAGGGCAGCCCAAGCCTCAAGCTCAAGCTCGCTCGGCGAATGAGGCCATGTCGGTCGGTCTCTTCACGGTACCGCGGCGCCTTCGAAATTATTTGGTCCGTGGATCGGCTGCGGCGGGCCAGAGACGCGCCTCATTCGGCCAGGTCCCACTCTGCCTTATTATTTACGACGAAAGGGGAGCGGTCGGACCAAAATGCGCTTGGCGGCGAAAAGCGGACGAGTGAGGGCGGTGAGCTGGCCACGGGAGAAAATGGAGCTAGCTGGGTGTCGATGTGTGCGCAATAACGGCCGAGTGCATGAGGCTGAGCCGCCCCCCTTCGATGTCCTCAGAAAGGTCGACCCCCGAAAGATACAAATGCCACCACGCCGATCTGGTGAAATCAGGCGTCTCGCCTGCCATTGGCGCGCGTTCCTCCGGGCTCGCTGCCCTCCGCCAACCGTTTCCTCCGATGAATTTGGACTGGGCATGCAAGGCGTCGAAGCGGGGTCGAATGTCATCTCGACTCTGAGCGTCTACGTGGTGCGGGTGCGTGTTGGTGGCCTGGCTCCCATTCTCGAGCCCTTCGCTTCGGCGTTTCGCTGTGGTTACCTGGTGGAGACCAGGTCTTCCGCCGTAAATAGCTCGACCTTCACCTGTACTGACCTAACTGGCGGTGTGTGTACAACGGCCACGAGAACTCCATGTCCGCTTAACAGTCAGCACTGGATAGCAGATCTGATCCCACACACAGTAATTGAGAGCTCTCCTTGCACTGTGCTGCATTTAGCTGCGCTGGCCTGGCCAGCCAGCTGGCTGGCTGGCTGGCTGGCTGATCGCACAATCGCAACGCGGGCTACGGGTAAGACTCTTAGCCTACGAGCCTCGCAGGCTAAGATTAGGGCGCAAAATGCATTCAAAGAGATCGCAGCTTCAAGAACAGCTTCAAGTTTGGCCTTGCAGAGGTCAATGGCCCTCAGAAAACCGAGGTCACTTCTTATGAACCTTCAGTGCTGCTCTTTGAGTGGTGGCGTCCTTCTCAGCAGCTTGTTGTGCGCCTGCTTTCGTGCCGATGAGACCAAGACCCCAGGCGGAATTGGCACTCGTTGCTGTCCGCGCTACAAGAAGACCATTCCAAGAACTTATCCAAGCTCTAGTGTCAGCAAGTTTGTGGGAATAAGAGGGGTGTTCTCACGCGCGCGGGCTCTACGGCGACACTGACTTCTGCGTGGACAGACTTGGAGATGTGGTTTTTTGGGTAGACTCTCGCCTGACGCTGCAGCAAGCACGAACATGCTGAGTCGTTGCTTCTTTCGTGGACTCCATCCGAGGACGACGCTTCGATACTAATCTGGACAGCTATGTGCTCGGTCTACGGGATAGCCCCATGGGTCCTGGGACTCTGTGGCTGGACTGGAGTCGAACGTCGAGGAGCAGTCAAAACTGCTGCGTAGTTTGGCGAATGGGAGCTCGAGCAGCGGGTGGTGAGGGGCAAATGGTGTGTGCGCTGAGATGGGACTCCGTTGCGAACAGTCCGGGTTTTCATCGATTCGAGCTACAACATCTTGCTGAGCGGCAAAAAGGCCGAGTGCAAACGCCTGTCTTCGCCGTGCGTACGCCCATCAAACGTGTGAAGATGCACATGCAAATGGTAAAACATCACTTTACAGGCGAGTTGAGTGCGGCGGCTCATGACGACGAACGCATAAAGATCGGATCACGGCTGCAGCGCTGGCTACATAACCCCCCCCCCTCCCCGACCATTTCATTTGAAGCATCACCGTCGACTGTGCGGCTGGCAAAGGAGTGACATCTTCCAGAGTTTCCTCCGGAAGACGTCTTCTATGACCACGAAGTACTAGCTCGTCGGTCTGCGAACAGTGTTCAGTTGATAACAACATGCATAATTTGACGTATCCAACGGCTCGTGAGTCTGTGGGTTTGGACATTTATCTGCCCGTTGTTGACATGTGCGCGAAGTTTTACTGCTATCGTATATCAATCTGGAAATTCAACCGAGATGGCGGTTGTCTTGCGTGCGTCAGCTAGCGTGCTTCATTTCAGTATCATGGCGGCTATTCAGTTGCACCGTCAGTTGGCAAGCAATCGCGGTCGGAGCGGACGAGTGCAGCAAACCGCGAGCTAAACAAAGATGACACGCCATTTCCAGTCTGTTGATATCGTGAAAAGGCAGTGAATCAATCTGAAGTAGGAGTTGACGCCCGTCAGCACGTTGACTATTTTTTTTACGAACAGGTTAGTGTAGTTTACCATGGATGCTTCCTTCGGCTAGATGATGCTTACCTGACAAACCCACCGAGCAGACAGACAATTCCTGCGTCAGACAACTTCTCATCTACAAAGCAAGACCACCCAATGATATAATGCGCACACTTCAAAGTAGTTGGCGTGGCGCAAATGCACAAAGTGTGCTTCACACAAGTTGTGCGTGCGCTCGTACGCCGGTTTGATGCAGCCGTTGATTCCGCAGCGCTTGCCGACGCCGTGTGCCCAGCAGAATCCGTTTGATACAGCCACCTTGGAACACTCGGCGTTGCGGCACTTGGTACCTCCACCATGGGCCCAGCATAGACCTCGCGCCTTCGCCTTCTTGTTGCAGCCGTCCTCTTTGCACTTTACCGAGCCGCCTGATTTACCGAACAATGTGAAGCAAAACACAACAGACTCAGCACCCTCAACTATTTCACATATAGGTATTACCTGACTCAATTAGTAGTGCACTACTAACCATGCTTCCAGCAGAGCCCTCGTGTTGCACCCTTCCAGCGAGCACTTCTTACCGCCCTAACGAATGCACGATAATATTATCAACAAAATCAGTTCCACGCCTGATGTAATTAATCACAGCACAAAGGGTGGGTCGTACCCCGTGGCGACAGCAGAGCCCCTTGTGCACGATGTAGTTGCGGCAGCCCTCGTGTCTGCACGTGCGGCGGAGCTTCTTCTCCTCCTTGCTCAGCTGGACCGCGCCCTTCTTCGCGCTGCCACTGCTAGTGGCACTAGAGCTGATGGTGCGGCCACGAGAGTCTCAGTCGGCGCCAGAATGAAGGGCAGCCGAACTTGCTCGTGTGCTCGTCAAGGCTTGGCAGGGGCTCCTGGCCCTGGCCGCTCTCGGAGGCGGCTGCATCGAGCTCATCGGGCCCCACCTCCATTTTTACGGTCTCCGGTGCGATCCTCGCCGCAAATGAGGCACTGCAGGGCCAACTCAGAATTGGGTCGTCCAGGTTGAGGTCCAGATTGGCCTGATGGACGCAAGTCCCACTCTGGCAGGTCTTGCTTGCACCTGCGACTCGCAGGCTGCGAGCCCCGAAACGTGAGCGCCCAATCCGGCGGGATCGTGTAAAGCCCCCGCCGGCTTGCTACAGTTTCCTCGTACTACCTGCATGACAAGGCAAGGGTATCTCGGGACAGGAAGAAATGGTCGACGCTGCAGCTCTTCCTTCTTCCGCCTCGGCGACGTTCAGCCTGAAATGAGCGCGATACATGTGCACGTACCAAAAGGGCACTGAGTCAGACCTTGCATGCCTATGCGACGAGATGCCGGACCACCCATGTTGCGTTCCCACTTTGCAGCCGCCTCAGGACACTCACTAGCCGTGTGAGCTGAAGTGTGTCGTTCTGGCAATCATATCCACCGAATTTATAGTCGGCGACGCTGACGACAAACGGCTGCGGTGTTATCTCCACAATTGGTCCTATTGTCATTTTGCTGGCAATGCTCGGGTCTCTTTTTCATCGGATAACGTTGCTATGGGCCACCGAGCAGCTCGTGCTATGCATGTTTTGCCGGCAAGCTTGTAAAGCTTCTGTTTTACCGTCGGATTATTTTGTGATCACAGTGTACCTTTGCCCTCAAAACCACGAGGCAAAAATATTGACGTGTCTCCATTACGCGGCCTTCAACAATCCGACAGGTCGATGCAAGTACTCACATCGCTACCACAACCAAAACCCAAAAAGTTGCCACCCACGCACTCGATCGCCGATGAAAATATTTGCGGTCTGGAGACGACTATCCGATCAGAGAACGGCGATCACTCGATCATGTGGCAGGTCGACGTGGGCCGAACTCAACTCGCTCGTAAAATGAACTCTACCACTGCACGGTGCATCTTCACACGCTTTGATGAGTGTCCGTGCAGCGAAGACAGACGAGTGTACTGTACATGCTCCATGGCCTTTTTGTCGCTCAACAGGATATTGTAACTCGAATCGCTGAAAACCCGCACTAGCACCGAACACCAAATATGCTGTCAGCAGTGCTCCCTCTCAGCTCAAACACCATTCGCCTCTCGCATGTTGCTGCTTGAGCTCTCAATCACCTACGCCAAACGACGCACTGGTTTTTGGCTACTCGTCGACCTTCGACTCCACTCCGACCGCCGAGGCCCAGCACCATGAAGTCCATCCCGTAGACCTAGCACATAGCTGTCCGGATTATTGTAGTGTCGAAGTGCCTTCCTCGGATGAAATCCACTCGTAGGGAACAACGACTTAGCATTCTGTGCTTGCTCCAGCGTCAGGCTAACATCCTCTCAACGAACCACAATATGAAGTCTGCCCATGCAGATGTCAGTGTCGACGCAGAGCCCGCGCGCGTGCGAAGACACCCAACCCAACGTACACTCCACCTGCGAGCTTGCTGACACACGACTCGACAGGTTCTTCGGGTAGCTTTCCAGTAGTGCGAAGAGCAACGAGTTCCCACTTCCGTCTTGGGTCTTGGTCTTCAGCGCGGAAAGCAACGCACAACAAGCCCTCGAGAGCGTTGTCACCATCCGGCTTCGTCTCCTGCGCAAAGCAGCAAGCGGCGAAGGAGTGTTCTTGGTTTTCTGAGGCCATCAACCTCTGCAAGGCCATACTTGAACGAGAGTGCTTACGTACACAGTCTTTTTTGATGGGGGTCGAGGGGGGGGGGGTGAATGTGATATAGAAGAGGACCAACGGAGGCTCGCGGTTGCGAGGAGCGTAGCCGCAGCAAACCCGCGCGGGGTGCCCGCGTAGCAGGGCCGCGCGGTATTTGCGGAGGCGGGCCCAGCGACGAGCATTCCAGCGAGCCGAGCACTGGTCTCGCCAGGTGAGAGAATCTTTTTATCGCAGGAGCGCAGCGACTGCCTTTGCGGAGCGCAGCGGAGCAAAGCCATTTCCCGCGCATGACATCCGACCTGCGGGAAGGTCGTCACATTGTGGGGTGATGGGCTGCCTATACAAAACTCCAAGATATCACCGAAAATAGACTGTGTACGTAAGTCCTGCCACACTTGAACCAATCCTTGAAGTTGCGACCTCTTTGAATGTATTTTGCGCTCCAATCTCGGTCTGCTCTTAGCCACTCGCCGCTGCGAGTGTACGCTGCGATTGTGCGATCAGCCAGCACAGCGCAGTTAAATGTAGCACAAGGCAAGAATAGCTTTCAATTACTGTGGGTGGAATGCCGACTGTTAAGCGGACACGGTTGTTTTCGTGGCCGTTGTACACACACACATGGCCAGGTTAGTTCAGTCCAGGCGAAGGTCGAGCTTTGTACGAAGGAAGAGTCCTGGTCTCGATCAGGTATGACCCACGAAACGCCCAACGCATCGCAGTCTTCTTCGAGAACAGGACGCGGGCCAACCGAGTCGAGCTGATTTTCGCGTCCAGGGCTGCATCGGAGGAAACGGTTGGCGGCAAACCCCGCGGCAAGATTCTCCTCCACGCCGGGACAGCGAGCCCGGAGGGACGCGCGCCAATGGCAGGCGAGACTTTCGAGGGTCGGCCTTTCTGAGGACGTCAGCACAACCCCATGCACTCAACCATTGCGCGCTCTGAGCGGTAGCGCTGACGCCCCGCTGCGTCTTTCTCCCGAGTGTGCCAAGCCTTCACTCGCTTTTCGCTCGCCTCCAAGCGCATTTTGGTCCGACAGGTTTGGTCCGCTCCCCTTTTTTTCGGTTCGTCGTAAATAATAAGGCAGAGTGGGACCTGGCCGAATGAGGCGCGTCTCTGGCCCGCCGCAGCCGATCCACGGACCAAATAATTTCGAAGGCGCCGCGGTACCGTGAAGAGACCGACCGACATGGCCTCATTCGCCGAGCGAGCTTGAGCTTGAGGCTTGGGCTGCCCTTCCTGACAGACCACCGAGGCTGGAGACGGATCTCAATGGAGCTGAGCGACTTTGACAGGGCGTTGCAGCCGCCAGACGCGCTCGAGCCGGAACCGGCCACGCCGCCGCCCGACGAGCACAAGTTCGCCCTGCCCTTCATCCTCAACGTGCCGGCCGCGGCCGCATCTGTGGGCGCCATCAGCTCCAGCGGCAGCGCGACGCAGCTCAGCAAGGAGGAGAAGAAGCGCCGCCGCACCTGCAAGCACGAGGGCTGTCGCAACTACATCGTGCACAAGGGGCTCTGCTGTCGCCACGGGGTGAGTCTCTGTCTCTCTCTTTGTCTGTGTCTGCGTGTGGGACTGCTTAGTCAGCCACGTGGGGTCCGTCCCGGGGCCGTGGACGCGATGGTGACACTCACGCGGACACTTGTTACTGGCCCCTCTGTCCACTGTGGCTCGCAGGGCGGCAAAAAGTGTACGCTGGAGGGCTGTTCGACCAGCGCCAAGCACCGCGGATTGTGCTGGAAACACGGTCAGTTGGACGCAACAAGAGGCTACTTCCAGTGCTATTGCCGACCGACTGGACGGCCGACTCGGAGCAGGGCTGACAGGACGCTTGACTGTGGTGTCTGTGTCTGTCTTGTAAATGTTGCTGTATGCTAGGCGGCTCTGTAAAGTGCAAGGAGGTCGGCTGCGACAAGAAGGCCAAGGCGCGAGGGCTCTGCTGGGCCCACGGCGGAGGCACCAAGTGCCGCAACACCGGGTGCGCCAAGGTGGCCGTCTCCAACGGATTCTGCTGGGCGCACGGCGGCGGCAAGCGCTGCGAGGTCAAGCAAGAACTGTATCAAACCGGCATACGAACGCACGCACAACTTGTGCGAGAAGCACTTTGTGCAGTTGCGTCACGCCAACTACTATGAGCTGTGCGTACGATTGGGTTGAGTCTCGTAGCCTTGTCCTCCCAGGCTGACGCAGTCGTGTCGTGTGTATTTGCCAGGTGAATTGATGCGAGTCAAGAGATGAGAGGGTCAGTTGACAGCAGACTGCAGCTGTGGCGAAAGTAAAGCTGCCTAGGACCGATCGTACAGGTAGAGTTTAGTAGAAGGAAGGATCGAGATTCTCATTTACAATAGTATCTCCATCAGATTGTGTGTATTTATCACTGCAATGTCACACGTGCTTGCTTGCTTTCAGTCAGGTGCAAAGGCTTTTCACGGGTTGGTCGTCGCTAACTGCTTCCGCCTCAGCAATATCTGCAAGTTATCGAGGCCACGTACGTGAAGCCGATTTGAGCATGCCGACCACCGAAAATGTATATTTCCTTCATTGCGGCATCGTAGGGGGCAAACGAGAACTTACCTTTTGCTGTTTTGAACTTACAATTTGCAGTTTTGAAGTTGAAAAGGTGCAGAGGAAACCCGAGTATCCTTCAAACTGCGCTTCTCTTCACTGCACTCCGTTGTGTTCCGCTTACTCCGTCCGAATACTCGCCAGGCACTCACTCTGGAAAGAATATCGTGTCCAGTGAAAAGAAGATTTGCCAATCCACCGCTTTTTAGAAAAGCCTCGCTTGATAGCAGTCCTGCTCAGCGCTTCCTACAGCTTCAGCGTAAATGACTCGACCAGCCGCGAACCACCCTACGTTCCACCCAGTCGATGAGTAACACAACTGTATCAGCGTCCAACAGCCATGCCTTACCGATCTGATCTCGCAGATGTCCAGGCCTTGGTTCGCGACGCTGCTTTTCACTCGACTCACCGAAATCCGTCGTGGGACCCTACATCCCAGCAGCTCCACAATGGATGGATTGCAGCTCGCGCTACACAACTTGTTGAGCAGGCTTGTTTGCTATGGGATAACGTGGCTCTCAAGCGCAAGGCCAAAGTCAGTCGATAATTGCGCGGAGAACACGGCAATTGTCTTTACAGCTCGCACGCACAATGATGCCCATCTCGCCGATTTGCTTCCTCGCACCGCGCAACTCAGATCCCCACCGAGACTACGGGATGCGTGAGTCCACCGCTGCTTAACGGCGCTGGGACGCTGCCAACTCCTCCTCCCATTGCCGCAGTCGAAGTTGTGTTCTCAAGTCAGTACTGTATTAGCTCAAATACGAGTGCCGGGCTTAACAAACCTATTTCTCGCTTCGCGAATCAGTGGGACAGCCGTTTTTGGACCGCGAAAGCGACGACCAAATAATAATGTTCAAGCACAGATCAGTTTGCGCTTCGCGGTGAAGGGCGCACTTCGGCCAGCCAACCATGGAGCTGGACCCGGGCGAGCTCAATAGCGCTGGCGACGAGAGTCCGCAACCTCCACAACGCGCCCAAGGACTCGAGCCGGAAGCAGCCAAGTTTGGATTGCCGTTCATATTAAACGTTCCCACCCGGTGCCGATCTCAGTCAGCGCTGGCTGAGACGGTCGGCGTGGCAGCTCCAGCAGGAGGTGGGAAGAAGGCCAAAGATGCTGGCACGAAGGAGGGGGCGGAACTGAGTAAGGAGGAGAAGAAGCGCCGCCGCACGTGCAAGCACGAGGGCTGCCGCAACTACATCGTGCACAAAGGACTCTGCTGTCGTCACGGGGTACGTCGGGCGTGAAATGATTGTTGTTGCAGAAGACTAATTGTTTTTAGGGAGGCAAGAAGTGCATTCGAGAAGGCTGCTCCACAAGTGCCAAACACCTTGGACTGTGCTGGAAACATGGTGAGCAGTCAACTATCCATCAGTTCGAAGCAAAAACGCCAGAGTTCTGACGAATGTTGTCTTTTGGTGCTGTCAGGCGGATCCGTGAAGTGCCGAGAGCACGGTTGCGACAAAGGCGAAAGCTCGCGGGCGGTGCTGGGCGCATGGTGGAGGCACCAAGTGCCGCAACAGCGAGTGCTCCAAGGTGGCTGTGTCGGGCGGCTACTGTTGGGCGCATGGCGGTGGCAAGCGCTGCGGTTATGACGGCTGCGTCAAACCGGCATACGAGCGCACGGGCAACTTGTGCGAAATGCACTTCGAGCAGCTGAGTACCGTGACTTACGTCGAGCTGTACGTAGTGTGCTGTGTGACGAGTAGCGGTGGTCGAGTGTCGTTGCTGAAACCATATTCTTGTATTGCAGGTGAATTTAGCTGGAGGTGACTTCAGGGAGTGAGCCGCTTGGCGCCTACCGGTGGAAGTAGGCGTGCAGGCGAGTGGAGCCCGATCCTTTCGAGTTGAAGTAAGGCAAGCCATCTTTTAAGCCCACAAGTGTCAACTTCAACATTCGGGTCCCAACTTCGTCACCGTTCACATCAAGTTCCGTTTCAACGCAGGGCTACGCGAATGGGACAAGGTGTCCCTGCCCAGTGCTCATCTGCCTTTCCAACCGCTGAAGCTTTCGAATCGCTCCCAAGAAGCCCCACCCCCCCTACTTCGACCGCCACGTTCAACTTCACGTACTCGAGCTATGACTGTATGCGGAGTCGACTTCACCTTCAGCATGAAGTGAACACAGCCTCAACTTCGCATTCGTGCGACGATCGGCTTGGTGTCAATCTCGCAGGTTCGGTGCAACGCCTCATCTTCAACAAGGCCAGCGGAGTAGAATCTATTGGCTTGGCGACCGATGCGTAGTACAGTGCCTGAGGCAAGTGTCGGTGACTCACAGCCGGTTGCTCGCGTACGGTACACTTGCGCTCAACTCGATCACGTCAGCTAAAGTGCATGTACCCCAGTCTTTTCTGCGCCCCCGCACAAAAGTCAACGCAGATATGTACACATTCCTCGTATCAATTGTTCGCGACCTGAAAAATGTGCTCACACATGTCAGAAACGGAGAAGTTGATACTAAGGCATCCTGTATCCTATACGTAATATTGGTATTGTTTTCAAGATGTATGCTGCAGCTAAACTACGTCAACTTGACTTCAATACATGTACTTCAGGTCTTGCAGTGGACGAGAGTTGGACATACGTCAGCGTGACAAAACTTCACGGCAACTGCATGTATTTACGTACTGTGCATACCGTACTGATACAGCACGTGGAGTTCAAGTGCTAAATAGTTGTGTACTTTAGATTACAGTTGCTAGGTATTCACTGCGCCGAGGTTGAAGTTTTGGGTCTCTTGGGCTGGTGCTTGGTGCAGCAGTTCTGCTTGCTCTGCGACGCCGGCCGCTTGCAGCCCTCGAACGCGCAGCGCTTGCCGCCGCCGTGCGTCCAGCACAGCCCCTTGGAGATCGTCGTCTTCTGGCAGCCGGCCACCGAGCACTTGGTGCCGCCGCCGTGCGACCAGCACAGCCCACGGGACTTGGCGCCGCGCGTGCAGCCCTCCACCGTGCACAGCGTGGAGCCGCCGTGCTTCCAGCAGAGGCCGCGGTGCTTGGCGCTGGCCGTGCAGCCGGGCTTGGAGCAGGACTTGCCGCCGCCGTGGCGGAAGCACAGGCCGCGGTCGATGGTGTAGTTGGTGCAGCCCTCGACGCAGCACTGGCGCGCCGCGCGCTTCTCGGTGGCCGAGAGCTTGCGCTTGGGACTGCGTTGTGTGGGCGACGACGACGACTGCTGCTGCTGTTGGTGGACGATTGCGGGGCTGCAGGGCGACTGCAACGCCTTGCAATCGTCCAGGATGAAGGCCAGCGAGAGCTTGGGCGTGCTCACGGGCGTCGTGGGCGAGGCCAGGTCCAGGCGGCGGTCGCTCGCGGCGAAGGCGGCGAACACCGGCAGAGGGGGCAACGCTATCGAGAGGTTGGTCATGTGGGAACGCGCGAGTGCGGCGGATCGAGAGAATGAGGAAATGCATCAATGCGCGGTCTCACGTGGCGAGCTTTGTCGGTGCGGATCGGCCGGCACTCGCTTCACTTGGCTTCAGTATGCGCGACACTGTCTAACGGCGGCTCTCGGCCTATCCTGTGGACAGGTCTCTGGACGCAGAGCAGCTGGTTCGGCCAATCGCGCTACGAACAGCGCAAGATTTCGGGCGTCACGCATCCCGCAACGATGTGCTCGGCACGAACAGCATGAGATGACAAAAGGCGTAGGCTTCCGCTGCTACTGTACAGACTGTTGCCTACTGTGCAGTGCTCACCGTGGCATTGAGTGGCGAGCATGTTGTCGCTCTGCGCTCCCAACGCATCGGCGACCGAGGACGCTGATTGCCGCTGGGCACGAGGCTGACTGGTACTGGGCAGATACCAGCTCGCAGAAGCAGCAGAGCACTGACGCTGAGCGCGGACGCAGCGGTCGTTCGCAGCGGGTGCAAACACGATCTCGATGACAGGATACTTTGGAGCCTCTGTCGCACTCGGCCGCACCTGCAAATGAATCCTCGCGCGAGCGTAATAGATGAATGCATGCATCAGACCGTGAACACAGATCTCGCTTCCGATAAAGAATATGACGGCGTCCTGGTGACTCGCTTCGTTGATCGCATCGCTGCCTTGTCCTGCGTTTGCCATTTGAAGGACGAAGGACGAGCGACAGAAGCAGGATCCTGAGATCAATGTCCACGGACGGTAAGTCGCCGGCCAGAAAAAGGGCTGGGGCATAATCACGATTGTTCTCTCAGACGCAAAATAGTCCGACCCCCCCCCCCCACATCGTTTTGCATACACGCATACAGGAACAGGCAACCATCTTGCCTTAGCCGGCACTGACACCCAGCACAGGACAACATGCACCCCTACTTCATACAGGCAGCGAGGCTCGAAGTGGTTGTTCTGTCCACTCGGTCACTCGCATCTAAATTATCTCAGGACGCGCATGGCCCAGCCGGTTGTTCAAGCAGTGCAAAGGTTTTGCTAAAGGCAAAGAGGAGATGCAAAGCGTCCACAACGAGTCTGCCCCAGCGGCACTTTTGCAACCGCTCTTAGCTGGAGCTCGGTGTACGTGTGTGTGTGGACCGGCAACCACGCTCCGTCTTGTCCGATCCTGCAACTGTGCAAGAAATCGATTAAGCGTGCGTGTACTTGGCCAAGATGGCGTCGCCACTCAACAACTGGCACCTACCCAAGCAAGACGAGTCCCCGCTCGGCACGCTGAGATCGCTGTTATTGTTGAACCGGAGCCCTCTTCGCGCAGAGCAGCAGAGCCCGCGCCATCCTGTCGCCATCGCCGGCTTCACGACACCTCTACCCTGTCGAGATCGGAGCGGAGCGAACAGAAGAAACTGGGCAGCCCCATTCGAGCTGAGCTGCTCGGCGCGATGCCGCCACGTAGGCACCTGCTAGGCAGAGTCTGCCGCAGAATGAAGTGACCACGTTTCGGGGCGCCCGCCCTATCATGAGATGCACGAAATGAACAGCAAAACGCTGCTTCTGGGCTCAGCGGCCCATACAAAAAGGCCCCCAAAAAGACAGGTTGTGCTGTTCGTCCCCGCTAGCTGGCTGCAGGATCGGCCAAGAGCTCACGCACTTGCTTGGCGTTAGACAGCAACATCTTGGTTACTGTCCGTCGACTAGCGGACTCGCCCTTGCAGAGAGAGACGCGTGACACGACACGCTTGAGACGGAGACGCATTCGCCAATTCACCCCGAGACGTGCACAACGCTCAGGAAAGCTGCAAGCAGACAGACGAGCATGAACAGCGTCACCGTCACCCTCCCGCCGCTCCGTGCGTGGACCAGCTTCGCGCTGCCGGCGCGCGCCAACCCTATGGCTGCCGCGAACCCCATGGTGTTCCACCCGTGCCCGGCGATTCACCAGCACCAGCACCACCATTACGCTCCGAGCACGCCCACCACCCCGAAGCTCTCGCTGTCCTTTATCCTGGCAGACAGTCGTCCGCTGACCCCGCCGGCGGCAGCGGCTCGTGCGCGCGAGGCGAGAGTGCCCCCAACGCAGCACCCTGTCGCCAAGGAGCGCAAACACAAGCGCAAAATGACGTCGGCGGAGAAGCGCGCGGCCCGCTCGTGCTGCGTCGAGGGCTGCACCAACTACACCATCGACCGCGGCCTGTGCTTCCGCCACGGCGGCGGCAAGTCCTGCTCCAAGCCCGGCTGCACGGCCAGCGCCAAGCACCGCGGCCTCTGCTGGAAGCACGGCGGCTCCACGCTGTGCACGGTGGAGGGCTGCACGCGCGGCGCCAAGTCCCGCGGGCTGTGCTGGTCGCACGGCGGCGGCACCAAGTGCTCGGTGGCCGGCTGCCAGAAGACGACGATCTCCAAGGGGCTGTGCTGGACGCACGGCGGCGGCAAGCGCTGCGCGTTCGAGGGCTGCAAGCGGCCGGCGTCGCAGAGCAAGCAGAACTTCTGCTCCAAGCACCAGCCCAAGAAGCCCAAGGCTAGCCCAGCTACTGGTATGTACGTGCAGTAAGCGCGGAAGTGAAGTCCTTACATTCTAATTGTACATATCTAATATAGCCAACAACATTGTACTATACCACATTTGCTTGTTCTCCTCACTCCACTTGCCGGCGTTTGCTTTCGGCCGGTATTGAGACTCGGGTTTCACGCAGCTCTTTTGTCCAGAACTTGCGGCATACGCTTTGTAGGTCACAGTACAGTACAGATACCACCCAGAAACTGCAAACCGTATAAATTGATACCCTTGTGGAATCATGATATCAATGGACATCATCTCAGGAGGGAGCGCCCGTCACATTGAAGTACCGCCACTGTGTGGTCTACACATTCCATTTTCATTTGAATCATCCCGCCAAAAGCATGGCGCACTTTTCCACAGACAAACTCAAGGCAGCACTGAGCACAGGACGCCCAGCCTCCAGAAGCGTTCTAAGAGCACCCAGAAGCGTATCAAGGGTGTGTGGCTAACCATCCAGCAGAAGTGCGATGTTATTGAGGAGTATCACCCTCTCTCTTAGAAGTAAAAATGAAGTTTGAGGAAATAGTGGTACAGTAATCTGCCCGAGTAAGGAACGCCTGATATATATAAAGACGCAGAATAATAACTTGATGTTAAGTTGAGTATACTTTTCCAATGTACTGATTTAGTTATTTCAAAATGAACTGAAGAACAGCTTTACCTACGAGTCCGGAATGATTCCAACAGTGACGTATGGTCGAAGCACTAACCTTTGACCAGGTATCCTCGCACCACAACAGCGCTGTCAACTGGTCGACCTCGTAGGGATTATCTAGCCCTTCACCAAGCCGGTCTAGAGCCTGCATCATCTTGCGGGATAGAATGTGTCGCTTAATACAATGAATGATTCCTTGGTCCTTCTCCAGCGGCCGCCCCAGCAGGACTGCACTTGACTTGATTATGCGGCATATCGTTGTCTTGCCTGGGGCGGCCGGGAGGCTGAACTCCGTCACAGCCCACTCAGCCAGGCCTCTGTAGGAGAGAGCAGGTGTGCGGGCTGCCTTGTCGAGGATGCCCACTTTCTCAGACCAAGTGAGGCGGAGACGCTTGGACGGTGTGGACTTCATGGGTGGAGTGGGGGGAGGGGGTGGGCTTGTGGGGCGCGGTGCAAAAGCAAAAGTGCGAGTCTACCACTACGGTACATGTAGTTTGAAGTCTAGTAAGATCGCTAAATGCGCGCCATTTTTCAAACGAGGGTGGAGAGCTGATGATTGGCACTGGATTTTTCACCTTAGTACCTCAGTACCTTGCAGCACCTTGCACATCCCTCTATCGCCACATCGACTGGAAAATAATATTAAGTATGTGAGGCTATTAGTTGTACACCCGTTCCTTATTCGGGCAGAATTCTGTAGTAACGCACCTCAACCCTGGTCGGGTTGGGGTGACGCCCTCCCGGGAAGCTAGGGCCGGCATGATGCTAGCCCAACGCTTCCGGCAGGTGCTTCACCGCATCTGCCAGTCTTTCACGGGTCTCTCGCTCTCTACTATCACCTCTCAACCAGTCTCTATCTCCCCACAGTCACCGCGCGGCCGCCCCGCGCGCACTGCGCCGCAGCCATGCCGTCATCTCCGCTTAGGTACGTTTAATGTGCAATCGCTTGGTTCACAGCACAAGCAGCACGAGACGCTTCCACGCGACCTGGATGCGTACAAGGTCGACATACTCGGGCTCCAGGAGACACGTCTCGCTATCAGAGCGAACAGAAGGCAGGTACGTTCACGCTGCTAACTCTACCGACATCAAACCCCCGCCATGGCATTGGTTTTGCTGTTTCCTCTCACCTCCGCAGGTTCTTGTACAAGTATTGGGCTGAATCAGACCGGGTTGGCGTGCTTCAGCTTCGCCTCCCTGCGGGGACAGCGTGTGAACGTTATCAACGTGTACGCGCCGCACAGCGGCTACCCCCTGACCGAGGTCGACGCCTTCTACGGAGATCTGCATGCGGCAACGTCCAAGCTACCCAAACGAGACACGACATTCATTCTTGGTGATTTTAATGCCAAAGTGGGCAGGATTCACGACCAAGAGCCTTCCCCTGGGGTCGATGCCGCCGCAACCGAAACGGCCACATTCTAGCGTCGTTTTGCGATGCAAATGATTTGTTTATCACTAACACTGCTTTCAGGAAAAGAGCGCGCAACATTACAACGTGGACACTGCGAATCCCAAGCTACAGCATTTTCAACCAGATCGACTACATCATTTGCAGCCAACATGTCAAGCAACTTTGTCGCAACGCCCAGTCATGGGGGGCACGCTCACCCCATCCGACCACAAGCTCGTGACACTCGCCTTTACCTACAAGCCCTCCGGCGTCTCCGCCGGAACCGCCGTGCCCCGCTTCACACTCCCTACACCCGCCTCGCAACCCGCAGTCTCGTACACAACTCGCAACTCCGTCATGAGTACCGACGGACTCTCGCAGACAGACTCATCGAGCTAAGGCGGGCAGGATCGGCCGACCAACAATGGAACGTAGTGCTAGCAATAGCGCTGGAGGCCGCAGCTGACACTGTCGGCTATCAGCCTCTGATACCTCACGCAAAAATCGTCGACCCGGGGCTTGCCCGACTCACGTTCGAACAGAGACGGCTCCGCCAGCTTATCAACAATGATCACGCCCAAGACGTCGCCGACCTACGAAAACGTCGTAACCGCCTACTCCATGAGATTCGAGAACGCAGCAAGGTACTGGCCAGCGAAGCCATCAACGCCAAGTTGGAGGCCATCGAGAACGCTCCCGTCACTGCGCAAATGTTCGAGGCCACCAAGACCCTCTAGCGACGACGCACCCCTCTAACCTCGTTATGTGACTCAACAGGCAAATATATACTCAGCAAGACACGCGCCGGCGAACGGATCAAAAAGCACTTCGCAGAACAATTCATCGACCCGACCAGAGAACCGATTGCCCCGGACGGCATTCAACGAGCCCTCCAGAACCCGATCACAGCCGCCGAATTTGAACGCGCGTTCAACCGCCTACGCAACGACCGCGCGTCAGGCCCCGACACCATCCCAGCCGAGCTACTGCAGTATGGAGCCGACGTCTTAGCTCCGCCGCTTGCCGAAACCCTCAACCACGCACTGTCAATCGGAGAGCACATCCATCTGGGAGATGGAATCCTCCTAGGCCTACCGAAGCCTAACAAACCTGCTGGTCACTGCTCCAGCCTTCGACCGATCGTCCTCCTGAACAGCATCCGAAAAGCCGTCTCGCTCGTGGTGCTGAACAGGATATCACCGAAAGTTGAGCAGTACCTGTCGCCACATCAAAGCGGTTTCCATCCCAGTCGCAGCACCGCAGACGCGGTGTGGGCTCACAGGTGGATAGCAGCTCGCGCCCAAAGATACATGGAACAATTTCACATCCTAGGGATCGACCTCACGCGAGCTTTTGACACGATCAATCGTGACAAACTACTCTCCGTGCTGGCTACAATTCTCGACAACGACGAGCTCCGACTCATACGACTTCTACTCCGCGGGACCCAACTCTCAGTCCGGCATGGCCACCATCTGCTCTCACCGTTTGAGAGCAATACAGGTACACCCCAAGGTGACTCACTCTCACCAGTTCTCTTTGTTGTCTATCTAGAAGCAGCTCTCCGTGACCTCGCAGATCAACTCGACGTGCCGCATGACCTCCTCGCCAATATGATTGTCTACGCGGATGACGCTGATTTTGTCTGCGCCAACCGCACGACGGTCGACCTGATCAAGTCTCAAGCCCCCGCCATTCTGTCCAAGTGGTCCCTCAAGATGAATACAGCAAAGACAGAGCACACCGTTGTTCATCGCAGCCTCGCGGCCCAGCCAAACCGAACAGACCGCGCCAAGGAAGAAACGTGGCGCAACACGCGCAAACTCGGATCTCTACTCGGCGACGCCGAAGATGTCTCCCGTCGGAAAACTCTTCCGACCGCAGCGCTCCACCGGATGTGGAAACTCTGGTTGCGACCGACAAATACCAAGGAAGCTACTCGTACCCGCCTCTACAACTGCTTCGTCCTGCCAATCTTGCTCTACAACTGCGGCACATGGGCCCTAACACGCGCCGACCTGCTCAGTCTTGAAGCTTTTCACCGTCAACAACTGCCCACAGTCATTGGCCGCAAGTACCCGTACTCCATTACAACGACCAGACTCTACGAGCGCACAGACACCGAGCTTCTTCGATACCATATCCTTCGGGCTCGATGGAGACTGTTCGGTCACATTTTACGACGACCACCGACGATTCCAGCATACAGATATATTCTGAACTACTTCGGCCCTAGCACCAGTGGTGGATGGAAAGGCAGGCGGAGACTGACGCTCCCCATGGTCCTCGACGCTGACCTACAGACGCTTTCCTTTGGTCACCGCCTCCAACGAGCCGCTGACCTCTTCCTATTTCGCCTCTGCGCGCAAGACCGATCCGGCTGGAGACATCTCACTGGCAGACTCCTCGACTGCACGCCTACCGACTGAGAGATATGAAGCCACAACATGAGAGATAGCACGAGAGAGAGAAACCCGACGCATGCGGATGTTCGACCTACCACACGTAGAGAAGACTGCTCGCGTAACGCGTTTACAATACAATACAACGCACCTCAATCACTTATCTCCTCAGATTATATAATTTCCTGTAGGAACTTGGATGTACCACTCTTTGCAGTTTGTGGGTGTAAGTTCGAGTACATTCGTCATAACGCCGATATCGACCCCGTCACAACTAAATAGCCCCGATCTTTCAAAAATAGATGTTTCAGAAATAGGCATCCAAGAGAGCAACTTTGTCATATGAAAAGCGCATCGTTGCGCGTAGATTATCATAATGCTCACCACGTCACATTACAGATCGAGAAACCAGCTTGCGAGATGTCCGGTAAACCTCAGTTGAAGTGGATGCGGCGCATGTGGCGGCCGCCCATACCCAGCTTCGTGCGCGCGTGCAGTTGCGAGATGTTGTCCATGACCACGAACTCGCCCTTCACCCACTGGTGCCAGTGAGCGAACTCCTCCGAGTACAGGCGCTGCCGCAGTGTCTCCGTGACGAAGTCGGCGTCCTCGTCCTTGTCGTTCGACTTCGGGTCAAAGCCCACCGACTTCACGTACGTTGGGTGCATCTTGGTCTTCTCGGGCCCCCATGGCTCGTGATACCGCAGCGCCAGCTCACCTGTCATCGGGTGCGTCACCACCACGGGAGACGTGTGCACAAACTCTTGCTGCTTGAAGAGCGACGTGCAATACTGCAGCGAGATCTTCTTGAGACGCTCCACCGTCGACTCGGGCAGCGACGACAACAGGCGGCGCGTGTCCGTGATGATGGTGTTACCGTGCTTCGGGTCGTCCTCGGGCGGTGCCGCCTCGACACAGTGGAAGAACATGAACACGGGTGCATCGCCCAGCTCCGTGGCGTCGGGTGTCTTCTTCTTGAACATGCCGTCGTAGTGGAACGACATGGCCTCGAGCGTCTGCGCGGGCAATGCGGTGCCAGGCTCCGTCTTGATGTCGAAGATGTTGCCCGCCGCGAACGTGCCCTTGGGCCACTGCAGCACGTCGCCCCAGCGCTCCGTGGCCGTCTCGAAGTCGTCGTCCTGCTTGAATCCGCGCAGCGTCACCACGCCGTACTTGAGCACGAGGCTGCGGATGGCCTCGCGCGGCACGTCCATGATGGACGGAGCCGGGAATCCCTCCATGGCGCGCGCGATGATGAACATTTTGGTGCGGACGAGCTCGACGTGCAGCGGGGCCCATTGTGCGAGTTCTTCGGGCGTGCACGGAGGTCTCTCGACGAACCCCCACATGCGGCCGTGCTTGTAGACGAGGTCGTACTTGTCCTCGTCCACGTCCTTGAGATCCATCGCGCGCACCGTGCCGTCAATGGCTTCACAGATAACTGAGTGCCACGGCGTGCGCGGGGTGTCCATGCGCTTCGCAGGCAGCAGGTGGATGCCAAACTTGGGGCCGGCGTTGTTGTAGCAGTGGATTGAGACGCGCACCGCGTGGGCGTACTCCTCGGCCACGAGCGAGGAGAAGCCCACGTTGCGCAGCATCATCTTGCGCGCGACGTCGTCGCAGCCCTTGCGCATCTCGGCCTCCGACTTGCCTTCCCAGCGGTCGGCCATGTCGCGCTCCATGAACTGCGAGAAGGAGCGGAAGTTGTTGCCGATGTCGGGCTCGTTCGCGATGCGGGCGTCCATGTCCATCTGGTTGATGCCGAAGCGCTCCAGCACCTCCTGCACGGGGTCGTCGGTCTTGGTGTAGTTCTCGAGTCCGTCGAACTGGATGTGCGTGTGGCCCGCTTCCTTCACGATCTCCTTCAGACCATTCTTGTACGCGCGGATGTTCTCCAGGGGCGCGCCCACGAGGTCACCGAAGACGCGGCCGTCGCTGAAGATCGTGACCTTGCAGCCGACCGGATAGACTTCCTCGATGGACGCGCAGAACTGCTCCAGACGCTCGAGCGCCAGCTCTTCGGCGCGGTCGGGCAGCGGGCCCAGCACCTTGCCGCCGTGGTTCGGTGTCTTGGTCGGGAACCCGGGCAGCACGATCGTGATGGGCTCTTTGCGGTCCACGAAGCGGCCGATGGTGGCTTCCAGGAAGCGTTTGCCCTTGGACTCGAACACGTCCGTGGGCGCGTCGAAGTGGCTTTGCAGGTCGGCAAACTTGGAGATGAAATGCGCCGCGACGGCGTCCTTGTCGACGGTCGTGTAGTCGCCGGAGTGTGCAGACTGGGTGGTAGCGTTGGGTGCCATGCTGAACGGGGTAAATCAGCTCGAGAGATGCGGAAGCGATCAGGGGGCGCTGTTGTGCGCGGGGTTGGTGGAATGAGGTGCGACTGGAAGTCCGGTAATTGAGGAATGACTCGTGCCCAGGCCGATCAAAACCGCCGGTTGGGTTTTCGGTGAGAAGGCAGCACCCTCGACGCGCTGCCGATCGCTAGGCTGCCAGCGCGTGGTGTGCACCGCTCTGCGACGAGTGTAAAGATGGCGCCCCCTCGCCCGCCGCCTCAATGCCAGGAGCGGTGTCTTGAATGTCACTGCTGATCGGCGCCTTGCTCTCGATAACGGGGGCGCGTTTCTGGGTGGACTGTGCTGCATCAACATCTCGACGCTATAGTGCGTTTACCAATGCAAGACCGTGGTCCAGTCTCGTTTACTTTGCCGTCGGTAAGCCCGTCTCGGCCGTGGTCCACACATCACGGCCGTGGGACGTTTTTTTTCGAACGTTTTACCGTGAGTGATCACGTCAGGATCGGCGGCTCATCGCTGCTCATCCCAATCGTGGGGCGCTGCGATTGGCGGAATCAGGCGGATCCGTAAACGAAAAGGATGACAAGGACACGCCTGCACGACGGGTCGACGACAGTCGTCTCGAAAGTAGCGTGATGAATGTGGATGACTGCCTGTTTGACCCTGCGACGAGTATTCCGAGCGGTGCGCTCCACGTGCCATGCGTGCCTCAAGGCTTACAGCTGGGTACATGTACTGGATCCTGAGGGTCTCACGTCGGCCCAGTCATCCCGGATTGCGGGCACGGGAATGTGCCACGGGAATGGCACACACAGGCAGTGCCTGTGGAGATTGAATCCTTCCCGTTGAGACTGACCAGCATCTCCGTCTACTCGACAGAGAGGCAGCGTTCTTATGTATCTGCTCATCTCGGTCTTTTGGCTAGTCGTACTGTAGATGTGCTCCGTGAACGATTGGTAGCGAGTGAGCGCGTCTAGCGAATTTCATCCGCCAGGATAGGGCTGTTGCGCGTGGACACCACCGGCATGGCTAGATCCTCCACGCGCAGCAGCCCTATCTTGACTGATGAAATGGTCGGCTTACTAGATAGATGTATACTAGCAGCGATGTGGCTGCAAGCAGCTCTGAATGGGCACGCTCCCAGATGTAAGGCTCACGCGGTAATAGAAGCTCATGGGCGTGTGGTGACGCGGTTAAAGCACCGCTTGGCTGATTGGTCCGGGGATAACGCGATATCGGATGACTCCTGCCATTACTTGTACAGTGTCCAACGCACTGAAATTCAATACCGCGTCCCAATTCCCGTTCCTTATGAGGCGACGTCTTAGAAGAAGAGCTTATGGAATGATGTCCCACAGCAACTCCGCTGTACTGTAGTGCAGCTCAAGCTGGAAGTTGTCCACTGAGAGAGGCGTCTCTCAAAAACTCGACAACGTGCGCACGCACAGTACATGTACACTGTAGTTGTACGGCTCTTGCTGCTGATACCGAAAAAAAACAAACACCCCAATGCAAATCGTGTTTTTTATCATGGCCATACTTTGGCCCAGTCTGGCAGCTGGGCGGGGACGGAGGTCACCCACGCCAAATCTACGAGTGCTCTAGGAAACGGAACGGCCTGAAGGCTGCACGAAATATCATTAAGTGAAGTTGGTGTTGTTGGAAAGCTAAAGGGCAAGGCGAGCTCTCCGATGAGCCCAGGCTTGCCTATAGTTAAGCGAGCGCCAGGTTCGGTAGGGGCGAATTTGTGAAATCCTGGAAATCGCTTTCACCTGCCGGCTGGTAACCCTAACCCGCATTGAGACACATAGATAATCATACAACTCACACAGTTCGTGATACCGCAAAACACACTTAGCCCTACAGTCTTGCGGTATCAGCAGAACTTCTCGTAGTTGTACTCGTACATGTACAGCACGCCACTTTTGTCACACAACAAGTGCCTGTGCTTGGACACCGTGGCACGCTGCATGGATGCGACCAGCGAAATCCGGTGCATCTCCCGTAAATTTATTACATGGCAAAACTGGGGAGGACTAAGCATCACACGGTGAGCGATGGTTGCCAAGGCTCATTATAGCGCTTTACCTGTCGACCACACGCTCTTAGCACCTTCTCCAATGGTAGTGCCAGCACTGACAGGACGCACGCGCTGTCGTTGAGCTCTCGATGAAAGACTCATGTCACCCTGCACCATGTGTGTCCCGTAAATAACATGGCATTACGCAAGCACCCGCGATCGACGGCATCGAACAAAGACACACGGCCGATGAGTGGGGTAAGCCTACATGTATACAGACAACGACGGATAAATCCGGCATAACTGAATGACATCCTCCATAGTAAATGTGCCAGAATTCTCTGTCGGGAACGATAGAGAATGTACAAGGCAATGACATAAAGTACACGTAACGGAGCATAAAGTACACACAAATTTAGAGAAAGTACTTAAAATCATATGGAATACAAATGTCAAGTGTAACTCTCGAAGCTGATTGGCTATCTGAATTACTTATTGTAAAAAGTACAACATATGTGTGCCGGGTTTTGCGTTGCCGTATTTATCCGTCGTTGTCTGTAATAGTCCGCCCCATCGTCGCTCTTTCTGTTGGTCCAGCCAGTCTTGCATTGACTGGCAGTCAATGACTGCTGGTGAAGGTGTTGCACGGTTTATGTGGATACGGCTCGAAAAGATCCGATGCGAGGAGCTCCCTGTGGCCCACAGGCTCCTCAACAAGACCACCAAAGACAGGGCGCTTCAGCGTTCGATGCGACTTGCTCGACTCCTCATTCCTCATTTTACTCGCTGTACCGCACCTCAACACACCACCAACATGGCGCCCAACCTCGACCAAGCCACCTACGTCCACCCGGTCACGTCTACATGGTCCAAGGAGCAGCAGACCAAGGTCTGGGACCACTTCCTCGACCAGTTCGCCACCATCCAGAGCCGCTTCCCGGCGCCAATCGACCGCTTCGACGCGGAGGGGAAGCACAAGATGCAGAAGACCGTCATGCGACTCATTAAGCGTCGCGCACCCATCACGCTGGTGTTGCCGTCGTTCCCCTTCAAGTCGCCGAACTCGGCCGACAAAGTGCTGGGCAAGCTGCCAGACCGCGCAGAAGAGCTGTCCTTGGCTCGGCTCGAGCGCTTCTGCTGTCAGGTGGAGGAAGCATATCCTCCAGGATGCAAGATGGTCATCTTCAGCGACGGTCGTGTCTTCAACGACCTGCTTGGCGTGAGTCTGAGTGACCTGCGTGCATTTGAGGACGAGCTGCAGAAGATGGTGGAGGAGGCCGGCCACACGCACATTTCCTTCGACTCGATGGACAATTACGTGAAGAACGTGGCCGACCCGATTCCCGAGATCCTCGAGCGCTTCAACGTGCTCCACATGGACTTCGACGCGCGCATCAAGACGGAGCCTGCCATCCGCAACACGTACTGCTCCTTCTGCAAGTTCCTCGAGCGGGACTTGGCGCCCCAGTGGGTGGGCATGTCGCGAACGGCCATGAAGCGAAGCTGCAGCAAGATCGCCAAGCAAATGATGCACCGCAACGTCGGCTTTTCCGCCTTGGTGGACGACTCGTACCCGGATGCACTACGTATTTCCATTCACCAGTACAACAATGCCGGCCCTAAGTTCGGCATCCATCTCATCCCGCAGAAGTCTGGCAAGCCTCGCACCCCCTGGCACTCGGCCATCTGCGAGGATATCGATGGGACCCCGCACACAGTTGATCTCAAGGACGTGGACGAGGACAAGTACGACCTCGTCTACAAGCACGGCCGCATGTGGGGGTTCGTCGAGAGACCTCCGTGCACGCCCGAAGAACTCGCACAATGGGCCCCGCTGCACGTCGAGCTCGTCCGCACCAAAATGTTCATCATCGCGCGCGCCATGGAGGGATTCCCGGCTCCGTCCATCATGGACGTGCCGCGCGAGGCCATCCGCAGCCTCGTGCTCAAGTACGGCGTGGTGACGCTGCGCGGATTCAAGCAGGACGACGACTTCGAGACGGCCACGGAGCGCTGGGGCGACGTGCTGCAGTGGCCCAAGGGCACGTTCGCGGCGGGCAACATCTTCGACATCAAGACGGAGCCTGGCACCGCATTGCCCGCGCAGACGCTCGAGGCCATGTCGTTCCACTACGACGGCATGTTCAAGAAGAAGACACCCGACGCCACGGAGCTGGGCGATGCGCCCGTGTTCATGTTTTTCCACTGTGTCGAGGCGGCACCGCCCGAGGACGACCCGAAGCACGGTAACACCATCATCACGGACACGCGCCGCCTGTTGTCGTCGCTGCCCGAGTCGACGGTGGAGCGTCTCAAGAAGATCTCGCTGCAGTATTGCACGTCGCTCTTCAAGCAGCAAGAGTTTGTGCACACGTCTCCCGTGGTGGTGACGCACCCGATGACAGGTGAGCTGGCGCTGCGGTATCACGAGCCGTGGGGGCCCGAGAAGACCAAGATGCACCCAACGTACGTGAAGTCGGTGGGCTTTGACCCGAAGTCGAACGACAAGGACGAGGACGCCGACTTCGTCACGGAGACACTACGGCAGCGCCTGTACTCGGAGGAGTTCGCTCACTGGCACCAGTGGGTGAAGGGCGAGTTCGTGGTCATGGACAACATCTCGCAACTGCACGCGCGCACGAAGCTGGGTATGGGCGGCCGCCACATGCGCCGCATCCACTTTAACTGAGGTTTAAAACTAGGCCAGCCGAGTGGTTGTACGTATACGAGTATTGTCAATTTAATAGACCATTTTGCACAAACACAGATACTCGTGAAAAGTTGGTGCTAATTCCTTTAACTGGTGGCTCTTGTAAGCTTGGTAAGCCAAAATATTTAGTCTTATACACCTACTCTAAACTTAGCTGATAGAACAGCCTCGAGTAGTTGGCTGCCTCAGGCAGTGATCATTTACTTTTGTGTGGTACCATCTTATTAACATGCCTATGACGTTTGTGGTATCACGATCATGAATCCTACCGCTAGTGTTCGCACAAACACTAGCTGTATAGTATAGCTAACACTAATGTTTGCAAACTGTTTGTTAGTGTGTTGTGAATCTGGTTTACATGTTTGTGGAGTTAGACAAATTCTGACTACTGGTATTTGTCTTGAACTAAAAAGAGTTGAAGCTCTTTTCACTGGTCGGAAGCTGACTTGCACGCGAAGGTCTTTGTCTTTACACCAACCATGATCTCTTCAAACTAAGCAGAACTAATCTTTTTTTTGCATTGTAGTCACTTAGAGAAATACTAACGACTTCTAATACAAACTCCTGCCTTCGCTCGTTTACGTCGCTGGTAAGCTACCACTACATAGCGTAATGGGGTCCGTTAATGCGGTGGACTACGCCGTCGTGAGCACTTACCGTTTTGATAGGCGCCCATCCATCCAGTATTGTATATCCCCAGCCGCGAGTTGAACTGCGGGCCTCCACAGTGTTTCGCTGTGCGCATTCCCATCAAACACGACCTGTCTGCTAAATCTGGAGTCAGCACTAGATTAATCTTGCTACGCCGTGGTGCGTACACGGATTGTCGACTCGGCAACGGGTGCTACTTAATTGTGAGTACACTTCACAGAGTAATTCCACATAGGGTGACTTGGAAAGATGCCACGTCCGGCATCACCACCTTGGACCAGACCGGAGGAGGATACAGCTGGGGAAGTGACGCATCGATCCACTTATGCGGACGTGAGTAAGCTAATAGAGAATTCAAGCGTCACCCAGCAGAAAACAAAAGATACTTTGCTCTAAAGGGTTTGTAGCACGTTATTTGTGTTCGAATGGCATCCCAACAAGCAACATCTTTAGCGTTTAGTCAATAGTTTCAAGTTGACGCAGCGCACGAGTTTTTAAACTGTAAACTTCATTTAAAAACGAAGTTTACATACTTGGAAAGTCCGAGCACATTACTCATTACTCGAAACTCCGCGAAATGTATTCAAAAGTAAGGATGGCCCCTCGAACACTAGCCATTAATTTGATCTGCTAGTGATAGAGCAGCAAACATCCAAACGCGTTTGCAAACAACACTTACTGTAAATAAATGTGTTGTTAAAATCACTAACATGTTTGTGGAGTATACTACCTACAGTCAAACCTCTAGAAATCTCAATATCGACACCGTCGGCAGGCCGAAATCCCATAGAGTACTCTGCTGTCCATGTACTGTACCTGCGCATGTAGTCGTGTTTTTGAGAGGACCTCACCGGAGCTGTCTTGGTGAGACCTCCGCATCATTCTACAAGCCTTCTAAGTGTTCTAACGCGCAGGGAATCGAACCGCGTTATTGTACTTCAGTGCGTTGGACAGTCCAATGACAGGAGACATCCGATATCGCGTTATCCCCGGACCAATCAGCCAAGTGGTGCTTTAACCGCGTCACCACACGCCCATGAGCTTCTATTAACGCGTGAGCCTTACATCTGGGAGCGTGCCCATTCAGAGCTGCTTGCAGCCACATCGCTGCTAGTATACATCTATCTAGTAAGCCGACCATTTCATCAGTCAAGATAGGGCTGCTGCGCGTGGAGGATCTAGCCATGACAAGGTTCCAAAACCACCACAAATGCCTGAAAAACACCATGCACACTGACAAGCACAATACCACGTGTTTTCACCACATCAGAACATTTACAGCCACTACAAAATCACAGGGGACCACATGAATTTATAAGCAATCGTCCCTTAGTGCGCACCAACACAACCGAAAGTATTCATCCAATCGTATACCTCTATTTTAAGAATTTTACCCAACCACATCACGCACTCCGTGGCCTAAAGTACAACTTGACTGGTCGCGCTCGTCCGAGACCTTACTTTCAAACAAATGCCTTCTCGCCTAGACCCCCCCCCACTCGCTTCTCGACAATGCCCCGCCCGTACGCCTGGAACCTGCTCTGCAGCGGTGTTTCGGCCGAAGACGCCGCTCTCCTTCTCCAAGGAATGAAAACGTGGAAAACTGTCAAGAGCCAGCTAATGTCGTGCGCGGCTTGCAGCAGCGGCACTCCGCACTCTATGCGCTACAAGGTGCTGCGCTGCGCCTGCAAGCACTGCACGGACGCAGTTCCCTACCTGGCCTGCCCGTGGCGGCTGAAGCTGCACGTCTGCCAGGAGACCGACGTCGTCGACATGCACGAGCTGGGCGAGCACCATTCGCGCGCTCGAACGCCGTCCAAGTCGTGCATCACGCCGCAGCAGCGCGACTTCATCAAGGAGATGGCCCGTGAAAACCTGATGCCGCTACGCATCCGACACGCTTTGGGATGCAAGTTTGGTCTCCGTCCTGCCGCGCTACCTAGCCTGCGCTCAGTGCAAAACATTGTGCACCACTTTCGTCGAACGCGGCTGGGCGGCAACGACAAGCGCAAGGCGATTGTGGAGGCGATGCGGGCCTCCGCATTTAGTGGACGTGAAGGCGACCACGACGCCTTTACGTTCACTAATGCGTACGATACCTCTGGTCTCCCCGAGATTGGAAACGGCTCAGATGCTGGGCCGTTCTTGGTCGGCATGACCACCAAGGTACTCCTGCGCAACGCCGCGCGGGACGCGAGCACCTTTGTGCTGCACCTCGACGCTACGTTCAAACAGAACAGCGTCGGTTACCCGGTGCTTGTCTGCGGCATCACCGACGCCACCATAGCCTTCCACCTGGTGGCGCTCTTCATCACGTCGCAGCTCCAGTACGAGCACTCTGAAGCCGCGCTCGTTGCGTTGCGCCGCGTGTATGCTCGGGTCAACGGCGCCGAGTGGCAGGTGAAATTCGTTCTTGGAGACGCAGACAAGGCACAACACAAAGCCTTCCGCAGTGTCTTCGCCGACTGCTCATTTACGTACCTCATGTGCTGCTACCACGTAGTGGCAAAGCTGCGCGAGACGACTCGCGGATTGAGCTCGGAGCTCTCTACATTAGTGTACAAGGGCGTTTACGACTTGCACTTCGCGCAGAGCAAGAGCGAGTACGTGGACCAGAAGGCGACCATGCTTAAGGAGTGGGCTGGGCACGCAGACCTCGCCGCCTTCGCCACGTACATGAAGTCCCAGTAACTTCGCGAACTGGCAGTGCTTTCTTACCCCGCCTGGGTACGCCACCACCAACAACCCGGTTGAGCATTTCAACCGGGCGCTGAAGCGTGACTACACGCATCACCGAGAGCTGAAAATGGGATTGCTGCTTGCACAGCTACTCGCATGTTGCGGCCACCGCTTCATGGCGTTGGCTCGATTCGCGCTCGCCCCTGCCTGTGCAACGACCTCCAGACCCGCACACGTGGGCTTCGTCGCCGTGGCCTGCTAAGCGAAAACGTAGTCACCAGATCCAGCATCGACTTTCTCCTTGGCGACGCCGACCCAGAACTGGTACACGTGCGTACACTGCCTCCCGTGAGGACGTTCGTCCCGGAGCTTAACCGTGCGAGAGAGGACATGGCGATTTCCGCCCAGTTCGGCGTCCACTACGCGCGCATGGAGGTCGAGGGCCAGTCTCGCACTGGCTGGCCGGTCGATCTTCGGGCCGCATACTGTCCCTGCAAATACCACTTCAAAATGGGGTACGGCTGTCACTTACTGTTTGCCCAGCAGTCCCGCAGCGTTGTGGACGAGTCTGGCGAGGAAATCCTTGTACACAGGAAGCGAGTTCAAAACGCTGGGCGCCCGCAAAGTATTGGCCACGCTCTCCAGCGTCTGTAGGTAGCAATGATAATAACACACGTTTGCAGCGCTCGCATATCCATTATGCTTGCCATTATCTACACAGTAACAGACTAAACCACACATACAGAACGCAACATGTTAACGACGAAGAGATAACACCCCGGAGTAAAGCGTCCACAACAGCTATTACCTTATTGCACTTACGAGATGATGTCTCGATCCTGCAGCAACCAACATGACGCTCATCGCGTGATGCAGGCAGTCGTCCGGGCAGGCAGCAGCGTCGTCTGCGAGCAGCAGGCAACCGACGCCGCACTCCAGTCCAACTCCAGGCGCTGGTCGCGCCAGCCGCGCGCAACATGCCACCGACGATACTTCTGCCCTGCTGTCCACGCGCAGCAGTCCACGGACGACGCGCTCCGCCCGCGCTGCAGCCACCGACGACACTCCGGCTCCGCAGGCAGCGGGCCACAGTCGACGATCTCCACGCCTCGCTGAAGGCCGTCCACCCAGCCGAGTTCTTGAATGGGGAGCGGGGAAGGGAGGGAGCTTTCGGGAGGTGAGACACTTAAACCTTGACCTAACGACAAGTTGCAACTGACTGACAGGATGCGCCGATGAGCCGTCTCTGTCATGGTGCTGAGCTGGATCCCATTGTGTTTGTCAGGGATCGTATGGTGTTTATGATATTTTGTGTCTAGCCATGCCGGTGGTGACCACGCGCAACAGCCCTATCCTGGCGGATGAAATTCGCTAGACGCGCTCACTCGCTGCCAATCTTCAGGCATCAACAAACTAGGCACTTGGTACATAAACAATCCAAAGTACCTAAATGGAATTTTCAAAATGTCCTTGTTTAAGAATGGCTTCAGGCTCGGTTCTATAGTAAATATGTCGTTGGTACATGTATTTCTCGGTGGTTTTATCTTATCTAGCGCAGTAGCAACTGGGCTAGAACTACTAGAACCACTCATTCCGTCGCCGCTACAATAACCACTGCCACCACCCTCCTCCCGTTACTTTCGTCACTATGCCTTCAAGCTTCGCGCTCTGCTCTGTGCATTTGGCACGCTAATGAAGCTCTCATACATGACAGCTCATTCCGCGTCAGCTGTACCTGCCAAATTATGAGATGGAGCTGGGTCGACCAGGCAATCGTAACAGACCAATATACCAAAGTAATTATTTTAAATAATAAACTAACTACATGTAACCTGGCAATCGACTTATTATCAAATCTTCGTTACCTTACATGGTTTGTGGATACCACAGAACGAGCAAAGAGCAGCTACACAGTACCTGCGCTCTGTTGCGCATCATGGAATTTATCAGATATTATGGGTAACAACTGCTCTCTAGCTTGGTGGACCACCACACAGACTGAAATTCTTGATCGGCGCAGTGTCGGGACTACCCGTGAATTAGTCCCGGTGTGAGAACGATTCACACTCGGCCCCATGAATAAATCTCTTGCCAGGAACACAAAAACTGTTGATAGCGACTTGTAGAACACATTATCTAAATCATATGCTTCACTTGCCTTACTAATATATAGATCTTTGTATGTTGCCTAATTCAAGATTTCCAAAGTGCCGATTTCAAGTCCAAATGGGCATTAGGCACAATATCCTAGTTTGTTGATGCCTGCCAATCGTTCACGGAGCACATCTACAGTACGACTAGCCAAAAGACCGAGATGAGCAGATACATAAGAACACTGCCTCTCTGTCGAGTAGACGGAGATGCTGGTCAGTCTCAACGGGAAGGATTCAATCTCCACAGGCACTGCCTGTGTGTGCCATTCCCGTGGCACATTCCCGTGCCCGCAATCCGGGATGACTGGGCCGACGTGAGACCCTCAGGATCCAGTACATGTACCCAGCTGTAAGCCTTGAGGCACGCATGGCACGTGGAGCGCACCGCTCGGAATACTCGTCGCAGGGTCAAACAGGCAGTCATCCACATTCATCACGCTACTTTCGAGACGACTGTCGTCGACCCGTCGTGCAGGCGTGTCCTTGTCATCCTTTTCGTTTACGGATCCGCCTGATTCCGCCAATCGCAGCGCCCCACGATTGGGATGAGCAGCGATGAGCCGCCGATCCTGACGTGATCACTCACGGTAAAACGTTCGAAAAAAAACGTCCCACGGCCGTGATGTGTGGACCACGGCCGAGACGGGCTTACCGACGGCAAAGTAAACGAGACTGGACCACGGTCTTGCATTGGTAAACGCACTATAGCGTCGAGATGTTGATGCAGCACAGTCCACCCAGAAACGCGCCCCCGTTATCGAGAGCAAGGCGCCGATCAGCAGTGACATTCAAGACACCGCTCCTGGCATTGAGGCGGCGGGCGAGGGGGCGCCATCTTTACACTCGTCGCAGAGCGGTGCACACCACGCGCTGGCAGCCTAGCGATCGGCAGCGCGTCGAGGGTGCTGCCTTCTCACCGAAAACCCAACCGGCGGTTTTGATCGGCCTGGGCACGAGTCATTCCTCAATTACCGGACTTCCAGTCGCACCTCATTCCACCAACCCCGCGCACAACAGCGCCCCCTGATCGCTTCCGCATCTCTCGAGCTGATTTACCCCGTTCAGCATGGCACCCAACGCTACCACCCAGTCTGCACACTCCGGCGACTACACGACCGTCGACAAGGACGCCGTCGCGGCGCATTTCATCTCCAAGTTTGCCGACCTGCAAAGCCACTTCGACGCGCCCACGGACGTGTTCGAGTCCAAGGGCAAACGCTTCCTGGAAGCCACCATCGGCCGCTTCGTGGACCGCAAAGAGCCCATCACGATCGTGCTGCCCGGGTTCCCGACCAAGACACCGAACCACGGCGGCAAGGTGCTGGGCCCGCTGCCCGACCGCGCCGAAGAGCTGGCGCTCGAGCGTCTGGAGCAGTTCTGCGCGTCCATCGAGGAAGTCTATCCGGTCGGCTGCAAGGTCACGATCTTCAGCGACGGCCGCGTCTTCGGTGACCTCGTGGGCGCGCCCCTGGAGAACATCCGCGCGTACAAGAATGGTCTGAAGGAGATCGTGAAGGAAGCGGGCCACACGCACATCCAGTTCGACGGACTCGAGAACTACACCAAGACCGACGACCCCGTGCAGGAGGTGCTGGAGCGCTTCGGCATCAACCAGATGGACATGGACGCCCGCATCGCGAACGAGCCCGACATCGGCAACAACTTCCGCTCCTTCTCGCAGTTCATGGAGCGCGACATGGCCGACCGCTGGGAAGGCAAGTCGGAGGCCGAGATGCGCAAGGGCTGCGACGACGTCGCGCGCAAGATGATGCTGCGCAACGTGGGCTTCTCCTCGCTCGTGGCCGAGGAGTACGCCCACGCGGTGCGCGTCTCAATCCACTGCTACAACAACGCCGGCCCCAAGTTTGGCATCCACCTGCTGCCTGCGAAGCGCATGGACACCCCGCGCACGCCGTGGCACTCAGTTATCTGTGAAGCCATTGACGGCACGGTGCGCGCGATGGATCTCAAGGACGTGGACGAGGACAAGTACGACCTCGTCTACAAGCACGGCCGCATGTGGGGGTTCGTCGAGAGACCTCCGTGCACGCCCGAAGAACTCGCACAATGGGCCCCGCTGCACGTCGAGCTCGTCCGCACCAAAATGTTCATCATCGCGCGCGCCATGGAGGGATTCCCGGCTCCGTCCATCATGGACGTGCCGCGCGAGGCCATCCGCAGCCTCGTGCTCAAGTACGGCGTGGTGACGCTGCGCGGATTCAAGCAGGACGACGACTTCGAGACGGCCACGGAGCGCTGGGGCGACGTGCTGCAGTGGCCCAAGGGCACGTTCGCGGCGGGCAACATCTTCGACATCAAGACGGAGCCTGGCACCGCATTGCCCGCGCAGACGCTCGAGGCCATGTCGTTCCACTACGACGGCATGTTCAAGAAGAAGACACCCGACGCCACGGAGCTGGGCGATGCACCCGTGTTCATGTTCTTCCACTGTGTCGAGGCGGCACCGCCCGAGGACGACCCGAAGCACGGTAACACCATCATCACGGACACGCGCCGCCTGTTGTCGTCGCTGCCCGAGTCGACGGTGGAGCGTCTCAAGAAGATCTCGCTGCAGTATTGCACGTCGCTCTTCAAGCAGCAAGAGTTTGTGCACACGTCTCCCGTGGTGGTGACGCACCCGATGACAGGTGAGCTGGCGCTGCGGTATCACGAGCCATGGGGGCCCGAGAAGACCAAGATGCACCCAACGTACGTGAAGTCGGTGGGCTTTGACCCGAAGTCGAACGACAAGGACGAGGACGCCGACTTCGTCACGGAGACACTGCGGCAGCGCCTGTACTCGGAGGAGTTCGCTCACTGGCACCAGTGGGTGAAGGGCGAGTTCGTGGTCATGGACAACATCTCGCAACTGCACGCGCGCACGAAGCTGGGTATGGGCGGCCGCCACATGCGCCGCATCCACTTCAACTGAGGTTTACCGGACATCTCGCAAGCTGGTTTCTCGATCTGTAATGTGACGTGGTGAGCATTATGATAATCTACGCGCAACGATGCGCTTTTCATATGACAAAGTTGCTCTCTTGGATGCCTATTTCTGAAACATCTATTTTTGAAAGATCGGGGCTATTTAGTTGTGACGGGGTCGATATCGGCGTTATGACGAATGTACTCGAACTTACACCCACAAACTGCAAAGAGTGGTACATCCAAGTTCCTACAGGAAATTATATAATCTGAGGAGATAAGTGATTGAGGTGCGTTGTATTGTATTGTAAACGCGTTACGCGAGCAGTCTTCTCTACGTGTGGTAGGTCGAACATCCGCATGCGTCGGGTTTCTCTCTCTCGTGCTATCTCTCATGTTGTGGCTTCATATCTCTCAGTCGGTAGGCGTGCAGTCGAGGAGTCTGCCAGTGAGATGTCTCCAGCCGGATCGGTCTTGCGCGCAGAGGCGAAATAGGAAGAGGTCAGCGGCTCGTTGGAGGCGGTGACCAAAGGAAAGCGTCTGTAGGTCAGCGTCGAGGACCATGGGGAGCGTCAGTCTCCGCCTGCCTTTCCATCCACCACTGGTGCTAGGGCCGAAGTAGTTCAGAATATATCTGTATGCTGGAATCGTCGGTGGTCGTCGTAAAATGTGACCGAACAGTCTCCATCGAGCCCGAAGGATATGGTATCGAAGAAGCTCGGTGTCTGTGCGCTCGTAGAGTCTGGTCGTTGTAATGGAGTACGGGTACTTGCGGCCAATGACTGTGGGCAGTTGTTGACGGTGAAAAGCTTCAAGGCTGAGCAGGTCGGCGCGTGTTAGGGCCCATGTGCCGCAGTTGTAGAGCAAGATTGGCAGGACGAAGCAGTTGTAGAGGCGGGTACGAGTAGCTTCCTTGGTATTTGTCGGTCGCAACCAGAGTTTCCACATCCGGTGGAGCGCTGCGGTCGGAAGAGTTTTCCGACGGGAGACATCTTCGGCGTCGCCGAGTAGAGATCCGAGTTTGCGCGTGTTGCGCCACGTTTCTTCCTTGGCGCGGTCTGTTCGGTTTGGCTGGGCCGCGAGGCTGCGATGAACAACGGTGTGCTCTGTCTTTGCTGTATTCATCTTGAGGGACCACTTGGACAGAATGGCGGGGGCTTGAGACTTGATCAGGTCGACCGTCGTGCGGTTGGCGCAGACAAAATCAGCGTCATCCGCGTAGACAATCATATTGGCGAGGAGGTCATGCGGCACGTCGAGTTGATCTGCGAGGTCACGGAGAGCTGCTTCTAGATAGACAACAAAGAGAACTGGTGAGAGTGAGTCACCTTGGGGTGTACCTGTATTGCTCTCAAACGGTGAGAGCAGATGGTGGCCATGCCGGACTGAGAGTTGGGTCCCGCGGAGTAGAAGTCGTATGAGTCGGAGCTCGTCGTTGTCGAGAATTGTAGCCAGCACGGAGAGTAGTTTGTCACGATTGATCGTGTCAAAAGCTCGCGTGAGGTCGATCCCTAGGATGTGAAATTGTTCCATGTATCTTTGGGCGCGAGCTGCTATCCACCTGTGAGCCCACACCGCGTCTGCGGTGCTGCGACTGGGATGGAAACCGCTTTGATGTGGCGACAGGTACTGCTCAACTTTCGGTGATATCCTGTTCAGCACCACGAGCGAGACGGCTTTTCGGATGCTGTTCAGGAGGACGATCGGTCGAAGGCTGGAGCAGTGACCAGCAGGTTTGTTAGGCTTCGGTAGGCCTAGGAGGATTCCATCTCCCAGATGGATGTGCTCTCCGATTGACAGTGCGTGGTTGAGGGTTTCGGCAAGCGGCGGAGCTAAGACGTCGGCTCCATACTGCAGTAGCTCGGCTGGGATGGTGTCGGGGCCTGACGCGCGGTCGTTGCGTAGGCGGTTGAACGCGCGTTCAAATTCGGCGGCTGTGATCGGGTTCTGGAGGGCTCGTTGAATGCCGTCCGGGGCAATCGGTTCTCTGGTCGGGTCGATGAATTGTTCTGCGAAGTGCTTTTTGATCCGTTCGCCGGCGCGTGTCTTGCTGAGTATATATTTGCCTGTTGAGTCACATAACGAGGTTAGAGGGGTGCGTCGTCGCTAGAGGGTCTTGGTGGCCTCGAACATTTGCGCAGTGACGGGAGCGTTCTCGATGGCCTCCAACTTGGCGTTGATGGCTTCGCTGGCCAGTACCTTGCTGCGTTCTCGAATCTCATGGAGTAGGCGGTTACGACGTTTTCGTAGGTCGGCGACGTCTTGGGCGTGATCATTGTTGATAAGCTGGCGGAGCCGTCTCTGTTCGAACGTGAGTCGGGCAAGCCCCGGGTCGACGATTTTTGCGTGAGGTATCAGAGGCTGATAGCCGACAGTGTCAGCTGCGGCCTCCAGCGCTATTGCTAGCACTACGTTCCATTGTTGGTCGGCCGATCCTGCCCGCCTTAGCTCGATGAGTCTGTCTGCGAGAGTCCGTCGGTACTCATGACGGAGTTGCGAGTTGTGTACGAGACTGCGGGTTGCGAGGCGGGTGTAGGGAGTGTGAAGCGGGGCACGGCGGTTCCGGCGGAGACGCCGGAGGGCTTGTAGGTAAAGGCGAGTGTCACGAGCTTGTGGTCGGATGGGGTGAGCGTGCCCCCCATGACTGGGCGTTGCGACAAAGTTGCTTGACATGTTGGCTGCAAATGATGTAGTCGATCTGGTTGAAAATGCTGTAGCTTGGGATTCGCAGTGTCCACGTTGTAATGTTGCGCGCTCTTTTCCTGAAAGCAGTGTTAGTGATAAACAAATCATTTGCATCGCAAAACGACGCTAGAATGTGGCCGTTTCGGTTGCGGCGGCATCGACCCCAGGGGAAGGCTCTTGGTCGTGAATCCTGCCCACTTTGGCATTAAAATCACCAAGAATGAATGTCGTGTCTCGTTTGGGTAGCTTGGACGTTGCCGCATGCAGATCTCCGTAGAAGGCGTCGACCTCGGTCAGGGGGTAGCCGCTGTGCGGCGCGTACACGTTGATAACGTTCACACGCTGTCCCCGCAGGGAGGCGAAGCTGAAGCACGCCAACCCGGTCTGATTCAGCCCAATACTTGTACAAGAACCTGCGGAGGTGAGAGGAAACAGCAAAACCAATGCCATGGCGGGGGTTTGATGTCGGTAGAGTTAGCAGCGTGAACGTACCTGCCTTCTGTTCGCTCTGATAGCGAGACGTGTCTCCTGGAGCCCGAGTATGTCGACCTTGTACGCATCCAGGTCGCGTGGAAGCGTCTCGTGCTGCTTGTGCTGTGAACCAAGCGATTGCACATTAAACGTACCTAAGCGGAGATGACGGCATGGCTGCGGCGCAGTGCGCGCGGGGCGGCCGCGCGGTGACTGTGGGGAGATAGAGACTGGTTGAGAGGTGATAGTAGAGAGCGAGAGACCCGTGAAAGACTGGCAGATGCGGTGAAGCACCTGCCGGAAGCGTTGGGCTAGCATCATGCCGGCCCTAGCTTCCCGGGAGGGCGTCACCCCAACCCGACCAGGGTTGAGGTGCGTTACTACAGAATTCTGCCCGAATAAGGAACGGGTGTACAACTAATAGCCTCACATACTTAATATTATTTTCCAGTCGATGTGGCGATAGAGGGATGTGCAAGGTGCTGCAAGGTACTGAGGTACTAAGGTGAAAAATCCAGTGCCAATCATCAGCTCTCCACCCTCGTTTGAAAAATGGCGCGCATTTAGCGATCTTACTAGACTTCAAACTACATGTACCGTAGTGGTAGACTCGCACTTTTGCTTTTGCACCGCGCCCCACAAGCCCACCCCCTCCCCCCACTCCACCCATGAAGTCCACACCGTCCAAGCGTCTCCGCCTCACTTGGTCTGAGAAAGTGGGCATCCTCGACAAGGCAGCCCGCACACCTGCTCTCTCCTACAGAGGCCTGGCTGAGTGGGCTGTGACGGAGTTCAGCCTCCCGGCCGCCCCAGGCAAGACAACGATATGCCGCATAATCAAGTCAAGTGCAGTCCTGCTGGGGCGGCCGCTGGAGAAGGACCAAGGAATCATTCATTGTATTAAGCGACACATTCTATCCCGCAAGATGATGCAGGCTCTAGACCGGCTTGGTGAAGGGCTAGATAATCCCTACGAGGTCGACCAGTTGACAGCGCTGTTGTGGTGCGAGGATACCTGGTCAAAGGTTAGTGCTTCGACCATACGTCACTGTTGGAATCATTCCGGACTCGTAGGTAAAGCTGTTCTTCAGTTCATTTTGAAATAACTAAATCAGTACATTGGAAAAGTATACTCAACTTAACATCAAGTTATTATTCTGCGTCTTTATATATATCAGGCGTTCCTTACTCGGGCAGATTACTGTACCACTATTTCCTCAAACTTCATTTTTACTTCTAAGAGAGAGGGTGATACTCCTCAATAACATCGCACTTCTGCTGGATGGTTAGCCACACACCCTTGATACGCTTCTGGGTGCTCTTAGAACGCTTCTGGAGGCTGGGCGTCCTGTGCTCAGTGCTGCCTTGAGTTTGTCTGTGGAAAAGTGCGCCATGCTTTTGGAGGGCTGCACCAACTACACCATCGACCGCGGCCTGTGCTTCCGCCACGGCGGCGGCAAGTCCTGCTCCAAGCCCGGCTGCACGGCCAGCGCCAAGCACCGCGGCCTCTGCTGGAAGCACGGCGGCTCCACGCTGTGCACGGTGGAGGGCTGCACGCGCGGCGCCAAGTCCCGCGGGCTGTGCTGGTCGCACGGCGGCGGCACCAAGTGCTCGGTGGCCGGCTGCCAGAAGACGACGATCTCCAAGGGGCTGTGCTGGACGCACGGCGGCGGCAAGCGCTGCGCGTTCGAGGGCTGCAAGCGGCCGGCGTCGCAGAGCAAGCAGAACTTCTGCTCCAAGCACCAGCCCAAGAAGCCCAAGGCTAGCCCAGCTACTGGTATGTACGTGCAGTAAGCGCGGAAGTGAAGTCCTTACATTCTAATTGTACATATCTAATATAGCCAACAACATTGTACTATACCACATTTGCTTGTTCTCCTCACTCCACTTGCCGGCGTTTGCTTTCGGCCGGTATTGAGACTCGGGTTTCACGCAGCTCTTTTGTCCAGAACTTGCGGCATACGCTTTGTTCGACGCAGCACGAGCGGGCCGCGCGCTTCTCCGCCGACGTCATTTTGCGCTTGTGTTTGCGCTCCTTGGCGACAGGGTGCTGCGTTGGGGGCACTCTCGCCTCGCGCGCACGAGCCGCTGCCGCCGGCGGGGTCAGCGGACGACTGTCTGCCAGGATAAAGGACAGCGAGAGCTTCGGGGTGGTGGGCGTGCTCGGAGCGTAATGGTGGTGCTGGTGCTGGTGAATCGCCGGGCACGGGTGGAACACCATGGGGTTCGCGGCAGCCATAGGGTTGGGGCGCGCCGGCAGCGCGAAGCTGGTCCACGCACGGAGCGGCGGGAGGGTGACGGTGGCGCTGTTCATGCTCGTCTGTCTGCTTGCAGCTTTCCTGAGCGTTGTGCACGTCTCGGGGTGAATTGGCGAATGCGTCTCCGTCTCAAGCGTGTCGTGTCACGCGTCTCTCTCTGCAAGGGCGAGTCCGCTAGTCGACGGACAGTAACCAAGATGTTGCTGTCTAACGCCAAGCAAGTGCGTGAGCTCTTGGCCGATCCTGCAGCCAGCTAGCGGGGAGCCTCGCAACACGAACAGCACAACCTGTCTTTTTGGGGGCCTTTTTGTATGGGCCGCTGAGCCCAGAAGCAGCGTTTTGCTGTTCATTTCGTGCATCTCATGATAGGGCGGGCGCCCCGAAACGTGGTCACTTCATTCTGCGGCAGACTCTGCCTAGCAGGTGCCTACGTGGCGGCATCGCGCCGAGCAGCTCAGCTCGAATGGGGCTGCCCAGTTTCTTCTGTTCGCTCCGCTCCGATCTCGACAGGGTAGAGGTGTCGTGAAGCCGGCGATGGCGACAGGATGGCGCGGGCTCTGCTGCTCTGCGCGAAGAGGGCTCCGGTTCAACAATAACAGCGATCTCAGCGTGCCGAGCGGGGACTCGTCTTGCTTGGGTAGGTGCCAGTTGTTGAGTGGCGACGCCATCTTGGCCAAGTACACGCACGCTTAATCGATTTCTTGCACAGTTGCAGGATCGGACAAGACGGAGCGTGGTTGCCGGTCCACACACACACGTACACCGAGCTCCAGCTAAGAGCGGTTGCAAAAGTGCCGCTGGGGCAGACTCGTTGTGGACGCTTTGCATCTCCTCTTTGCCTTTAGCAAAACCTTTGCACTGCTTGAACAACCGGCTGGGCCATGCGCGTCCTGAGATAATTTAGATGCGAGTGACCGAGTGGACAGAACAACCACTTCGAGCCTCGCTGCCTGTATGAAGTAGGGGTGCATGTTGTCCTGTGCTGGGTGTCAGTGCCGGCTAAGGCAAGATGGTTGCCTGTTCCTGTATGCGTGTATGCAAAACGATGTGGGGGGGGGGGGGTCGGACTATTTTGCGTCTGAGAGAACAATCGTGATTATGCCCCAGCCCTTTTTCTGGCCGGCGACTTACCGTCCGTGGACATTGATCTCAGGATCCTGCTTCTGTCGCTCGTCCTTCGTCCTTCAAATGGCAAACGCAGGACAAGGCAGCGATGCGATCAACGAAGCGAGTCACCAGGACGCCGTCATATTCTTGATCGGAAGCGAGATCTGTGTTCACGGTCTGATGCATGCATTCATCTATTACGCTCGCGCGAGGATTCATTTGCAGGTGCGGCCGAGTGCGACAGAGGCTCCAAAGTATCCTGTCATCGAGATCGTGTTTGCACCCGCTGCGAACGACCGCTGCGTCCGCGCTCAGCGTCAGTGCTCTGCTGCTTCTGCGAGCTGGTATCTGCCCAGTACCAGTCAGCCTCGTGCCCAGCGGCAATCAGCGTCCTCGGTCGCCGATGCGTTGGGAGCGCAGAGCGACAACATGCTCGCCACTCAATGCCACGGTGAGCACTGCACAGTAGGCAACAGTCTGTACAGTAGCAGCGGAAGCCTACGCCTTTTGTCATCTCATGCTGTTCGTGCCGAGCACATCGTTGCGGGATGCGTGACGCCCGAAATCTTGCGCTGTTCGTAGCGCGATTGGCCGAACCAGCTGCTCTGCGTCCAGAGACCTGTCCACAGGATAGGCCGAGAGCCGCCGTTAGACAGTGTCGCGCATACTGAAGCCAAGTGAAGCGAGTGCCGGCCGATCCGCACCGACAAAGCTCGCCACGTGAGACCGCGCATTGATGCATTTCCTCATTCTCTCGATCCGCCGCACTCGCGCGTTCCCACATGACCAACCTCTCGATAGCGTTGCCCCCTCTGCCGGTGTTCGCCGCCTTCGCCGCGAGCGACCGCCGCCTGGACCTGGCCTCGCCCACGACGCCCGTGAGCACGCCCAAGCTCTCGCTGGCCTTCATCCTGGACGATTGCAAGGCGTTGCAGTCGCCCTGCAGCCCCGCAATCGTCCACCAACAGCAGCAGCAGTCGTCGTCGTCGCCCACACAACGCAGTCCCAAGCGCAAGCTCTCGGCCACCGAGAAGCGCGCGGCGCGCCAGTGCTGCGTCGAGGGCTGCACCAACTACACCATCGACCGCGGCCTGTGCTTCCGCCACGGCGGCGGCAAGTCCTGCTCCAAGCCCGGCTGCACGGCCAGCGCCAAGCACCGCGGCCTCTGCTGGAAGCACGGCGGCTCCACGCTGTGCACGGTGGAGGGCTGCACGCGCGGCGCCAAGTCCCGTGGGCTGTGCTGGTCGCACGGCGGCGGCACCAAGTGCTCGGTGGCCGGCTGCCAGAAGACGACGATCTCCAAGGGGCTGTGCTGGACGCACGGCGGCGGCAAGCGCTGCGCGTTCGAGGGCTGCAAGCGGCCGGCGTCGCAGAGCAAGCAGAACTGCTGCACCAAGCACCAGCCCAAGAGACCCAAAACTTCAACCTCGGCGCAGTGAATACCTAGCAACTGTAATCTAAAGTACACAACTATTTAGCACTTGAACTCCACGTGCTGTATCAGTACGGTATGCACAGTACGTAAATACATGCAGTTGCCGTGAAGTTTTGTCACGCTGACGTATGTCCAACTCTCGTCCACTGCAAGACCTGAAGTACATGTATTGAAGTCAAGTTGACGTAGTTTAGCTGCAGCATACATCTTGAAAACAATACCAATATTACGTATAGGATACAGGATGCCTTAGTATCAACTTCTCCGTTTCTGACATGTGTGAGCACATTTTTCAGGTCGCGAACAATTGAAACGAGGAATGTGTACATATCTGCGTTGACTTTTGTGCGGGGGCGCAGAAAAGACTGGGGTACATGCACTTTAGCTGACGTGATCGAGTTGAGCGCAAGTGCATGTGCACTGTACCGTACGCGAGCAACCGGCTGTGAGTCACCGACACTTGCCTCAGGCACTGTACTACGCATCGGTCGCCAAGCCAATAGATTCTACTCCGCTGGCCTTGTTGAAGATGAGGCGTTGCACCGAACCTGCGAGATTGACACCAAGCCGATCGTCGCACGAATGCGAAGTTGAGGCTGTGTTCACTTCATGCTGAAGGTGAAGTCGACTCCGCATACAGTCATAGCTCGAGTACGTGAAGTTGAACGTGGCGGTCGAAGTAGGGGGGTGGGGCTTCTTGGGAGCGATTCGAAAGCTTCAGCGGTTGGAAAGGCAGATGAGCACTGGGCAGGGACACCTTGTCCCATTCGCGTAGCCCTGCGTTGAAACGGAACTTGATGTGAACGGTGACGAAGTTGGGACCCGAATGTTGAAGTTGACACTTGTGGGCTTAAAAGATGGCTTGCCTTACTTCAACTCGAAAGGATCGGGCTCCACTCGCCTGCACGCCTACTTCCACCGGTAGGCGCCAAGCGGCTCACTCCCTGAAGTCACCTCCAGCTAAATTCACCTGCAATACAAGAATATGGTTTCAGCAACGACACTCGACCACCGCTACTCGTCACACAACACACTACGTACAGCTCGACGTAAGTCACGGTACTCAGCTGCTCGAAGTGCATTTCGCACAAGTTGCCCGTGCGCTCGTATGCCGGTTTGACGCAGCCGTCATAACCGCAGCGCTTGCCACCGCCATGCGCCCAACAGTAGCCGCCCGACACAGCCACCTTGGAGCACTCGCTGTTGCGGCACTTGGTGCCTCCACCATGCGCCCAGCACCGCCCGCGAGCTTTCGCCTTTTTGTCGCAACCGTGCTCTCGGCACTTCACGGATCCGCCTGACAGCACCAAAAGACAACATTCGTCAGAACTCTGGCGTTTTTGCTTCGAACTGATGGATAGTTGACTGCTCACCATGTTTCCAGCACAGTCCAAGGTGTTTGGCACTTGTGGAGCAGCCTTCTCGAATGCACTTCTTGCCTCCCTAAAAACAATTAGTCTTCTGCAACAACAATCATTTCACGCCCGACGTACCCCGTGACGACAGCAGAGTCCTTTGTGCACGATGTAGTTGCGGCAGCCCTCGTGCTTGCACGTGCGGCGGCGCTTCTTCTCCTCCTTACTCAGTTCCGCCCCCTCCTTCGTGCCAGCATCTTTGGCCTTCTTCCCACCTCCTGCTGGAGCTGCCACGCCGACCGTCTCAGCCAGCGCTGACTGAGATCGGCACCGGGTGGGAACGTTTAATATGAACGGCAATCCAAACTTGGCTGCTTCCGGCTCGAGTCCTTGGGCGCGTTGTGGAGGTTGCGGACTCTCGTCGCCAGCGCTATTGAGCTCGCCCGGGTCCAGCTCCATGGTTGGCTGGCCGAAGTGCGCCCTTCACCGCGAAGCGCAAACTGATCTGTGCTTGAACATTATTATTTGGTCGTCGCTTTCGCGGTCCAAAAACGGCTGTCCCACTGATTCGCGAAGCGAGAAAAAGGTTTGTTAAGCCCGGCACTCGTATTTGAGCTAATACAGTACTGACTTGAGAACACAACTTCGACTGCGGCAATGGGAGGAGGAGTTGGCAGCGTCCCAGCGCCGTTAAGCAGCGGTGGACTCACGCATCCCGTAGTCTCGGTGGGGATCTGAGTTGCGCGGTGCGAGGAAGCAAATCGGCGAGATGGGCATCATTGTGCGTGCGAGCTGTAAAGACAATTGCCGTGTTCTCCGCGCAATTATCGACTGACTTTGGCCTTGCGCTTGAGAGCCACGTTATCCCATAGCAAACAAGCCTGCTCAACAAGTTGTGTAGCGCGAGCTGCAATCCATCCATTGTGGAGCTGCTGGGATGTAGGGTCCCACGACGGATTTCGGTGAGTCGAGTGAAAAGCAGCGTCGCGAACCAAGGCCTGGACATCTGCGAGATCAGATCGGTAAGGCACGGCTGTTGGACGCTGATACAGTTGTGTTACTCATCGACTGGGTGGAACGTAGGGTGGTCGAGTCATTTACGCTGAAGCTGTAGGAAGCGCTGAGCAGGACTGCTATCAAGCGAGGCTTTTCTAAAAAGCGGTGGATTGGCAAATCTTCTTTTCACTGGACACGATATTCTTTCCAGAGTGAGTGCCTGGCGAGTATTCGGACGGAGTAAGCGGAACACAACGGAGTGCAGTGAAGAGAAGCGCAGTTTGAAGGATACTCGGGTTTCCTCTGCACCTTTTCAACTTCAAAACTGCAAATTGTAAGTTCAAAACAGCAAAAGGTAAGTTCTCGTTTGCCCCCTACGATGCCGCAATGAAGGAAATATACATTTTCGGTGGTCGGCATGCTCAAATCGGCTTCACGTACGTGGCCTCGATAACTTGCAGATATTGCTGAGGCGGAAGCAGTTAGCGACGACCAACCCGTGAAAAGCCTTTGCACCTGACTGAAAGCAAGCAAGCACGTGTGACATTGCAGTGATAAATACACACAATCTGATGGAGATACTATTGTAAATGAGAATCTCGATCCTTCCTTCTACTAAACTCTACCTGTACGATCGGTCCTAGGCAGCTTTACTTTCGCCACAGCTGCAGTCTGCTGTCAACTGACCCTCTCTTCTCTTGACTCGCATCAATTCACCTGGCAAATACACACGACACGACTGCGTCAGCCTGGGAGGACAAGGCTACGAGACTCAACCCAATCGTACGCACAGCTCATAGTAGTTGGCGTGACGCAACTGCACAAAGTGCTTCTCGCACAAGTTGTGCGTGCGTTCGTATGCCGGTTTGATACAGTTCTTGACCTCGCAGCGCTTGCCGCCGCCGTGCGCCCAGCAGAATCCGTTGGAGACGGCCACCTTGGCGCACCCGGTGTTGCGGCACTTGGTGCCTCCGCCGTGGGCCCAGCAGAGCCCTCGCGCCTTGGCCTTCTTGTCGCAGCCGACCTCCTTGCACTTTACAGAGCCGCCTAGCATACAGCAACATTTACAAGACAGACACAGACACCACAGTCAAGCGTCCTGTCAGCCCTGCTCCGAGTCGGCCGTCCAGTCGGTCGGCAATAGCACTGGAAGTAGCCTCTTGTTGCGTCCAACTGACCGTGTTTCCAGCACAATCCGCGGTGCTTGGCGCTGGTCGAACAGCCCTCCAGCGTACACTTTTTGCCGCCCTGCGAGCCACAGTGGACAGAGGGGCCAGTAACAAGTGTCCGCGTGAGTGTCACCATCGCGTCCACGGCCCCGGGACGGACCCCACGTGGCTGACTAAGCAGTCCCACACGCAGACACAGACAAAGAGAGAGACAGAGACTCACCCCGTGGCGACAGCAGAGCCCCTTGTGCACGATGTAGTTGCGACAGCCCTCGTGCTTGCAGGTGCGGCGGCGCTTCTTCTCCTCCTTGCTGAGCTGCGTCGCGCTGCCGCTGGAGCTGATGGCGCCCACAGATGCGGCCGCGGCCGGCACGTTGAGGATGAAGGGCAGGGCGAACTTGTGCTCGTCGGGCGGCGGCGTGGCCGGTTCCGGCTCGAGCGCGTCTGGCGGCTGCAACGCCCTGTCAAAGTCGCTCAGCTCCATTGAGATCCGTCTCCAGCCTCGGTGGTCTGTCAGGAAGGGCAGCCCAAGCCTCAAGCTCAAGCTCGCTCGGCGAATGAGGCCATGTCGGTCGGTCTCTTCACGGTACCGCGGCGCCTTCGAAATTATTTGGTCCGTGGATCGGCTGCGGCGGGCCAGAGACGCGCCTCATTCGGCCAGGTCCCACTCTGCCTTATTATTTACGACGAACCGAAAAAAAGGGGAGCGGACCAAACCTGTCGGACCAAAATGCGCTTGGAGGCGAGCGAAAAGCGAGTGAAGGCTTGGCACACTCGGGAGAAAGACGCAGCGGGGCGTCAGCGCTACCGCTCAGAGCGCGCAATGGTTGAGTGCATGGGGTTGTGCTGACGTCCTCAGAAAGGCCGACCCTCGAAAGTCTCGCCTGCCATTGGCGCGCGTCCCTCCGGGCTCGCTGTCCCGGCGTGGAGGAGAATCTTGCCGCGGGGTTTGCCGCCAACCGTTTCCTCCGATGCAGCCCTGGACGCGAAAATCAGCTCGACTCGGTTGGCCCGCGTCCTGTTCTCGAAGAAGACTGCGATGCGTTGGGCGTTTCGTGGGTCATACCTGATCGAGACCAGGACTCTTCCTTCGTACAAAGCTCGACCTTCGCCTGGACTGAACTAACCTGGCCATGTGTGTGTGTACAACGGCCACGAAAACAACCGTGTCCGCTTAACAGTCGGCATTCCACCCACAGTAATTGAAAGCTATTCTTGCCTTGTGCTACATTTAACTGCGCTGTGCTGGCTGATCGCACAATCGCAGCGTACACTCGCAGCGGCGAGTGGCTAAGAGCAGACCGAGATTGGAGCGCAAAATACATTCAAAGAGGTCGCAACTTCAAGGATTGGTTCAAGTGTGGCAGGACTTACGTACACAGTCTATTTTCGGTGATATCTTGGAGTTTTGTATAGGCAGCCCATCACCCCACAATGTGACGACCTTCCCGCAGGTCGGATGTCATGCGCGGGAAATGGCTTTGCTCCGCTGCGCTCCGCAAAGGCAGTCGCTGCGCTCCTGCGATAAAAAGATTCTCTCACCTGGCGAGAACAGTGCTCGGCTCGCTGGAATGCTCGTCGCTGGGCCCGCCTCCGCAAATACCGCGCGGCCCTGCTACGCGGGCACCCCGCGCGGGTTTGCTGCGGCTACGCTCCTCGCAACCGCGAGCCTCCGTTGGTCCTCTTCTATATCACATTCACCCCCCCCCCCTCGACCCCCATCAAAAAAGACTGTGTACGTAAGCACTCTCGTTCAAGTATGGCCTTGCAGAGGTTGATGGCCTCAGAAAACCAAGAACACTTTTTCGCCGCTTGCTGCTTTGCGCAGGAGACGAAGCCGGATGGTGACAACGCTCTCGAGGGCTTGTTGTGCGTTGCTTTCCGCGCTGAAGACCAAGACCCAAGACGGAAGTGGGAACTCGTTGCTCTTCGCACTACTGGAAAGCTACCCGAAGAACCTGTCGAGTCGTGTGTCAGCAAGCTCGCAGGTGGAGTGTACGTTGGGTTGGGTGTCTTCGCACGCGCGCGGGCTCTGCGTCGACACTGACATCTGCATGGGCAGACTTCATATTGTGGTTCGTTGAGAGGATGTTAGCCTGACGCTGGAGCAAGCACAGAATGCTAAGTCGTTGTTCCCTACGAGTGGATTTCATCCGAGGAAGGCACTTCGACACTACAATAATCCGGACAGCTATGTGCTAGGTCTACGGGATGGACTTCATGGTGCTGGGCCTCGGCGGTCGGAGTGGAGTCGAAGGTCGACGAGTAGCCAAAAACCAGTGCGTCGTTTGGCGTAGGTGATTGAGAGCTCAAGCAGCAACATGCGAGAGGCGAATGGTGTTTGAGCTGAGAGGGAGCACTGCTGACAGCATATTTGGTGTTCGGTGCTAGTGCGGGTTTTCAGCGATTCGAGTTACAATATCCTGTTGAGCGACAAAAAGGCCATGGAGCATGTACAGTACACTCGTCTGTCTTCGCTGCACGGACACTCATCAAAGCGTGTGAAGATGCACCGTGCAGTGGTAGAGTTCATTTTACGAGCGAGTTGAGTTCGGCCCACGTCGACCTGCCACATGATCGAGTGATCGCCGTTCTCTGATCGGATAGTCGTCTCCAGACCGCAAATATTTTCATCGGCGATCGAGTGCGTGGGTGGCAACTTTTTGGGTTTTGGTTGTGGTAGCGATGTGAGTACTTGCATCGACCTGTCGGATTGTTGAAGGCCGCGTAATGGAGACACGTCAATATTTTTGCCTCGTGGTTTTGAGGGCAAAGGTACACTGTGATCACAAAATAATCCGACGGTAAAACAGAAGCTTTACAAGCTTGCCGGCAAAACATGCATAGCACGAGCTGCTCGGTGGCCCATAGCAACGTTATCCGATGAAAAAGAGACCCGAGCATTGCCAGCAAAATGACAATAGGACCAATTGTGGAGATAACACCGCAGCCGTTTGTCGTCAGCGTCGCCGACTATAAATTCGGTGGATATGATTGCCAGAACGACACACTTCAGCTCACACGGCTAGTGAGTGTCCTGAGGCGGCTGCAAAGTGGGAACGCAACATGGGTGGTCCGGCATCTCGTCGCATAGGCATGCAAGGTCTGACTCAGTGCCCTTTTGGTACGTGCACATGTATCGCGCTCATTTCAGGCTGAACGTCGCCGAGGCGGAAGAAGGAAGAGCTGCAGCGTCGACCATTTCTTCCTGTCCCGAGATACCCTTGCCTTGTCATGCAGGTAGTACGAGGAAACTGTAGCAAGCCGGCGGGGGCTTTACACGATCCCGCCGGATTGGGCGCTCACGTTTCGGGGCTCGCAGCCTGCGAGTCGCAGGTGCAAGCAAGACCTGCCAGAGTGGGACTTGCGTCCATCAGGCCAATCTGGACCTCAACCTGGACGACCCAATTCTGAGTTGGCCCTGCAGTGCCTCATTTGCGGCGAGGATCGCACCGGAGACCGTAAAAATGGAGGTGGGGCCCGATGAGCTCGATGCAGCCGCCTCCGAGAGCGGCCAGGGCCAGGAGCCCCTGCCAAGCCTTGACGAGCACACGAGCAAGTTCGGCTGCCCTTCATTCTGGCGCCGACTGAGACTCTCGTGGCCGCACCAGTGGGCGGCATCAGCTCTAGTGCCACTAGCAGTGGCAGCGCGAAGAAGGGCGCGGTCCAGCTGAGCAAGGAGGAGAAGAAGCTCCGCCGCACGTGCAGACACGAGGGCTGCCGCAACTACATCGTGCACAAGGGGCTCTGCTGTCGCCACGGGGTACGACCCACCCTTTGTGCTGTGATTAATTACATCAGGCGTGGAACTGATTTTGTTGATAATATTATCGTGCATTCGTTAGGGCGGTAAGAAGTGCTCGCTGGAAGGGTGCAACACGAGGGCTCTGCTGGAAGCATGGTTAGTAGTGCACTACTAATTGAGTCAGGTAATACCTATATGTGAAATAGTTGAGGGTGCTGAGTCTGTTGTGTTTTGCTTCACATTGTTCGGTAAATCAGGCGGCTCGGTAAAGTGCAAAGAGGACGGCTGCAACAAGAAGGCGAAGGCGCGAGGTCTATGCTGGGCCCATGGTGGAGGTACCAAGTGCCGCAACGCCGAGTGTTCCAAGGTGGCTGTATCAAACGGATTCTGCTGGGCACACGGCGGCGGCAAGCGCTGCGGAATCAACGGCTGCATCAAACCGGCGTACGAGCGCACGCACAACTTGTGTGAAGCACACTTTGTGCATTTGCGCCACGCCAACTACTTTGAAGTGTGCGCATTATATCATTGGGTGGTCTTGCTTTGTAGATGAGAAGTTGTCTGACGCAGGAATTGTCTGTCTGCTCGGTGGGTTTGTCAGGTAAGCATCATCTAGCCGAAGGAAGCATCCATGGTAAACTACACTAACCTGTTCGTAAAAAAAATAGTCAACGTGCTGACGGGCGTCAACTCCTACTTCAGATTGATTCACTGCCTTTTCACGATATCAACAGACTGGAAATGGCGTGTCATCTTTGTTTAGCTCGCGGTTTGCTGCACTCGTCCGCTCCGACCGCGATTGCTTGCCAACTGACGGTGCAACTGAATAGCCGCCATGATACTGAAATGAAGCACGCTAGCTGACGCACGCAAGACAACCGCCATCTCGGTTGAATTTTCAGATTGATATACGATAGCAGTAAAACTTCGCGCACATGTCAACAACGGGCAGATAAATGTCCAAACCCACAGACTCACGAGCCGTTGGATACGTCAAATTATGCATGTTGTTATCAACTGAACACTGTTCGCAGACCGACGAGCTAGTACTTCGTGGTCATAGAAGACGTCTTCCGGAGGAAACTCTGGAAGATGTCACTCCTTTGCCAGCCGCACAGTCGACGGTGATGCTTCAAATGAAATGGTCGGGGAGGGGGGGGGGTTATGTAGCCAGCGCTGCAGCCGTGATCCGATCTTTATGCGTTCGTCGTCATGAGCCGCCGCACTCAACTCGCCTGTAAAGTGATGTTTTACCATTTGCATGTGCATCTTCACACGTTTGATGGGCGTACGCACGGCGAAGACAGGCGTTTGCACTCGGCCTTTTTGCCGCTCAGCAAGATGTTGTAGCTCGAATCGATGAAAACCCGGACTGTTCGCAACGGAGTCCCATCTCAGCGCACACACCATTTGCCCCTCACCACCCGCTGCTCGAGCTCCCATTCGCCAAACTACGCAGCAGTTTTGACTGCTCCTCGACGTTCGACTCCAGTCCAGCCACAGAGTCCCAGGACCCATGGGGCTATCCCGTAGACCGAGCACATAGCTGTCCAGATTAGTATCGAAGCGTCGTCCTCGGATGGAGTCCACGAAAGAAGCAACGACTCAGCATGTTCGTGCTTGCTGCAGCGTCAGGCGAGAGTCTACCCAAAAAACCACATCTCCAAGTCTGTCCACGCAGAAGTCAGTGTCGCCGTAGAGCCCGCGCGCGTGAGAACACCCCTCTTATTCCCACAAACTTGCTGACACTAGAGCTTGGATAAGTTCTTGGAATGGTCTTCTTGTAGCGCGGACAGCAACGAGTGCCAATTCCGCCTGGGGTCTTGGTCTCATCGGCACGAAAGCAGGCGCACAACAAGCTGCTGAGAAGGACGCCACCACTCAAAGAGCAGCACTGAAGGTTCATAAGAAGTGACCTCGGTTTTCTGAGGGCCATTGACCTCTGCAAGGCCAAACTTGAAGCTGTTCTTGAAGCTGCGATCTCTTTGAATGCATTTTGCGCCCTAATCTTAGCCTGCGAGGCTCGTAGGCTAAGAGTCTTACCCGTAGCCCGCGTTGCGATTGTGCGATCAGCCAGCCAGCCAGCCAGCTGGCTGGCCAGGCCAGCGCAGCTAAATGCAGCACAGTGCAAGGAGAGCTCTCAATTACTGTGTGTGGGATCAGATCTGCTATCCAGTGCTGACTGTTAAGCGGACATGGAGTTCTCGTGGCCGTTGTACACACACCGCCAGTTAGGTCAGTACAGGTGAAGGTCGAGCTATTTACGGCTGAAGACCTGGTCTCCACCAGGTAACCACAGCGAAACGCCGAAGCGAAGGGCTCGAGAATGGGAGCCAGGCCACCAACACGCACCCGCACCACGTAGACGCTCAGAGTCGAGATGACATTCGACCCCGCTTCGACGCCTTGCATGCCCAGTCCAAATTCATCGGAGGAAACGGTTGGCGGAGGGCAGCGAGCCCGGAGGAACGCGCGCCAATGGCAGGCGAGACGCCTGATTTCACCAGATCGGCGTGGTGGCATTTGTATCTTTCGGGGGTCGACCTTTCTGAGGACATCGAAGGGGGGCGGCTCAGCCTCATGCACTCGGCCGTTATTGCGCACACATCGACACCCAGCTAGCTCCATTTTCTCCCGTGGCCAGCTCACCGCCCTCACTCGTCCGCTTTTCGCCGCCAAGCGCATTTTGGTCCGACCGCTCCCCTTTCGTCGTAAATAATAAGGCAGAGTGGGACCTGGCCGAATGAGGCGCGTCTCTGGCCCGCCGCAGCCGATAGTGGGACCTGGCCGAATGAGGCGCGTCTCTGGCCCGCCGCAGCCGATCCACGGACCAAATAATTTCGAAGGCGCCGCGGTACCGTGAAGAGACCGACCGACATGGCCTCATTCGCCGAGCGAGCTTGAGCTTGAGGCTTGGGCTGCCCTTCCTGACAGACCACCGAGGCTGGAGACGGATCTCAATGGAGCTGAGCGACTTTGACAGGGCGTTGCAGCCGCCAGACGCGCTCGAGCCGGAACCGGCCACGCCGCCGCCCGACGAGCACAAGTTCGCCCTGCCCTTCATCCTCAACGTGCCGGCCGCGGCCGCATCTGTGGGCGCCATCAGCTCCAGCGGCAGCGCGACGCAGCTCAGCAAGGAGGAGAAGAAGCGCCGCCGCACCTGCAAGCACGAGGGCTGTCGCAACTACATCGTGCACAAGGGGCTCTGCTGTCGCCACGGGGTGAGTCTCTGTCTCTCTCTTTGTCTGTGTCTGCGTGTGGGACTGCTTAGTCAGCCACGTGGGGTCCGTCCCGGGGCCGTGGACGCGATGGTGACACTCACGCGGACACTTGTTACTGGCCCCTCTGTCCACTGTGGCTCGCAGGGCGGCAAAAAGTGTACGCTGGAGGGCTGTTCGACCAGCGCCAAGCACCGCGGATTGTGCTGGAAACACGGTCAGTTGGACGCAACAAGAGGCTACTTCCAGTGCTATTGCCGACCGACTGGACGGCCGACTCGGAGCAGGGCTGACAGGACGCTTGACTGTGGTGTCTGTGTCTGTCTTGTAAATGTTGCTGTATGCTAGGCGGCTCTGTAAAGTGCAAGGAGGTCGGCTGCGACAAGAAGGCCAAGGCGCGAGGGCTCTGCTGGGCCCACGGCGGAGGCACCAAGTGCCGCAACACCGGGTGCGCCAAGGTGGCCGTCTCCAACGGATTCTGCTGGGCGCACGGCGGCGGCAAGCGCTGCGAGGTCAAGAACTGTATCAAACCGGCATACGAACGCACGCACAACTTGTGCGAGAAGCACTTTGTGCAGTTGCGTCACGCCAACTACTATGAGCTGTGCGTACGATTGGGTTGAGTCTCGTAGCCTTGTCCTCCCAGGCTGACGCAGTCGTGTCGTGTGTATTTGCCAGGTGAATTGATGCAAGTCGAGAGGAGAGGAAGGCTCGATAGACATCAGAGTGCGGCTGTGACAGCAGCTTGGAGCGAAAGAAGCTACCAGAGCGTTGATCAGACTGCATGCGACAGCGACCAGCGGAAGAGGTTGCAGCAACTACGTCGCAGGATCCCTCATTAGGCGGACGTTCACCTGCTTCACTGCACGGTGTAAGCACTAAATAGCTTGCTCAAACGACATCTATGTCGTTAGATTACTGTTTGCCAAGACGTAGAAATACAGACTGGAGTGATTGAGACTGGCGAAGAAAGCGACCGCCGTGGCAAATCCTTTCCTGTAGTTGAAGTGGTAAGTTAGCTGTCGGAAGGTTTATCGATTCAAAACTGTCAAATCTCGAGTTGCAAAATAAAATCGACAGCGCACGACAATATGGAACGTCGCTTTACCAAACCTATGAACCGCTGGACGAAACAAACAAGTCAGCGCATTTACAGGGCGTCGTGCCACAGAAGACGCAACGTTTCGTTGCCCATGAATCCTTCTCACGTTGAGAATGCCAACTCTAGTGAAAGAACAAGTTCTCTGCTTCAAGGGTACCTTCCATTTCATGCATTGGCGTCAGATTCTGACTCAGAACGAACGTCCTTGTGCACCTTTTTGTTAGCTGCCCCGATGCCATACACGCACATGAGTGAGATGTCAAACATGTATGGTTCAACTCTCGATAGTGTTGATGTAGTCATAAAGCAGTGCTGGTTTGAACGTGGTAGGAAGCACCGACAATGCAGGCCGCTCTGCCTTCGCCTATGATAGAACATAGATTTATTCAACTGTTCACCCGTGAAGCTCCTACAACGTCGTCGTTCTCTGTTGGTCGCCTACAGAACGCTTGCGCATTCCATCCACTTTATAAATCAAAAATGGAAATGACGTGATAAACATGCCCCCTCACTCTCGAAAATTAATTAAATAATTGCCGATACCGATGAATTTGGATGGGGGGCCCCGGGGTCCCGCCAACTGTTTCATATTCCCCGTTAACCATGCACGCATATATCAAACGAGCTCTGGGTTAGTACCTGCGCGCCACTTTCTGCTTTATACCCCACAACGACCCTGCGTACATTAACTCTCGCAGACAGGTACACGATGTTATCATGAGGAAAACAATCGAGGTGCCGAGCTCACCCGTGCAAGTTGTAGATTACGGCAATACGAATAAGTTAAGGGCAGCGTTGCAGATTGCTCAAACGGCCCCAACTGTATGAAGCGGTCATGAACTCGCCGGAGGATCGGCGGCGGATATTTATGAGCAACAAGATTGCGGCATGGTCTGTGGACGAACGACTGGAGAAATCAGGTCTACATTCTTGACTAAAAGTTCGTGAGCGCCCTTTTCGTCACCTTATCCCCAGTCGGGCATTTTGCTAGGACAAACCGAAAAAATGCTAGGACAAATCCGAAATTCACGGACGTAAAGTATAGTGTACCATACAAAGTCGTGCTGAGCACGAGGAAGCTCTGAAATTTCTAGTGCGACGTTGGCATGGCTAGAAAGCTACATCGTGAGAGGTAGCAACGATGAATAGTGTAGGAGGGCAACAGAACAGCAAAAGCTAGTTATTCTCACTTACTACTGATTCGTAATACTGCACTAAGTCCTCGGGTTTGTCCGTCGTAGTCGCCTCTGCGGCAGTGGCGATAGTGTTATTCACTAGCGTGGTGCTGAGCATCGTGGCGCAATTGTTCTCCACGTAAGTATTGATGGGGTTCTTGCACAGCGCCTCGAGGTCTTCTTGGGTGTGGATGTTGGCCGTCGCTGTGGCCCACGAGATGGATATTCTTGATGGACCCGTCCGCGTACTCCTCGCCCCTTTCCGGGTAAAGCCCGTAGCAGGAGTCGTAGTTGACCGAGCGGGCTGCGCCGTAGTGCGTGACCCCACATTTGATCTGCGTGCGAGAGCCATGAGCATGAGCCTCGCAGCTGCTACGATGATAGGCCCCAACACCCAGCTTTGGGTTGCTCAGACCTTCGCAGAACGCGAGCATCTCCTCGACCACCATGTTCTCGCCAGGCCGACGCGCCCGATACGGCGCGTGGAGATGGCGCCACGGTGGACACGAAGGAGAAACGCTGCCCGGGCAGCCCACGCGCGGTTGACCTTGTTGACCACGGCCTTGGGTTGGGCTTGCGCCTGGAATTTTCAGGGCTCGGACCCTACGGGATAAACAGGAAGTTGCATTTATCCCAAGAAAAACCCACGCCATAAATTACCGTATAAATTACTTACGGATGCGGGTTGCGCGAAGATGGACCAGGGTCAACATTCACGTGGATGATTCATAACGGCAAGATGTATACGATATAACGGGTTTTACAAACTGCTCTGCATCGATAACTGCGTATTGTGTAGTCTTATCTATAAAATGTCCGGACAATCAGACCCTTTAAATTACGAAGCCTGTGTTTTTTTATCAAAAAACTCTATTTATGAAGTTTGAGAAATGGGTGACCCGTACAGCAGATGTAGCATTCAAGCAAAGAGGGCGTTTGCTATAGTCTAATATATTCAAACAGCGCGGAAAGTGGTATCACCGGTAGACTCTGAAATAAATTTCAGAGAATATTTGTCCTAGAACAACATCAGCGTAAGCAAGCAGAACAGGCAAAAAATGGAGAAAAGTCAACACAGAGCAGTGGCGGATGGAACAGGTTCGTGAAGGCGGTGTGCAAATGACACAAATGGGGCAGCCACTAATGCGAAATAACTTTGCTAATCATGGATATATTGTACCGTCTAGGACAAAATTTGTGGTACACTATATTGAAATCAAGTAAAAACCGATTTTGTCCTCCCGTTTGTCCTAGCAAGAGGGCCGACTGGGGTTATCGTAACGGGCTGATCGTATTCTGGTGGTGTCGAAGGTCCGTCTAACAGTGCGCCTGTCAGACGCCACTATCGATCTGTCGCCTTAAAGAATATAATAGCACGGTTTGAGTTTGGACATTTGAGCGTGGCGTTCATACTCCAACCCCCGTCAAGTCTTTCCTAGAAGCGCAAGGTGGGTCTTGACAAGATGACGGTCTCATCAAACGCGCAAGCTGACTCCGATAAACTAAGTTATGCGTTTTGTGGGTTTACAGGTATGGAACTACGATTGCTCGTTCAAGGCCGAAGGAACAAGTGACGACTTTATCAGCAGTCGCTCAGTTGAAGTTGGTTAACGAGGGAGTGGAGTTTCTGTGTTCGACGAGCCTCGTTTGCTGGATTACCTACTCGAAGGTGCGTACAGGGGGGGGGGGGGCTCTCTGTCAGTACTAAATGCTCCCGAAGCTCCATTCTCACAAGGGTAAATCGAAGATCGGCATAGGTGTGTCTGTTAACAGGGGCACCAATGCAGGCGAGTACGTGGACTGTATGCTGAACTTGAAAGCATTTAACGGTGGATGATTTACATGCAATTTAGTTCCGTTGCCATTGCATTTTCTTGTATATATTGCAGGAGCCTCGCCGCGCCCGTCAAACGTGCAAGATCTCTCTTCCATCCTTCAGCTGATCGTGATGCTTGACGCAGTAGTTGTGTGTGCGTTCGTACGCAGCCTTCTTGCAGCCTTCGTACGCGCACCGCTTCCCTCCTCCGTGTGCCCAGCAGCAGCCGTTCGACACGGCCACCTTCGTACAAAGTGGCGTCGAGCACTTGGTGCCTCCTCCATGCGCCCAGCACAGACCCCGCGATTTCCCTCGGCGCTCGCAGCCTTCCACAACGCACTTCACAGACCCGCCTTGTTAATTCGTCGATCAACCAGAAAAAAATGAACACCTAAGTCGCAAACCACGAATGATAATGTAATTGCAGGACTGCTCGTACTCACCGTGACGCCAGCACAGCCCCGCGTTCTTGGCACTGGAGCGACATTCTTGGACGGAGCACTTCTTGCCGCCCTGCAGCAATGTGCCACAAAGGTTGAAATAAGTATCTGCACACCCCTATCGTATTACCTTTTATGCAAGCAAGCAACGCACCCCGTGGCGGAAGCAGAGGCCCTTGTTGATGATATAGTTGACGCAGCCGTCGACCTTGCACTCTCGAGAGCGCCGCTTCTCCTCGTAGCTGAGGGTCCTCCTGACCTTGGGCTTGGACTGGCTGCTCAGATTGGGGTCTACCTTGACAGGCGTGGGGGTGTTTGCAGCAGCCTGATTCTCACTCGAGATCGGCGGCGTGGTGAGCGGCGACTCAACCGCATCGGATCCCCAGTGGTGGCTGAACGCGGATACGTCGGTGGTGTTCATGATGAAGCCCAAGGAGGCCTTTATGCTGGCTCGTCCCAGCTGGGAGCCGGTGCCTGCCCCCGTCCACGAGGCTTCCACTGCGTTGACAGGTGCACGGAGCATGGTGCGACGCTCGAATTAACAGCGGGGTACAAGCGACGCGTAGCGTGCGCGCGGGGCTGCAGAAGAGGAAATAAGCGCCGAGTTCTGGCGGGTGGGAGGACTGCAGAGGTCGAAATAACCGTCCGGCCCCCATTGTACGCGCACGTCCGTCGAAAGGGCAAGCGGTACCCACCGCAGGCCCAACCGCTAAACGAGTACCATCTCAGTGGGTTCAGCTGCGACTACAGAAATGAGTTCGGCTTTCAGAGTTTTACAGTAAAAAAAATACCAGCAATAACATTCGATCTTCATCAAGTTCCTTCACATCCACGCCACTGTCTTCAGACGCCTTCCCCCGCCTCAGAGATCGTTTGGGTTTTTTCGCAGCTTCAGTCACTCGACGCCCTCCGTCAAACTCCGTGGAGGCGACGCTGACCAGCGGAGACTGATCGATGGCAGTAGCGCATGTCGCCAGGAAGACGGTAATCGCCACAAGCGCAACACAGAACGAGCGCATGCTGGGTCGAAGATCTCAATTCGTCCGGTGAGGGGTGTGAGCGAGTTGTTACCAGTGGAGTAAAAAGGAGAATGGCACTTCGAGAGAACTTGCGTACAACCTACCTCTACTACAGTATAAGCACCGTACGTGAAGAACAGCACAGGCACGGACACAGATCCGCCTTTTATTTGCTGGCATACTAAATGCTCATCACTGAAGACACCGAGTTGGCTAATTGGTAACATTAAGGATCCCACGAGCTGAGTTGGAGAACTGCTCTCAGGAACAAGAACGTTGAACTAAAGAGCGCCCTCGCGGACCTGCAGCTGCTCCTTTAAGATTGATTTATCTCCGTACCGACACGGTTCTGAGACACATTTGTGGGACAGCATTTTATATAGGAATCAGTATGGGACATCATAAAAATTCACT